TCTAAATCTCATGAATATCGTGTATTATCACTTATACATACAATTTTGGAATAATGAGGAAACTCATTAGCATCCACGTCCATCAATCTTCCACATACTTGTTTAATTACCTTGAAATGTTCTAGCAAAATCAACCACAAACAAAACTATCTGCTGTCACTAACTTATTAAAGCAATATTTTCAGAAAATTAAACTGCATAGAATTAAACACAATTTATATTTTGTAGAGAGCTACATATCTCATGCAGAAAAGAATTGTGCTTTATTACCTAATAACAACATAGACAAATAATGAAAGGAGCAGTCTTCAATACCACTCAACTCATTTTATCATTCAGATTCCTCATTTGTGAACTGAATATATGCATCAATCCAAATAGTAGTTTGTAAGAAAACAATCATGTCAAAATCAATCTTTAGTTAGGGATTCAATGCAGAAAAATTCACCTTAATGAAACAAACAAATGTCACCGCAAACATGTAGAAATTAAAAAAACATCGAAATAGACAACCGAGAAACCACCATTATCATTTTCTTTCTTCTTCGCGACCTTTATAAAACCCCAATTATGTTCCCTTCTGTTTATAACCCCTTTGCAACCTACTAATTACTAACCAGATCATCATTGTATAGCTAGCTAGTAGCATGTCAATCATGAACATAAAATATAATAAACAATCATCACAACTCTACTTTCCATTTCAACATTCAAGAAATCGGGTTGCAATAGGCATTCAAGAAAAATGATCAATTATTCAACCAAAGGAGGTATGCCCTAAGTCCAACCAATTAACCCTTCTAATTATATTTTATATACATGAAAGTATATAAAATATATTCACTCATCGAGAGTGAGAAAATTCACCATCCAGCAGTCGTAATTTGGAAGAAATTAAGAAAATAATGAGAAAAAGAGTATAACTCGGCCAGTCAACCGCAAACAATAACATATCGATGAGAAAGTGAGACCATTTACCAGCTTCAGATCAATGAGGAAGAGGGAGCAGTCGAAAACCCTCGGCTTGGTTCACCTCATCTTCATAATGATCAGATTAACTTTTTTCGTCAATAGGCAAAAATATGTTACAACTACTCAAAAAAATCGTATGCATTACCATTTCCTTCTCTATAAATTATGAGAATACAAATATTAGAAATCTCAAAAAATTTAGCAACTAATAAGAGGGCTTTGTTTATTTTTATGGTGGTTTACATACTTTCTTGATTTCTTATTTTCAATGTTGGATTTTATTTATAGAGAGACAATCAAAATGGGGAAAGGGATAGAAACAAATTAAAAGTTTGCATTAATAATTAATATGTTTTCATTTAATAGAAATGAATAAGAAGTTTTTAAAAAAAATAAGAATTATTGCTCTATCAAGTTTATATTCAGAAAGAAGTGAGTGTTTGATAGCAAAAAAAAAAACATTTAGTCATATCGTTCATTTCTTAAAGTCGATTGATTGTCAAACGTTTATTTTCTCTTAGACCATCGTTTATATTTTGTATTGAAAAATATTAATATTTATGTGTGTGCTTGTTTTTTTTCCATCAAAATGTAACTTATTATTAAGTTTTAGTAAAAATAAGTAGAAAATTTACTTAATCAGATTTAATCAGTTTGGGTTGAACAAATACAATATATGTCACTCTCTGTTTCCATCTTTATAGTTCGTTTCATCGGAAAAAAATTATTACTTAGGTGTGTGTTTTTTGTTTAAATGTTTCCTAAAAAATTAACTTATTTTAATTTTAGTAAAAATGAGTAGAATTATTAAAAGAAGAGAGAGACAACTTCATAAATAGATCAATAAATAGTTTTTTGTTTGAAAAAAAATTGTCCACCTTGGCAACTTGTGCATTCACCAAGTGCTTATGTAGCAAGAAGTTATTTTTGAATAACCATAATATTTAGTATAGATAGATAGATACTAAATTAGCAATTTCATGTGCAATCTTCATGTACCTTGGTTAATTGAACTTGCATTATTCTTCAATTAACCTATTAAATCCAATCGAAATTGTACACAAATAATGTAGCTTAATGTAACGTAATTGGAGATAGAAAAATGAGCACGCATGCATGAACTTGCTAGTTGCTACAGTTACCAGTTTAACACCCACAGCGTTGCCATCCTACTTGCAATGGTAGATATCGCAATAGTAGTGGTAGTAACGTCGCCCTCGCCCCTCACCAATTTTCTAGTGATGAATTGAAGATGATGAAGCTGCTCCTTACGCTGTTTTACCCTTCCCCATGCTACTTTCACATAGTCGAAAATGACCGCCAACGGGGAAAAAAACGAAAGGGACAAACCCTGTGGGCCGGGCCGGCCGAACAATGGTGGGCCGTGGGAGCAATGAATTAATAGCACCATAATTGCACAAGACAACTTCCCATAGTCGAGATACATTGGACGGTCAAAAGTTCAACTCTCTGGTCCACCCGCCGGGCGTCGGCTAGCGACGGCAAGCGATAGGAATCATCGTGAGGTGAGTTCACCTTACTCTTGGGAAAATCATAGGAGAAAGAAAAGAGAACATTTTTTAATAAAATCAGACAGTTTTATTCCAACAAGAAGATAACACGACAACGACATTACAGGAACACCAGGAGAGAGTCCGCAGCTCGAACTCGGAATGGAAAAGTGTGCTAAACCAACAGAAACCTGTTTGGCTTCAAACAAAATGCAAAACAGACTCTAAAATATCAGCAAACCAGACCAAATCAACCAAACACGGCCTTACATCTCCGCTCGCACGGGAGACGCAAACACACACGTGCTACACCTTTACTTATTCACCCAATTATAATATTAATTAATATTTTATCTAGAGAGAGGCGTGCGTGTTTGATGGACGGTTCAGATTTAGATAGCGAGAACGAGCCCCGGCACGGACTTCCCCACCAGATTGGAGAGGCTGCTCTCCCACACGGAAGGGCAATGCACGGGAGCAATCTCAGCCGTCGATGCTTTCGACTTTGAACGGCCGATCTTAGCGGCGGCGGAGGAGGAGTTGGAGAGGCGGGTGACAGTGAGAGACGTGTTGAAGTACTCCCTGACCTGGGTAATTATCCCATCCGTGACGGTCCAGGCGTGGACCCAGTAGATCCCGCGCTCCGAATCGCACCCCTCAGCGATCACGATCGAGCCGAAGGAGGCAATCGATTTGGGGGCGAAAGAGAAGGATGATTCTTGATGGTCGTGGAGAATCTGAATCTTCTGATCTTTGTTGTTGTCGGCACCGGTGAGCAATCGCATCATAAACTGGTGGGAAGGAGGGCCATGGAACCACCACTCGAGGTCGTGGGCGAGGATCTTGGTGACGGTGTCTACGTCACGGCAGCTCAAGGCTTCATAGAGCGAAAGAACCACCTCTCGGTTCTTTCTTTCCAGCTCTGCCAGCTCGGTGGAGTTCGCCAGATTCGTTGGATAGTGCCCGGAGATTCCCGCGGCGGAGGGACGAGAAAGAATGGACAGAGAGAGAAGGTTCTGGAGTGGGGATGAAGATTGGATTGGGACCGGTGGGAGAACTGGTGAAGGCTGTATTGGAGGAAGGAGGGAAAAGGGGAATTTATAAGGACGGGAGGGGAAGGGTGTTGTGATCCGGTGCGGGGATGTGCAGCTTGTTCTCGTGGGGATTCCTGATACGTGGCGAGTGCGGAGTGGTGATCGTTTGACTCTCCGGTGTTTGGGCTGGTTTTATGGATGGGCTGGGCCCGCGCCGAAAAGGAGAGAGAAAGAGAGAGTTGCAAAGTGCGTGGAAAAGTCAAGCCGACTCTTTCGGACCTTTTGGGATTCTGAGTTAACAGAGGGATTATTCTTTGATAAGTTGTTTACTTAATTTCAAGTTTTTTAATTCTATTTTTTGTTCTCTTATATATATATATTCCCTCGATTGTGTCAACGTTTTTTCCAATGTAGATAACGTGCCGACAAAATATTGGTTTGGTTATTGTAATTACCGTGGGACCAAGCATGGCAAATCCTTTGGATTTTGCACATAATTAGGTAGGTCTCTTGTTCTATTCGTCCCAAATGGCAGAAGACGTCGGGATGCATTCTTGTCCATGTAGAAAAGAAAAGTGAATCTCATGGAGAAGTCATAAATCAGAAAAGATGAAAGATAAAAGTCTCGCGGCAAAACAAATAAAGAAGAAGAGAGAAAACAACTAATTTATCCAACTTACACATCCTCGAGTCTATGTTATCAATATGATTTTGCTACCTATGATGTTCATTTTGTCGAGGAAATAACATTTGGGTAGTTTGCATCTAAGTGCATATTTAACGATTACAGATCGATCATATAATTACTCAATCTAACAACGGTAACATGTATTGATGTATCCCCTATCAAGTATCAACCATATATTAACGAGTTGTTACGCCTATATATATATAAAGTTGTACACATAAATAAATTAAGTTAAAAAATAGAAAGGAATGGAAGATGGGTTGTTCCAATTAAATTCAGGGACGCTTTTACGAATATCCTCGTTGTAGGTCGTATTTGGAATATTATTATTTATTATTTTGCCTATTGTATTGAGATATATTATGGTTCCAGTAGGCAATTAATCGGTATTTGGCCGTGTATTTATTTTATGTAGGTATGGCTGCCTATTGTATCAGTTGCAACTTGCAGTTGCATGCATGACTGGGCTTTGGGTATTTCGTGGAGCCGCCAGAACGGACCACGTGTCACAGTTTCACCACCCATCGGTGGCGGAGGACTGTGCAACCTTTGTTGTTTTACTTTTCCGCCATTATTATTCATTGTAATGGGCTAGCGCCTAGCTGGCGGTCATCGTCACTGGCCGGAAACTAGGATTCTTTTCTTGGGCTTCGGCTGCTGTTGATGAGAATGGCGTAACCTGTGTTTGTGCCACTTTATGGACAATGGTGCAGCCAAGTAACCCAATTTTATTAAATTATAGGGTTAATACTTTAAGTTGGCCTGAATTATATACATACTTTCTACTTTGGTATGTGGTATTGAAAATCGTTATTTTGGCCTGAACTATGTAGCAAACTTCCTCATTTGGCCCGGAAGTGGGTTTGACCGTCAAATTAGACGGTCAAACCTGTTGGCCGTTAGTCAATATCCACCTCACCTGCCACGTCAGCTTTGAGGACATAAAAATTTTATTTTTTATTTCTAAATTTTATTTTCTTTCGATTAATAAAAATAATAAATAATTAAAAGAACGAAAAAGGGCCCATTTGTAGCAAATGACAAAAAAAAATATTTTTTATGTCCTCAAAGCTGACGTGGCAGGTGAGGTGGACATTGACTAACGATCAACAAGTTTGACAGTCTAATTTCACGGTCAAACCCGCCTGCAGACCAAATGAGGAAGTTTGCTACATAGTTCAGCCTAGAATAGCAATTTCCAATACCACGGATCAAAGTAGAAAGTATGTGTATAGTTCGGGCCAAACTAAGGTATTAACCCTAAATTATATTATTTCTTACCAATGCACAATCAGCAAATATTATAGATTAAACATACGCCTCCTCATGCGAACGTGGCGCGATCACTGTGGGAAGGAGAATGATTAAGCAACGATTAATTGATTCATGGGCCTCGATTTCATATGGGACCTTACTTAATTATAATAATAATAATAATAATAATAATAATAATAATTATTATTATTATAATAATATGCCTCCAGACTCCAGATATGCCGAAAGCAAATTTTGGTGGCTTGTGTACTTAGGCATCGGCTGCCGAAAGCCACTAATCTATAGAGAATAGAGATAATATATGTTGTATTATTTTTGTAAATTTCCCCCCTTGTTCCCTATTGTTGATGATCATATAAAGCCTAATATGACGGTGACATAAATTTTATGGGAATTATGAGGGAAAACGATTAATTGTACATCTTATATTACTCGGTAAAATGAATGCCAACTTACTGGTTTGAATTTTGTATACAACCGCTATATTGTTAATATTGGGGTCATAGAGATTTGAACACACGATCGATCATTTGGCCTGACCAACTCTGATACCATGTTAAGAACCAATTGATCACAATAATTCAAATTGTTAAAAAGAGATAATTATGAATTTTATATCACTATTTTATTATTCAGTGTCACCGTGGTTGTCACCTAGTAGCCAAAAGTAGCCAAAAGTAGGGATGGCAATTTCGACCTGACTCATTTTACCCGACCTGTTTGGGACGGACATGGGTATTCTCGACGACTCGAACTGCTCTGACCCGCCCCATTATTGACCCATTCTTTGTAAAATTAGTCAAATTAATTAGGATTTTCCTTTTATTACAACATATTTTATCTATAATAAAGTTGAAAATTAGTGAAAACCTATTCTCCAATAATTTAACTATATTTATCATAAAATGGTTTGTTTTCTTGGTCTTATAATGAAAATAACGAGTATTTCTAAATTTTTTTTTATAAATTGCTTACTCATTTGATCGACCTGTCCCAAGGCACAATTCATGACAAATTACCCGATTTATACCTCATGCCACGCCACGGGGATATGGTATCCCATACCTACCCATTGCCAGTTCTAGCCAAAAGCTAGCTGAGAGAAGTTTTATATCATCATTTGGGCCAGTTTATCAAAGTAAAGCCCCAGCCCGTATTGTATAGGCTAAGAAGTCGGAACTATGCTCCAAGAATTCGCAAATTACTTAACTGGACCTAGTCCGTCACCTCACAAGCCCACCTCACAAACCCATTTATTTTGCAATTATAACTTCGCTGCCCTCCAAGCCTCAAGCAAATCAAAAGCAGAAGAAATCCAAGGATAATTTTATCACAGCCAGACAGCAGATGCAAGTCAATATGCACCAAAACGGGATCAGCCGAAAGGTCCTCTCAATCAGAGTATACTCAGGAGGTAGAAAGAGCCGAAGAGAGAGATATACATTACACACATTTGTAAACCGAACTCAAGAAACTATTGTAAACTCTACACACATTTGTATCACACACTCAACTCTTTGTTCACAGTTGCAGATGGTAAGCCTGAATCCACACCATTCTCCACAGAAATGCCATCTCTTTCTATCGTTGAGGGAGTTGGCGCAGCCATGGCATGATCCTTGGCTCCTGGAGCCTCTTTCACAGGACTGGAGGAATCAGGCATTGCACCATGCCACGGGCTAGAGACGCCACGTGCTGGAGACGACTCTGGCTGCTTACCACTACCATTGGTATGTTTCTGCAGTAGCCTGTTCTCGACGACATCGTAAGCATTCCCAGTTCGAACCTCCTGAGCTAGCGAACACCAGCAGCAACACAGCCACAGTGTGCAGTCAGAGGCACCCGGTTTACCGAAACAAAAGGTATATGCCGGTAAATTGAACCTCTTCCTCATCTGAATCCTCCAGAACCCACCATAGAGAAGGCCAAACAGACAAAGGATGAGTCCAGTGACTCCCAATGCTTCTCTCGCAATCTCATTGTCAATGTTGACAGCAGCCAAGTTGAAGATCCAGAACGGAGCCATGCAGAAGAGGAGAAATGTCGCTATATGGACATATCTGTTACCGAAGCCAAGTCTCTCCATGTTCCAACCGAAGACACAGAAGCTGCAGAAGAGCGAAAGGTAGGCTAGAGAGATATCGTCCCAGAAATCGAGTATCCCACCACTCCACTGTGGCCGGCTCTCAAACATCATTTCAGTAATATCCCCTGTTGCAAATGAGTATCTCTTTTCTAATTTCCTGGATAACAACTGAGCCCCATTAATGGAAGTACTCCCCTCCTGCGCTTCTTCATCCATATCCGAATCATAGTCCTTTCCTAAGGGACTGAGGATTGAGTACACACCAGCAGCAGCTGGGGCAGCTATAGCTACAGATATGCATAATCCAACTCCTAATGGAGGTCGTTGAGACCTCCTGTACCCTATGTTGAGACCACATAGTGCATACTGTGCAAAACAGTTTAAATGCAGCAGAAGCACGACAACCATCATATGTGCCCATTCGTGTGGCTTGTAAGCACCATTCTTGCAGTAAATCTTCCTAAGCTTAGTAATATCGTCAGGTCTCCATCTAATAAGCAGGGCCAGATGGTAAAATCGCTTTGGATGTTGGTACAAACACATGAGGGTGAACAATGCATTGAGTATCTGGTTATTTACCTCAAACCATGCATTCCTCTGAGACTTGCTGGGCAAAGCTTGGTTCAACATTCCAGTCATGACGAGGAACAAGATCGCACCTGATATGGCAACAATCAGTATCCATATGAAAAGGGCCAAGTTCATTGGGTCCTGGATCCATTCTTTGCTCATCTTGAACACAGATGCCCAATCGATCTTCTTAGCACAAACCTCATGAATCCGCTCTCTAATGCCACGGCTGCTGGAAGAAGCTACCAAACGCGAGGCATCGTCCTTGTCCTTAGCAAGCTGCCTGAATCTGGCAGATGCAGAGCCAAACTTGAGGAAGGCAGCACGGTTAGATACGTTAGGTAAGCTGTCTTGTTGTGACTTCTTGGGAAGGCTGTCATTTCCCAGTAAGGTCTTCTTAGAAGTCGAGAGCTCATTAGAGACATGAGCTTGGGACTCTTTTCTTTTGGATTCCTCATCATTGTCATCTTTCTGATTCCCGTTTCCACTTGAACCCATTCGTCCTTTCCCTTCCACAGTTGAGCTACCTATCCTAAACAGAGAAGCGGGTGTGAGATTGAATCAAAACTTGGGAAACTCCATTTACAATGTTTCCATTTCTTTCTTCTGGTATCATAATTTCATAAACCCAGAACCAAAAATAGAAACAAAAACCAAAAGCAATGATCTTTTTCATCTGGGTATGAGCAATTCCAGATAAATAAGATGGGCAAGGAATCTGTCAACGTGAAGACTAAAGTTATAGACTTCACAAACAAGAAAGTTCCCCCGGAAACCAACAAATACAAGCAAGACTTGGGAAAAATACCAAAGATATTTTGGATTAAACCCAAAAGGCAAAAGGTCTAAACAACTCTAAAATACACGCCGATTGCAAAAAAGATACAAAAATTCAAACAATCAACCATTCAATCAAAGGGCCAAGCAAGCAACGAAAACTAATGAGAAACAAAGCGCGTGATCCACAAATCAGGAACAGAATCACAGCAGACCTAACTGAGAGCGAGTAGGGGAGATTCACCAGAAGAACCAATCAATCAAAGGGCCAAGCAATGAAAACTCATGAGAAACAAAGCCCACTCAAGAACAAGAACACACTAGCTGTAATTGAGAGCAAGAAGGGGAGATTCACCAGAAGAACTAAACAAGTAACAGTAGAAATGTAGAATCGAACCCTCTGAGCGAATAAATGCGCACAGGAAAAGGGGAAAGTTTTTTAAAGCTTACCGACTAGACGTGGAAACAGAGGAGAACCATTGACTGGCAGCCAGGGAAGCAAAAGGAGGGAAGGAGAGAGTGGGAAAATATCGGGGCGGGATTAGTTTTCATCTAAGCAGGCTGTTCCTTCTTGTTTCTTTTTCTTCTTCTTTCCCCTGTGCTTTGAACACGTATAAAGTTATTCGCTTTCTGGGTTATTAAGAGCGGGTAAGTAAGAAATAAGAACGGAGCTCCAAGCTTAGCTCAGAGACAGCAAGCATTTCATTTGTGTGACTAGTCAATTGAGTTTGCCAATGCTTGCGTTGTGAAAACAGGGCACCTCTTTTATAAACAAAAGCCAGCCAATTGCTTGCTAGCTACAGAGTAGCTGAGTGGGTACAACGTGGAAATGGACGGTTTCCAAATTCACGCCACTTCCTACTTTGGTTGCCGCGGACAAATATTCTCTACCGTGTCTTGTTCTATAGAAGTAGTAAGAAACAGAGCGCTTTGTTGTTGACAGCATCTTCGATCCAATTGCAGCATCCAATGAGTTAACACAAAGGATCTCTCGATGAGAGGACATTGTCACTCGCTACAATGACGAGCACGAGAGTAGGTCGCTCACGGTGAACTTGAATGGGTCATTCATTCATCTCATTCACCCCAGAGAGCAGTCGCCTAGAAAGGATTATACCAGAATGGTAGGGTTGCTTGAGTATCTAAGACATGAACTTAGATAAGGCGAGATATTTGATCGTCTCGAACTTGCCTTGCAGCTTGGTTGATTTCAGCTTCGTGTCGTTAAAGAAAAGCATGCCTATGTTTGATCACAGCAAGTCTACCAACAAGTACAACAGCAAATAATGTAAACCGAAACAAAACCGAATTCCACATCAGTTCAAGCAGTGTAACCTACTCTTAACTCTTTAATCTCACTGTCAAGATAGCTTCATTACAAGCTAACAAGCCGTGGCTAGGACGAACCATCATATTTCAAGTCTTGGAACCTCTTAAGTAGGCTTGCTTTGTACTTGTCAATGGCCGCTTCCTCGACTGAACTTGGAGTAGACTGAACTATAGGGATCGCACCTGCCTTGTGTAATGCTCCAGCAGCTTTATCTGCAAGTTTTCACAGCATCTGTTAAGCAACCTACATCGGCGAACAACATCAATCTTTCCAACCTATTGCATTCCCTAGAGTCAGCACAGCTCCATCAAATTGACATCAGCCTAATACACATATATTCTCAGAAGTAATTCAATCATTCACTTGCTAACAGAATAAGGATATCAGCATATGGAATACAAGGAACCTGATTTAGTCAAAGCTGCAAGAGCCTCAAGAGCAGCTTTTCGGGTTCGGTCATCTTTAGCAGCCTCCAACATGTTGAGCAGCTCTTGAGCACCACCCAGCTCCACTATCTTCATCCTCCTTCCATCTAACCAGTTAAAGAGAAAGCTAGTAGATTCACTTCAGCTGCCGACATTTTCAATCAAGAGAGGTAGGTATCCAAAAATCTAAATAGAAAGAAGCGAAGACTCTACCATCAATAGCATAACTGGCTAATCTAGAAGCTCCGCTTCTTTTAAAGAAGGGATCCTTCACTTGCAAGAGCGAAATCGACTGAAGGACCAAATTATCTCCTGCAAAAACAACGCAATGAAGCAGTCGACCACTTCATTCTCTAATCTAGAGTTCCCTGACGATCACTTTGCTCAAACGAAATGAGAATTGGCAAAAGGGTTACCCATATAAGGGAAGAACTGATAGCCGATGGCGGTGGCAGTCCCAGCGAAGATCACCTTCAGCAACCACCCTATTTTTCTCTCAGCTTCCTCCTCCATCGCCGCCGCCGCCTCATCTACACAGCCAGGTTCAATTAACGACAGAAAAAGAGGATGCACACATAGCGTTGGCTGAAAATTTAGGGATTAGGGGAGGAGAAGGCACCTGCTCTATTGACCGACGGCGACGAGGAGCAGAAATTGCGCGATCGCTGCACATTTCCGGCTGGTCTCCCGCGTAGATACTGCGAGCAAACAGTCGGTAAAGAACCAGAATTAGAGAAGAGTGAAACGCCGTAGTCAAAATCTAAAGGTCTACGACCGGTCGCCGGAAGTACTTACCGTTCGGAGATGAGCTGCTAACGTGCGCATCTCTTCCAAATGTTTCAGACGAAGTTTTCGCAGTACCTCTCCGGCTCTCCCAGAGTAAAGGCGACACGTTGTTTACGCTAAATGGGCCGAGATTCGTGGGCATGGTCTTATGTTTCATGTAATGGGCTTTCATACGATGGACGAAGATTCAATCGGCTATCAGCCCATTACTAAAGCCCACAGTGTTTTGAATGTCATACCATGTCTTCCTACACAAAACATTTAATGAATGGAAAAAATTTAGGCAAAATACCGTTGTATATCCACAACTATCAGGTTTGTGACAAATATATTCACAACTATCGAAATACACGAAATATCCAAAAATCAGAAGGTTGTGTGACAAATCTATCCACTTCCGTCTGAAATTATAACGGTGTGTCGGACGGCGTTAAATTGACTAACGAAATGCTGAATCGATGCCATCTCACCTGCCACATAAGCCAAAAAGCAACCAAACTTTACATGTAGATGCCAAATAGGCTAGTTGAATAAAGGCAAAATACAGTTGTATATCCACAACTATCAGGTTTGTGACAAATATATCCACCAGTATCAGGTTTGTGACAAATATATCCACAACTATCGAAATACAGAAAATATCCATTTCCGTCCACTTCGTTAACTCCGTCAGTTAACTTGATGACTGGACAGACGGTGGATGCTTAGTTGGCATGTTTCTGGCCCCACTGAATGACGTGGATTAAAAGAGGAAAAAAAAAATTTAAAAACCCTAAAAACCACAGACGGCGAGACTAAAAATCCAACCCAGAAACATGCCCGATAACCACGTATCCTCCTTCGATCGACGGCTCCACCCCCAAATAACCCTACCCCAAGCCCAGATTTCGATTCCAACCACAATCCCCAACCATTGCCTCCCTTTTACTCCGACAGCTTCCATGCAGTCGGCGCCATGGTGATACCAAGCTTGAATCTCAAATAAATAAATAAAAACTTGAATCTAACCAAATCGACAACAGAGAAGACTGCAGCAGCGAGGTCTAACATATAATGGTGTAAAGTTTGGTTGCTTTTTGGCTTATGTGGCAGGTGAGATGGCATCGATTCAGCATTCTGTTAGTCAATTTAACGCCGTCTGACACGTCGTTATAATTTCAGACGAAAATGAATAGATTTGTCACACAACCTTCCGATTTTTGGATATTTCGTGTATATCGATAGTTGTGAATATATTTGTCACAAACCTGATAGTTGTGGATATATTTGTCACAAACCTGATAGTTGTGGATATACAACTGTATTTTGCCTAAATTTTCTTTTCCTATTTTAATCCACGTCATTTAGTGGGGTCAGAAACACGCCAACTAAGCATCCACCGTCTGTCCAGTCATCAAGTTAACTGACGGAGTTAACGGAATGGACGGAAATGGATATTTCGTGTATTTCGATAGTTGTGGATATATTTGTCACAAATCTGATAGTTGTATTGTGGATATACAGCTGTATTTTGCCAAAAATTTATGATCGAAAGATAGTACTTGAACTACAATACCGTTCTATACACGCAAAGAGTGAAAATACATGAAACATATCCCATACATTTGATTTCTATATAATTAAGGATTACAAAAATTGCAGAATGCATTGATTATAACCTCAAAACCATCTTCGACTCTCACGTCGATTAGGACGCCAGCTGCTTCCTCATCATCTCCATAAATCCAACACCTTATCACCTGCCAAGAAACGTAATTCATAAGCAAAATTATACCTGGAGATACTTTCTCCTACTCGGAACAAATGTTCTCAACAGCATAAATCTATTCACGAGCTTCCCGGGGTTACAAAAGAAGGGTGGTAATTCAAACTGACCTTCTTCTTCTCTTGTTGGCTGAAGGAGGGATCAGTCCTCTTTTCTCCAGGCTCTTAAACCGATCCGTGGCGAGAGTGCAGCACGCCTTTCATGGCATTCAACACACAACAGAACATCAGACTTCTGTTCCAGTTTTCAGTAAGACAATAGGGTTCTATATAGGAGGATGGTGTGGAAGAAGGTGACCCTAAGATTTTTCAGTATACCTTCAACTTGCGAAGTGAGCCAGTAATCTCTTCAGACAACAGTACTTGAGTAGGAGCAGGCACAAATCTAAAAAACGAAGCGGTTTTCAAAAATTTCATTAACTGGAACGGAAGATTATTGCAAAAGGGATTATGGTAAGAGACTCTCAAGCATACTTGTGCCTCCCCAGGCGCGGGGGTTGCTGTTTTAGTCTTTCCTGCTTTGCCACTAACCGACGCATCATTCTCTTTTGCTTCTCTTCATCTTCTTTGGCTATTTCATCAATGATTGTTGGTAAGCTGCATCCAAGAGGAGGAATTTAAACAACATTGCATATCCTGTCAAGTAAGAGAAGGCACTAAATATGGTACTGGTCAGTTTTGTGACTTCACCTATCGATTTCTTTTGAAATTTCTGCTTTCTTTTTGGCTTCTGATTCTTTTTTCTGCCGGTCTTTCAGTCTAGCTCTTCTATTGAACTCAACTCTTGTAACCATTTTCTTCATGGAAGAACTGGAGGATCGTTCAAAAGAAGATTTCATTGGTCAAGATAATTTCCATAATAGACAGGGAAATCACATTGATAGATTTTCGAAAGCTGCACAAGATAATATACCACACATATATTGTATTGCACATCATAGTCACACAAGAAATGCAAACCTCTTTTCTGGAGCATCTTCATTCTCCTCATTTGCTTCATCATCCCCATTATCAACCTCAAGAAAGTACATCTGAGACAATAGAGGAAACCGTAAAGTTCTGCTCAGGGCAACCTTTCTTAGTCAAAACAAAATGACCACACCACAAAAAATCGAGCATTCGGCAGTCGGATAAATTACTCACCTCTTCCTCTTCAATAGCATCTCCTTGAACAGTTAAAGGGACAGGCTGAGGTCCCAGCTCGCTTTGATAGACTTTCTGCATTTCTTCCGCAACAGCTTTTGCCAAGGAATCCTGAATCAAGGACAAGATTTGATCAGCAACTTCCCTCCAAAAAGCAGATGGAAAATGCAGAATAAATGCAATTTGGACAAGTTACCTGATGGGCTTCAAAATTGGGATTGTATGAACATCCAGGAGGGTCAACTTCCACTGCAGGAATAACCGACGTTTTGACAACCTGCATCCATAAATGCATCACCACATATGAATAATGACCAGACCATTGTCACTGATGAACCTGAAATCAGATTGGAAGAGAACGCACCTTCCGAGTTCTGATGTCACCTTCCGCTGCAAGATTGACAGAGTACATATATATACATGAGACTTTCCGCCAATCAATAAAACATAAACTGAAAAAAAATCATTCAAGTCCTTGGACAATAAGAATACCTTCATTTTCCCACAAGTCAACAATCCCAGACTCACCATCCTGAGACATGAAAGAACAAAATGTTTAAACTTGTGACAACTTCCATGTGCTACAAATATAAAACTGCAGTTTTGATCAACTTCCATGCGAGGAGGACAACCTTCGTAGCATCATCTTTCGAAGTGGAAGCCTCAGTAGAGTCTTTCTTATTCTTCTTATTCTTCATGCTCGACTTCTTCTTATCATTTGAAGAAGGAATTGCCTTAACAAAAGGGTTCCTTTGCAGAACACTGTCACAGTGGAGCACTTTCTCTCTGTGCTTTTCAATCTTCCTCTTCACAGAAAGGTCTGATATCGATAACAACATCAATAATGAAACCCAGAATAAGACCAAGGCAAACTAACCTAAAACGAAACCCACTAGTTATCACAGAAGCAGGCAAACAAATTGCACATATTCAATTCCATTCGAAACTGAACCTAGCAATCAACTCCACTATCTTCCGATTACGAAGAGGAACAAGGGAAAAGGAGGTACCTTTGGATTTGTCGACAAAGAAGAGGGATTCATTGGGTACCTCGGCGAGGGAACCGCCGGTGAGAGCGTCTTTGGTTGATTTCTCGATGAATTCGTCGATGTCGTCGGTGCTTATGTTAGCTCTCCATGCTTTCTTCCCCTTCCTCGAGCTCTTTGGCTTCTTCCCCATCTCGTTCGACCGCTGTTTTGTCGCTTACTCTATCTCGGCGTTCTGCGGCGGCTCTTCTCTGTGTCTGAGATACTGCAGCAGCGGCGCGAGTTGTGAAGTTGAAGAACTTGGAAGGGAGTAAGAACGAAAAGGAAACCTCGTGGCGGGGAAGACGCACTCTTACGCGGGTCTAGACGGCGACGCTTGGTAGGTAGTTAGGTTTTGGGCCTAGGCGGTTGTGATCCAGTGGACCTGGTCAAAAGCTAAGATGGGCCAATTAAAATAGGCTTCGTTCAATCGACCAGTGGCTTTGTTATCAAATGAATTCCCAGGGTTGCCAAAAAATATGGGATTTGGGTTGAAATTGTTAAGGTCTTGAGGAATAAGGACGATGGATTTGAGAACAAAGTATAGGAATTGAAGAAGATAGGGGTAGCTTCGGTTTTCATTTCCCACAAATGTGACATTTGAAAAATTGCATGTTAATTTTCACATTATTTTTGAACAAATAAAGTGGATGTCTAGTTGAATTATGTATATATATATAGGATTTGGCTTCAAATGTCACAACTAAAATTTACATCCGAACAAACCATACACTGATTTTGAAGATGACACTCCATATTTTCATGCTGAAGAGGTCATCTGCTCAATCTCTGCTTATATGTGAATACACCTTACTTTATGATCGTACATTTATTGCTTAAACCGATGATGGGTTTGTCTCTAATCTTCTTTGAGCTCCAACTATGAAGGGTGTGTAAGGAAGTGATTAAAATCTATGCATGGACTTCTCTCAAAAAGTCGAGTTATTATGATCAATTGGTTTATGATATGGTATCATAACTGATTTGTTATTGAGGTCACACATTCAAATCCTGCGAGTACCAATAATATTAGCCATTATCTTAAAGCACATGATATGATGATCTGGTGCAAACTTTAAACTAACGAGTTGACTTTCAATTGAAAAGATGTTCGAGTTTCATAGAGTTGTTTGTTCTTCCCACTTCATCTAGGTATAGCTATATAGTCTTGTAGATGCATGGGATCCCATACGGGCAGGACTGTGACAGATTGGTGCTTTCTTTGCATTGCATCTATCATTTCGGTTTGACTTGCTCGTGAAAGCTTTGCCTATCATTCGACTGACTCGAGGTCGAGGGAGCAAATACGAAAACTACTAGACGGTTAAAGTAAAAGGAATGGAGCGGGTCGGGTCACTGTCGCAAAAGCAAGCAGACAAAAGTTACATTTCACGACCGAAGCGCAGAGCTCAATAACAAAGCTCTAACGCCCAACCAAAAAGCTCCTCTCATGACTCCAAAATGTGTGGGGTGCGCCGCCTGACAAAAAACCTTTTACAAAGATGAAGGAAGCCATTGGAGCCCCGAGGATCGAGCTACAGAGTCAGAGCTCTAGCCAGCTAGCTAGGGCAACAAGAGGTCAGTAGATGCCAACCAATGAGTTATCTCGCACCATGCCATGCATGGGATTGCTTCCAAAACTTCAACAAACGGACGCAAACAGTTGAAAACACGGTCCTAACGTGAAGTCTCTCCATCCACACACCACACCATTCTACCGTTGCTTGGCTACTACCTGCCTTCATCATAACATCATGTAATCTTTGTTCTAATTTGCTACTACGAAGATTACGTTTAATACGGATGGTAGTGATGGCAATGCGGTAGGGTGGGACGAATATCTCAATATTTATTTTTTGTTCCATACTAAGCGCGGGTGAGGTCTGGTAATACCGACGTGAGTATAGGGCGGGGCAGGTCGGCTAATCGTTATATTTTACTTGAAGAAAAGAATGTTGCTATTCAATTCTTTTACAAGGAAACGAAGATAATGCACTTCATGAATGAATCATAGATATAGTAAACGGAGCAATTTAGTCTAAATAGTTGAAAGTTGGAGCCTTATTAAATTTTATTTGGGATGAAAATAAGATTTAAAAAAGGTTAAAAGAAGATAAATACGAGTTGATATTGATGAAAATTAAATCATGATAGAGCAGATAAAAAAACAGGGCGGAACAGATCAAAAGCAGTATTCATACTCCCACACTACTACGAATTGAGTAATATTCCTCCCAAACAAGTCGGACCAGATCAATATTTATTTCGTTAGTAATTAACATGTACCAGCAATCCAGCATGCTACGTGTCCTCCAACTTCTCCCACTTTTTAGGGGAAATTTTGATCTAAACCCAACCACCACCCCATAATGTAACTTAATTAAGCCAAGACTATGATGTAAGACAACTAAATTAATCCTAGGCCCCAATTAGACTCATAAACACATTACTATGGTCTAAAACCAACACATTATGATAATGAATGAGTTGGTGAGATAGGAAACTTATGGTGTGTTCACTTTATGCATTTACTACTACTACTACTACAAGCTAAGGGTGTTTTTTGTTTCCATTAGATGCTTGATCACATTCACATGTATGTATGTGCCTGTGAATGTACCTTCTCCCAAGTGCAGGCTCACGTGAGTCGAGTTCTCCCTTGGCATCTCACGGGGGAGTCTGTATACCATACATAATTAGGGCAAACAATTCGAGACGACACTGAAAGATCATATCCAATCTTGATGTGTGGATTGCTTGGTGTGCATGATGTTGATTTCAAGTGTTGTTTCATAAAATTTGAAAGTCAATTCATTGGTTTGAAGTTTACACAGACAGTTTTATTGTATCATATGCTTGAAGATAATATTGAGGGCCGTGAGAATTTGAACACGTAATCTCAAGAACAAACCAACTCTTATATCATATCAAACCAATTTGTCCAAATAACTTGAGTTCGTGGGAGAGGTCGATATATAGATCTTCACCGCTTCTTCCCTACCTTGTACTCCATATATATCAATGATAAGAAGAGCCGATATGGTGCTAGTTTCTCAACTCTTCTAATTATTGTTCACATTTGCAGTCATTCATAGAAAGATGAAATCATTTATACTTTGCCTAGCTAGCTAGCTATCATTAGGCATGGAAGAGAGACGAAGCTTATCGAAGGGGCGGGAAAGATGGAGGAATGAATTGGAGGTCATGTTGTTTGTGTGTGGGAGAGAAGAATTGGTTTGTTGTGATGATTAATGGACACACATGTGAATGGAGTAGGGTACGTAATTTGTCTCTCTATAAATTCCAACTCAAGGACACGACAATTGGATCCTCGATCTTTCAATATATTTGTCTCCCCCCTTTCCTTTTACTATTATCTTACTCTCGGGATTTTGTTATGGTGATTTTCAAGTCATCGTTTCTAACAAACGACCGATTGAAAATACAATTTTTCTTGTTGCGACGAGGTCGTTGTTCATGAAACACCTAGAAATCAACATGTGATCAACCTTGCAAGTTGCAAGTGCAATCACGGAGTTCATTGTGTTTAGAGTACTCTCCACATCGTTGACTTGAGGTATGGAGATAAACCTAATTGGTTAACCTATCCATGGAGCAACCAACCGGCTTCTTTTTGAACATTAGTACATTGTTTATGGCTGACCTCCATCGGTCTTTTCATCATCGTGCCAACCGCGGAATAGTAGCGATGGGCCGATGGGTTCTCTTCTCTGTTTATGGTCTTTCTAATGTATCTTATTTTTTTAAGACAATTACGGATGAGGAATCGAGAAGAATTTCAATCCTTAGTGGAAGAAATGTGTATCCTACTACATTTGAGCATCATAATTTTAGTATCGACAATCTAAATGAACGAAATGAGTGAGAAGAGAGAAATTAAGGGAATCCATTATATTAATGACATTATGAAATTTATTTGTATTTGTGAATTGAGTTCTATATATTATGATTTGAGTTGTCTGTGGAATATTGTGAAGTGTGTTTATTAATTGTGTGCTTCGGGTTATGGATCGAGCTTTGTAGACTATTTGTTTTTCTACAAACTATGGTTTGAATTTAGTTGAGTTAGCCAATCTGAAAAGTGGTTTGTTAATTGCTCGACATTTTGCTTCCCAAAATCGATCAACCAGAACAAGCACCATGTGTGTTGGTTAGCGTCTTCACTTAAAACCGGTCGACCAATATAGCAAAAACATGTCGGTGTTTGCATGTCGTCTTCAATTCGGTTAAGCTAAAAGCCAAGAGATCGGCCTCTTCAATAAATATGACCGATTTTTACATCGATCTTAATATGTCATGTAATACAAAATCGAACGGTCTTGTTGAGGTACATATTTCTCTATGAATTTGATCGACCTGTGAAAACAAGATATGTGCGACATGTCGACGTTGGATCAATCGTTATCGAAAACAATTCAATCATTTTGTCCCCTCTAAATCACAGAGATTCAAAAGTTACAATTGACATACAAAAAATTATCTTATTATAAACAAAATAGCCAAAGCAATTGAAGCAAGCGTTAGCGAGAGATGTTTTTTTTTTTTTTTTTTGTGATACGACATATCAATTTGTATAATAATACAACAACGTGCATAACGATAAGATAAGTTAATCTATATATGTGTGAGCAGCAAGAGGCAGCATCTCGTGACATTCCAATCTCGCCATCCATACCTCTTTTGATTTTTCTTTTGTCCATCTCCAAATCCTGTACGTACCAATGAGTAGCGTTGTAGTGTGTTAGACCTAGTATTTCAAGGTCAAGCAAAGCAAATTACAAGCTCAAGTGAAAAACCACCACCTTTCCAAATGTCCATCAAAGAGAAAATACATGGTTCGTTGCATGAAAGAATCAATTTGCCAGTGTCTGAAAACCATACCCGACTGAGAAACATGTTTTTCAATACTATATTCACGAACTAGCTAGCTAGACCCCATCGTAGAAACTCAATTATTATTTGGTAATGTATGTAACATTTTCACGAGTCTACTCACTCTGCGCTCATCCTGAATTTTTGTAGCGAGTCGACAGAACCAATTGACTTAGCAATGTTGAGCCCTAGCGTTTGTTGTGAACCTAGCTTGTTGAGAAATCTCTCACCAAGTAGGGTTGTTTGGGAATGTCGCGAAATAGAATGTTGGAATAATCTGAAAGTATGAGAAATATTACATTGGTAGAAGTGGATAGTAAAGTATGCTTGTAAAGTCTCTTCCGACTCTACTTTATTGGTTGAGTGATTACCGTTTCGAAATTGAATTTTGGCAATTCGATTTTCATTATTTGAAACGAAATAACAGTGAATTTCCATTTTCACAATGTAAGACATGTTGCCTCCGGAAAACTCTTTTTTTCCAACATTCTTCTTTCAGTTTTTCTTCTCTAAATCCCAAATACAAAAAACACAAAACTTGATGCTCCCGAAAATTGATCGAAGAGACTTCTGGAAGAGGGATTTGTCTAAATTCGATCAACAATTTTACAGTGAAGACAAATAGCACACGCTAGAAAAAGCAATCAATTCACGCCTTCAATCCGTATTAATAATCTATTCATGTTCTAACCGAGAATCTAAGAGCATCTCCAATGGTGCAAATGGAGGGAATTGCAAGCTGAGGTTGCAGCCATGTGCAATTGAAAAAGTGGATGACATTGATGCAAGACCACTTTCAAGGGATGAAAATTTGCACACCATGAAAATCTGACATGCAATTGCAAGTGGGTCCTTTGTTTGTTTTTGTTTTTCTTTCTTCTTTTCCCAACCATTTGTGTGGTATTAAAATGTAAGTGGGACCCAGAAGTGCAATTGCATTGGAATGACATTGATGTAGCTAGTATGAAATTGATGAGTGAAGTAATTGCTAGAGTTGCTTAGGTGGCAGTAGGGACCACACTTGAAAGTGAAGAAGGATTGCATTGTTGGAGATGCTCTAACAAGCTAAGGAGAGTGGTGACTGGTGATCAATTGATCAACTTCCACGACCACTAGCTTTACTCCACTCACCATTCTCCACTCCAGCATGCATGACCAGCTCGAGTTCCTTATAATTGTCTAGATTAAGATTAGCATGTAATTAACACACGAGATTAGCTAGCTGATGATTTGGAGGAATGAAAAGGGTAAAATGGCACGTGTGGAGAGAGAGAGAGAGAGAGAGAGAGAGAGAGAGAGAGAGAGAGAGAGAGAGAGAGAGAGAGAGAGAGAGAGGACAAAGGGTGACGGCTGGATGGGGTGGTGGCAAACAAGGGATTGATTTGGCTAGGTAGCTAGCAAGCTGCCTTGGAGGAGGATCGATCAGAGAAGAAAAGGAAGCCCCGTGAGGAGTGTTTGGAGGTATTCCCAAAATCCTATAAAAACCTTAAAAATTTCACCCCCCCCCCCTTCAATTATTTCCACTATCTTTCTTTAATTAATTTCGGCCCATAAATTGAAAAAAGCAACCATTGGTCACATATATATATTTGTCTCCCCACATAAAATGCTTCCATATAAAAATAATTTGTCTTCATATTGGTTTTCATCTAAATTTAATTTGTACACATCCTCTTAAATGTTAAAAGGATATACGGGTAGGAAAGTACATATTGTTTAAGTGGTCTAAAATTATCATTGAAATGTCGTTAATTGTTCACAGTATATTAAAATTTTAATCGTAAAATCGTTTTGTATGGAGTTCTAATCATAATTCTAAACATCATGCAAAATTTTAAAATCTTATTACACAAATGGAACCAAATTACCTCCTCGGTGACCCAAAACAGTAATTTTTTTGAGTGCCTCTAAAACCATAATTGTATGAGAAATATTGTTTCAAATAAATTAAATTATGTTTCAAAAATAGGGAAATGGTATTAGTTACATTAGTGGCGTTATTCACAACAAATGAAGTTATTGCAATATATGAATTTACGACATGATATCATAACCTTATCGATCGAGAGATATATATCATGTTCAGAATTTTTATAACCATTGATGTTACAAGCGCAAATCATGCATGTTAGACCTCTACAAACATCAAGTTCATTATTAGCAGCGCGCATTTGAAATAAAATCCGTATAAACTCGAGTTTTGATCAGTCTCCCCAACCGCTCGAATTATTCGCAACCACATTATTCCTTCAATTAATTTTCACTTCTTTCGATGCCTTGCCCAATTTTTGTTTCTTCTCTCCTTTACAATGTTTGATTTTGTCTCAAAAAATCATTTTGGCCTCTTCCTCGTCTTCTCCTTCATCACGAGCTCATGATACTCTTCTTCCCCAAGCATATCAATGGAATCCCTATAATTGTATATATATAGCTTCCATGCCTCTCATTCCTTGAGATGTGTGTATATATAGCTCTAGCTGGTGATAGGGGCTGAATATACAGTTAGCCATAGCAGCCAGCCAGCCAATAGAAGATTCATAGAAAAGCTTGCTGGCTAGAGAGAAAGAGAGAAGAGAAACCATGGCGTCTAGGGAGAGTAAGAAATCGAGCTTACTGCATGAGAACCTGCAACTCCTTCGCTCCATTACTAACTCTACTGCAGTAATTGCTTCTACTACTATTCCCCTTTCCTCTCTCTCTCTCTATATATATTTCCTTGTTCGTGTTGTTTCTGTTCTGTATTTCATTTCTTCTGTGAATTCTTAAGGTGTGTGGTCTACTGATAATTTCTTGGTTGATATATTATCAATGGCGTTTATTGTAGTTCAAGTCAGCCACTCATATGATGAATTTATCCAATTATTCCCGGGGTTTTTTTTTTCCGGTGGTGTAAAGTATAAACTAATCCCCGTTTGTGATTGATCATCGTCTCCCCTTCTGGTTTCAACAAACAACAATTGAAAATTCCATCCGTACCCTGTTTTTTTTTTTTTTTTTTTACTTTTAATTTGGAGTAGGTTTTGTTTTTCATAGGTGAACAAAGGTGCACGACTATTTAAAAGTTACCAATGAATTTATTTTATAAAACAATCATGGAAGAATTAAGAATGTACGATTTTGAGCTCAATTACATATAGCAATATTGTGATAATGATTACATTCGTCATGCTCTAGGTTTGAATCGACCGCCAACACCCATATAAGAATACAATTTTTTTTATAAAAAAGAAAAACTGGATATTTTCCGTGTAACTTTTAATGTGTATATCCATTTTTCAAGGACAATAATCAACCGTTGTACAATAATCCATTATTAGCTTTTCACAACCGGATGTGCTCGATTTGATTTTTGTTCTTGAATTCGATCATTGTGAATTGTACGCATATTAAATAACGGAGCCTCGTGAAATACGAGTATCTTGCGGCAAAAAGGGAAAGAAAAAAAAAAAGGCTATTAGGGTTTACCTAAGGCTACACTTTGGATTGGAAAATAAACTCATTGCACTTGGATTAATCGTTGCTGCAGGTGAACAGAAGCTCAATCATAGTAGATGCCTCCAACTACATTCAACAACTCAAACAGAAGATCGAGAAATTGAACCACGACATCCAGTCAGCTGATCATCATCATCGTCATCAACCTTCCTCAAGCCGCCACCACCACAACAACAACAACATTAACCATACCGGCCAGCAGCTCCCCGTGGTAACGGTGGAAACGCTGGAGAAGAAGGGTTTCCTGATAAACATATTCTCGGAGAAGAACTGCCCCGGCTTGCTGGTATCCGTGCTGGAGGCTTTCGAGGATCTCGGCCTCAACGTGGTGGAAGCTAGGGCTTCCTGCTCCGACAGCTTCCGCCTCCAAGCCGTCGGAGGCGGTGGAGATCAAAACGATGATGAAGAAGAAGGGGAGCAGCAGACTATCGATCCCCAAGTGATAAAACAAGCGGTGCTGCAGGCCATTAACGGCTGGGATGGATGACCTTATGGGAATATTAATCGTCGTTAAATCGGAGGATATCGATGGTTAATCCAGGGTTTGGTGGTCCAAATAATGGTTTTATGTTACTGGTGTGTTACTGGTGCTGGTTTTGAGTAGAAACAAATTAGCAGTTTCAGGACTGTCACTCAACATGGCTGGGGACAGTAGTGCTACGGCAGGGCGGGGCCGCTTGTAATTGTCCTGTTTTTTTTTTTTTTTTTCATTTCTAGTTTGGTTTGAATTCCCGGTGGAGAGAGCCAAATACAATCAAACATATGTGTAGTAAACTGGTGCTGTGGTTATTTGATCCAACTGTGAATACTCTGTGTCGTATTTTAGTTTTCATGTGTTACTAAGGTTTGCTAGACTATGATGATAAGTTGTGTAGCCGTTCCCACGTGAAAAATTGTTGCTATGACTTGAAATTTGATCATAATTACAAGTTTAAAGTGTATGAGTTTATACACCTATGTTTTTCACTATTTAATTTGTAAAACTGTACCTTTCGAGATTGGATTAGGGTTTGGTCGATTGGAGAAGGTGCTTACATATATAAATTCTCAACCCCTCTCTAATTTGTATCTTCGTCAAACACAAATATAGTCAAACTCATCTCCTAGCTAGCTAACACACTAGTGAATCATATAAATTTGTTTGTTCTCTGCTTTCTTACAATGTTCTTTTCCCGTTCCATCACAACAAAACCCACTTTTCACATTTTTTCTTCTTCTTGCCCATAGGTACCCTAATGTGTAAAAGTTTAGATACGAGAATATACTAAACATTTGTGTTTTGTAGGTCATGTTACATTACGGAAATAAGAAAAGAACGAAGGTCAACAAGTGTAAGATCCAACAATGAAAGTGTAGTCTGTTTAGTCATAGCAACTCTACTATACATACCTGCATGACCCGAAATGAAATGTAACATTCATTGCACCTGAATCTCTTACACAAGACAAGAGCCCTTCCCATCGCGTACGACGAGTCCATTCCATTGACCATCAGGTTAATTAAGACGTGAGCATCACCACCAAACATAACATTAGTGAAGGAATGTGGCAAACACCAACGAAAGAGCTAAAAGCTCAGTGATAAAAAGTTCTGGGAGGAAATTGACTCTTTTCACTTCGTTTATAACGACTCTTTTCAGTTTCTAGTCTAGACCTAATTACTTATTAATTAGAAAACCTTTATTTTAACTTAATTAAGGAAGATAATAGGATGGCAAACTGATTGACCAATTTCCCATACATATACATCTCCAACAGTATACTGTATACGTACCCACAGAAATACTCGGACATCCTTATAAATAAATTCATCTGCGTATAAATATACACCAAGTACCAAGATGATACCCACATGAATACCTTCCCTCTGGTCGGGTAAATACAACAACAAAAACATACCAATTCAAAAAAAAATTAATTTAATCTACATTATCCTCCAAAAGATTCCACACATGAACGATCGATGAATGAATGAACACGTACCAGTCCCATCACTCCCACCGCAGTACAAAACAAAACCAAAACAGAGCATTATTATTGTTTCTTGTGCATGCTGAAATAACTGATCATCGCGCCAGCTTGGCGTCCACCAAAAACGCCCTCGTGACCTGTACCGCCAAATGCGGGTTGCTGGCCACGAACGCCTCATACTTACCCGAAAAGGCCAACTCCTCCATGTTCTTCACCACGTACTTCACCGCCGTCTCCTTCAAATCACCACTGCTACTGCTACTGCAACAGACCGAGTCCGAGATCTCCAGCACTTCCAGCGCGTTCGACGCGTCCAGGGACCGTACCATGTGGCGCTCGCACAGCCCCAGCAGATACGGCACCTCGTACTTGTCCGCCGCCAGGGTCAGGGCGTACACGTGCCGCTCCAGCTTCTCCGGAGCCAGGTCCCCGCTGTAGAGAAACTCCAGCAGGGATTCCAGCTCCTCGTGGTTTAGCTCCGGCAGCGTGATTGTGTCGTTGGCGGGGGGCTCGCAGGCGTCGGGGTCCAGCATCGTCTTGAATATCTCCGATCTCGCTGCCTGCAAATGCGTGTATATTGGGTGTATAAGTTCAGATTGTACCATAAAAGAATTTGTATAAAAAAAGTATGGGCAAAACCTTATAGCACCAATGATATATAACATTGTAAAATTTATCGTTGTACTTACGAGTAGGGCTCTGTGGGCGGGGATTGGAGCGCCGCCGTTGCCGGTTTTGAGGTGGATGTCGGTGAGGAGTTGTGATCGGAACAGTTGGACGATGTTGCTAAGGAAATCGATTTTCTGGGTCAACTCGTTGTGTGTCTCGTTCAGGCTGTTAATCCATTTTGGGAGGTTTGCTAGTGGTTGAGCCTGCATTTATGCCAACCAGAAAACCGAAGTTTGATTACTTCCAACTCCAAGGGAAGGAATTTGGGCCGCTGAGTGAAAGTCGGCCCATTATATTATCTACGACGGCCCATGAGTTGACTCGAAAGCTAACGCAATTCAATATCGACCCACACGGGCCCGTGATAAGCCCAGGTAAGGCTATCACTAAAAAAGGAAGGCCTTTTGGCTTTTTCTAATCGTCTACATGTTAACCTCAACGAACCGGACCGGCCGGCCATGCCTACTCTTCCACAAAGAAAGAACCCTTATTATTCTGCCTAGTCAATAGTCATTTCAATAGATGATGGCGTAAACATTACAAGTCAAACTATAAACCGTAACAACGACTCTTCTTTCTTCTTTTTTTTTCGATAGCAACGACTCTTCTTTTGGTTCGTGCTCTGTTGTCTATACTACAACCAGTCACATTCCATTCTATAGGAAACTAAAAAAAACAAAAACTGAAAATACTTGGTTTAATTTATACGTATTTATCAAATTCTTCCAACCAATAACGTTTTTAATCTGTAACTCTTTACTATGTGTCAAAATACAACTTCTACCACATTGAAAGTCCGAATCGTTACAATTCATTTAGAAATTCATCTATATCCTTTCTCTAACAGAGAGCTCTAAATTTATTTATTTATTTATTTTGCATATAAATGGTATATGATTGATACAACATAAATAGAGGAGATTGAGACTAGGGTGGTATATGAATGAATTTATAGAGCTTGCCTTACAGGAACTTGGAGAAGAAGCCGAAGGAGTACTCGAATTAGCTTTATGAGTAGAATGATGGTCCGACGATGACGATGACGATGATGGCGACGATGACGATGATCCTCTATCGCAGGAGGATTCGAACTTGTTGACGAGGGAGATGGCGGTTCGAGCCGCCTCGTAGCAGCCGGCGCAGATGGTGTTCCTCGGCGGCCGCAGAATGAGTGGCATTGTGCAGCAAATTGAGCACTCCATCTCTCTCGCCAATGGCAGACACGGCGAAGAAGAAGAGCGAGCGATGAGAATAAGGTAAGCCGAATTTGGGAGAGAGATGCTTGTAGAAAGAAAGGGGTGGGTTGAGGCAGAGGGACTTTCCTTAAAAGCGTGGCTACAATTAAATTATGGTGTTAATGATTAGAATATATTCGTTCCTGCTGTTCTGATTAATAATAATAATAATGTACAGTCGTTCTACTATTCGAGCAACCAACCGTATGGATCGATGATTGCTTATAGTCGAATGCACGTAGTTTCTTATCTAAGGACAAAGGCAGTTTACTAATTGATTAAGTTGTTGGCTCCCCATGATTGAATCTCCCATACCAACTCTACCCAATAATTAAGTTTATTTCGAAAATTTTGTGATGATTTTTACTTGCAACTAAAATTTAAATAGTTTTATTGAATGATAACTGGGCAAATTCTTCCTTGTTTTCGTTCCACCACGGCATGTTTGTGTATTGTACACGAGTTAATTAGCACGTTATTTTTCAATGGCAATAGTGTAATGCTCGACTATAAATGTGAATCAGTTACGTGAAAGCACTTCTGAACTCTGAGAATGAAGAAATGAAAGTAATTTATAAGTCCAAACAATTTGTACTCCAAATCGATGAAGTTAGTTGGGTAAAAATATTTGAATTTGAGGAGCAGAAAACGACTTTCCAACCTATATATGCTATAACAACAGCCAACAACCAAGCTGTTTGAGGATGGAGAGCCCCACAATATATTCTCGAACCTAGAAGAGAATCACTTTCCTTAATAAAAGTTTGATGCCTTTGTTTCTACTTTGGGTTTTAAATTCAGGATTAGTGCCCAAAGCCAAGCTGTCCTCTCAAACCACCCCCACTTTGTTTCCCTCCAACTAATGAGCAATGAACTAATGATCCTAATTATATATATTATTTTCCATTTCTGGGTTTCTTTAAACTCATTTGTTCATTATTTCAAAAAACTATGTGTAACAAATATTTATTTGTCATCTTTGTTTTTATAATGTTTCTCTTGTGGATTTGTGTATTTAAAACATATAAATGTTTTTACATGTGTCTCAATAAGGAGGAAAAAAGAAGAAGGAGAGTTGCTTGTTGTGGACATTAAAATTAAGTTATTTTAGTTTATAGTTCGATATCCCAACCATTCAGTTAAATTTGCGTTGCCCTTTGAAATTGATATTTTCGTTATCACCCTTTGTATGTAACTTATATTATAGTGATGATTTAAAAAAGAGAACCGATCTTATAGCTTATATCAATCTTTACAAGAGTAATCAATTTACAATGTTTATGAGTTAAAATGGTTTGTGGAGACGTGTTGACATATATGAAAGAACAAGAGTAACTATTGGTTCTGCTTTCCAGAGATGATGACTGTCCACAATTCCAATTTAATGCTTTTCAAACGGGACTACAAATCAAGACAACCTTCGAGAAGAAGAACCACGATCTTCGAAGCTGGGGGACTTTGTATAATACTGCTTATGATCAGATGGCAGCCACCACAACAGTGGTCGATTTTATTATGGTTAATAAAAAAAATTTCATTTAGCCCTACAGAACCTCTTCCGAAAACCATACATATAGGCTTAGCGCCCGCGCTTTATAGTACCACCACAATATCTAACAACGGACTATAATCTATCCACTCTAGCAAGGAAGGAGAGCTCTACCATCCGAAAACATTTTTACGTCCACAATGATCTTGTTAGCAAACTGCAACGGGTCAAAACACCCCTTCAATATAGCAGATTAGCAGTAGTCGTCATGTACATGGGCGCTGGGCCGTGCTTGGGCCGGCACGGCACGGGCACGCTTGGGCCCATTTATTTCGTGTCGTGCTTGGCACGACCTGTTAGTTTTCGTGTCGTGCCGTGCAAGCCCATTTGTTAACTTTGCTAGGCCCGGCCCAAGCTCGGGCACGGTTCGAATCGTGTCGTGCCTATTCGTATTTGTGTTTAATGAAAAGGACGAAAACAAAACAGAGAATGTATAAAGGTGAAAATTGGACGGAGGAAGATATTATTAACCAATAATGTTTGAGAAAGTAACAAATAGGGGGAAAAGAAATTTGGAAGTATATCGAGTATGATTTTGGCTTTGTTTACTTCTTTGTTCATTTTTACTTATGTTATAGTAATTACGTAAATATCTTTATGACACTTCTAACAACAAAAAATAATTATTTTTCTAATTGAATTTTGTAATATTTGAACCTATAATTCTTTTTATATTTATTTTCTATCAAATAAATATTATTTTCATGCAATGTCCGTTCTTATACTCAATAAAGTCTCGAAAATATTAGGCCCGACACGGCCTACTTATATACCGTTCCGTGCCCGTGCTCGTGGCCGTGCCCATGAAATTTAGGCCCGGTATATCCTACAAATTATTCGTGCTCGTGTCGGACTGTCCCATTTATTTCGTGCCCATGCCATGCCGTGCTCTAATCGTGCCGTGCCGCGGTGCCACGTACAAGTCGGCACAACAATGCCCAGACGGAATTCTGTATTTATAGATGGCCCAAATTCGATGTGGATCGTTAGGGTGCTGACACTAGACTGGCCCGCTGCAATGAACAAGAAATTGGGCCCGTTTGTTTGTTCTTCACTGACTAGGCCGGAGCAGGGCTTTGAAGCCCGGTGCATGAATAAGTCTCCCATACCCCAATCCAATTGGTTGCTTTTCCCCCGCACAAAATGGTTGGTTTAGTTTCGTTTTTGGATGGGATTAGGTGCTAACCTTTATAGGGTTAGCACAGTGATAACTAGCAAAAAATCGCTATTAAAAATAACGAAATCACTATGGATTATTATAAAATCAAATTAGTAGTAGTTTTTCCCTTGGTTAGGACGGTGCTAACTATTGTACAATTAGCACCGTAACCGCACCCTTTTTGGGCTGCAATTATTGTGATCAGCGCCAATTTTTTTTTTAAAGAGTTAGACGGAGGCTTTCGATTATAATGTAGTTTTTGGCATTCTTTTTATTACGAAACAAACAAAAATCTGGAAACATAAGCATTTAATCTATGAATTAAGTTGAAAAAAAGTTAATGAGATATTCAATATATTTATTTTAAATGTAGTCAAATAGATACATTTGGATACGATGCAAATGAGTTTACTCAAATTAAACTCGATCAAAATCCAAAACTATTAACAACGTATATTAGTTCATTTGAATCTGACTCAATATCCACATAAATCATGTCAATTAGATCAAATTACATAACAAGTGGATCCATTATATATTTCCTTCAACAATGAAATATTATCTTAATTGGTAAGTGCCTTCATCCTCACCATCAAGCTTCACCCGTACGTTGATTGATCCAGTTTAAGTATAACAACGATAACATATTGATCATACATATACAGGACAAAATGTGTCAAATTTCTGTCTAAAAGATTAGGAAATAAATATTCTACGAAAAAAAGAAGAATTCTAATAAATAAAAATCATTGACAAATGTATGAACTTGTTTAATTTTGTCTGTGGGCGTAGTTTACAAGAGTTGGTGTTTGGAGGTCTCTGCGGGTTCGCCGGCGCACGTGGCGTCAGCTCAGCTCAGGTATCAAAACTTCCCGTTGATCTGAGATTCAGAGAGACGGGTCGGCAGATTTGATCTGCGATCTCATTGGAGCACATGTAAAAAAACTACCGTCCCAGAGCTGGCTCCATTTGTTTAACAATTCCATTAGTGTTGTTTTGTTGTATAATCAAATTTCACTAGTGGTTTGGTTGGTGAGATCTGCAGTTTGCCTAAACCCCATATAATATCAAACATTGCATTTTTCATATAGGCTGTATATTTTTTACCTTTTCCATCTAAGGACCTTAATTATAATATAGAAAAAGTTTTGGCAGCAGTTACAACATATTTTTGTGTTCGTTCACATATAACTCTAGTTTCCTGATAGACCCACCAAATTCATAACCTATGCTATACGGCATGGTGGCCATTTGGGTTAAGGAGATGTTCCAAGGTTGATCAGGTAACTTTTTTAATTATGTGTTTCAACTTAGTTCCAAACCTAACGTATGATGGTTTAATATAGTCAACATCAATCGATCGATTTGTGTTATACAAATGAAAAGAGCAGAACAAGTAAAGTAATTGAAGGACCTTTTCAACAACTTTTCCAAGCACTATACTCATGCATGGTTTAGTTCGGTTCAGTTCAGTCAACACCCTTTAAAGCGTCACCTATCATGTGACACTCACCATTCACCAAGTATATTATATTATTGTTAGTATTATCCTACATCTTTTCTTCTTCAACAAGCACCAACTTCATACGAATTTGTTTACCTGATCTTTAAAGTAATAATCTAACAACATAGATGGTTATTTTCAGAGGTTTATGTTGATAATAACTGGAGTCAAGCGATATAAAAGTCATTGTTGGGTAGTGGAACATTTATAAGGCGGGAATCATATATATTCCAACACTAATAAGGTAATGCCCAACCATTATATTGTCCCAATCGACTGTTATTTTCATTTGTAATGGTGGAATCCCGTTGCAATGCTTAATCTTTTTTTTTTTATATAGAATCCTGTTCCAACATTGATAATGTAATGGTCAACGAGTCCACCATTCTATTGGAGCGTTCGACCGTTATTTTCCTTTGTGATGGTGCAGTTCCATTGCAACGAGATAAATGTGTGATCCAGTTGACTAGTTGTCGAGGACGGTCGGCCATTTGCTACAAGTGGTCGGCGTTTGTCGAAAGCAATCAACCATTTTCTCCAAGTTACGATAAATCACAAATCATTGAAACATAATCCTAAATTTAAGCCATTTTCTTACATCTATAATGTGAACTATATTACTATTGACGAGAGATAAAATTCATAACTTTGCACTTAAATAATAACACACAATATTTACATCTATAATGTCCCTTTGCCCTCTCAGCGATTACGCTGCTCCTCGTGATGCATTTGTATTGGTGTTTGGTGCATTCTTATACTAATATTTTTGTTTTGTGGGTAATGCGCAGGTGATTGTCAGGAGGATCAATGTAAACGATTCGTCGCACCCGGTGGAGCTAGCCCGCAAGAGATTTCAGGTGTTGCAGACTTCTTTGCTTCGTGCAACGTTCCATTTCGCTTCACGTAGGTATATTAGGGTTTGGCTATATCATGCTAAAAAAAGCCCTCAAAGCGATGTTTCAAACACCTGTCGACCATCATATTTTTCTCATTTAAATTTTCTAACCTAATCTTACTAGATCTTGTATATTCTCGTATCTACACTCTTTCCATTCGAGAATAACTATAACAAAAATAAAATGAAATAATAAACACAATCAACCACCATACCGCACCCTTATCTCCCTTCCCATACGGGCACACTCCACTTTGGGTTTTTCCAAAACAAGGGGAGCCCCCAGGTCCACTTTTGATTGGACAGCGAACTACCAGTGCAATTGGGCGAGCATCGCGGCCCCCCTTTGTATCTGTGGTCCGTTCCCAGCATCTGACGCAAAAGCGCCTGCTGAACTGACGAAGTCATCACCCTTCGCCCAAGCCTCAGTCGTCATCCGGTAAAGTCGTCGTGAGTGAGTGCATCACAAGGCGGCTGATATCTTCTTATCCCTTTGTTTCTTTCTGCCTCATCTCATTCATCAACGAATAAATAAGGGTAGATACAATTTAATATCCAAACATTTCATTTTAAATAATATAATAGTCAAACCTTTTCGAAAACAATCGTCCGTTTGACCGTTGGTTGACATTTCAAAAAAGCTTTGTTTAGGGGAAATTTCACAATACAACTTTGTTTTCTTGTTTTGGCATTGCAGATGACTGAATATTTAGATATTCTATACCATCATGGTGGAGTCATGGACTTCTCGGGTTTGGAACCACAACATGTTGGTGGTTTTTCAGAGAAGATATCGATGGATATTGATGAAACGTCGTACTTCGAACTTTTTTGAAGTGTCAACTAACGGCCAAACGAACGGAAAGTTGACGATTTGGATATTAGATTGTTTTCGAAAAGGTTTGGCTATTATATTGTTTAAAATGAAAGGTTTTGATATTAAATTGTATTTACCCAATAAATAAATAATTAATCAGAAAAAATAATATGGCAAAAAATAAAAATAGAAACGAATATCTCGGCTTTACTCTTTCTGTAGCAGAGCGGGCTCTCACTCACTCGCTGTATATCTATCCACCTCTACACTCTCTCTGGCCTGCTTCTAAGTTCAACTGGGAGCTGCCTGCCGCCTTCGATCTAAGCGATTCCTCTCCTCCGTTTCTCCTCAGGTTAGTCTCTCTTCCTCTCTCCTCCCCTCTCTCTCTGCAAATGCTCGAGATTCTTCTCCATTTTCAGTGTCTGTATTCGTTCCGCTTCCGTTTTTGTGTGACGGTTCTCGCTTGGTACTGCGTGCGTCGCTGTTTGGCGGCTGAGAAAGTGACGGAATCCGAACTCCGATAGCGAGATTTTGGTGGCGTTTGGCTTTCCCTTCGTACATTCTGTTTTATACCGGCTGTTCTTTTGGTTTTGTGCACTAGTGTGACGGTTGATTGCTAAGTAAAAGTTTGTTTGTATGCCGAGAAAGTGATTGTGAAACTATTTTTCCGTGCTATTTCTTTCTCATGCGTTTTCCTGCTACTCCGTCGCTGTATTCAGGACTCTCTTTGGTTTTGACAGTTATGGTTTTTTCATCCGTGGTGCAATTAATTTGCTTTTTTTCCTGGAAACCAAACAGTCGAACGATTGAGTGGTTTCTGCAAGTTACATTGGTGATTTTCGTCTTTAATTACCTTCACTTATGGTATCATAGTTTCAGATCTGCATTGTGCTTGGATGATTGTTTGGTTTGCATGAAAGACTGATAGTGATTCGGTTGTATCAATTAGCTTCAATTTTTCACAGTTTGTACATACTTGACTGTTCATATCTGCACCAGATCTGATGGCTACCACTTACCAGTACTATACCAGCTCCATTAAAGCTAACTTATCTTCTTGTCGTTAGCTAACTGCATTACTGCAACCAGTGTTATCTGTTTTTGACTTCTCATTTTCATGCTGCATTGCTTCATCCGTTATTTTTTTCTCTTTTAATGTTCTCTATAATGAAAGCGAGATGATATCGAGATCCAGATTCAAGATTGGTGAGTGTGATAAATGAATGATTGATTTATAATGGCACAAAGCATTGTTATCCGCAGCAGGACTGGGACCACTTCACCCTGTTTGTTGATATTGATTTTGGATAGTTAATGACAATACTGCACATGAAAACTTAAGACATCAGTGGCTTCTTTTCGTTTTTCGTGTCTGCACTGTTGTGACCTCAACCATAACTTGGATTTCTGTGTTTTCTGGTTGCGTTACTTTTGTTGCAGCAGGTCGCAGGGCATGGTTAAGTTGATGCTATTGTTTTAATTAGTTGTGTGGTTGGTTGTGCTTCTGTAAATGGATTCAATTTAGTTCATCTTACTTATTCTGGTGGAGATGCTGAGAGCAGCATCTTTACTCGGATCAATATACTTATCTGTGACATAAGGCAAGGAGTTGGCTTTTTCATATTGAGGTTATTCTGTTGATCATCATGAAGTTTGTGTGAATGGTTATCATGGCTGTCTTTGTGTTCACTTTCTCTTTTCAAGATGCTTATAGCTCTCTGAAGGTACTTATGGTTATCATTTCTTTATTGGATATTTTAATTTAATGAAGTCTTCTTTTCTTTTGGGTGTAGGTATTAAAGATATCTTTGGAGAAGAAGCAGGATGTCTGATCTAGAAGTTCCTTTGACTGAGCGCCCGAAGAGGAAGAAGATTTGGGTGGACTACTTTGTTAACTTCAGATGGATTATAGTCATCTTTGTTGTCCTCCCAATCTCTTTCACCCTCTACTTCCTCACTTATCTTGGCGATGTCAAGTCCGAGATGAAGTCCTACAAGAAGCGTCAAAAGGAACATGATGAAAACGTCAAGAAAGTTGTTAAGCGGCTCAAGGAAAGAAACGCATCGAAGGATGGTCTCGTCTGCACTGCTCGTAAGCCCTGGATCGCTGTTGGCATGCGAAATGTTGACTACAAAAGGGCGAGACACTTTGAAGTTGACTTATCTGCATTCCGGAACATCCTTGAAATTGACACGGAGAGAATGATTGCTAAAGTCGAGCCACTTGTCAACATGGGACAGATAAGCAGGGCCACTGTGCCATTGAATGTTTCCCTTGCAGTAGTTGCTGAGCTGGATGATCTCACTGTTGGTGGACTCATCAATGGTTATGGTATTGAAGGAAGCTCTCACATCTATGGCCTGTTTTCCGACACTGTTGTGGCTTATGAGATTGTTCTAGCTGATGGTCAGGTCGTCAGAGCTACCAAGGACAATGAGTACGCTGATCTATTCTATGCCATCCCTTGGTCTCAGGGAACACTTGGGCTTCTCGTATCTGCTGAGATCAAGCTTATCCATATCAAAGAGTACATGAAACTGACCTACCATCCTGTCAGGGGTAGCCTCAAAGATCTTGCCCAGGGTTATATCGACTCCTTTGCACCCAGAGATGGAGATCAGGATAATCCTGAAAAGGTCCCAGATTTTGTGGAGACAATGATATATAATCCTCATGAAGGTGTGATGATGACTGGTAGATATGCATCCAAAGAAGAGGCCAAGCAAAAGGGAAACAAGATCAACAGCGTCGGTTGGTGGTTCAAGCCGTGGTTCTACCAGCATGCACAGACAGCACTGAAGAAAGGGGAGTTTGTGGAGTACATTCCTACCAGGGAATACTACCACAGGCATACTAGGTGTTTGTACTGGGAAGGCAAGCTCATTCTTCCATTTGCTGACCAGTTCTGGTTTAGGTTTCTCCTCGGCTGGCTGATGCCTCCTAAGGTCTCTCTGCTGAAGGCCACACAAGGTGAAGCAATCAGAAACTACTACCATGAGATGCATGTTATCCAGGATTTGCTTGTTCCTCTCTACAAGGTTGGCGATGCACTGGAATGGGTCCACCGTGAGATGGAGGTAAACAAGCTTTCCTTTCTTTTCTTTTTTGCATGCTCAAGTATCCAACGTGACCCAAAAAAGAAACCAACAACATGGTGAAATCAATGACTGAATATGCTTCTCTTCTTTGTTAATGTGGACACCGGTGCAAATCTTATGTTCTGTTCCTAACATGTTGTATAACCTGTTCGTTTCTGGTGGTGATTTGTAGGTATACCCTATTTGGCTCTGCCCTCACAAGCTCTTCAGGCTCCCTATCAAAACCATGATCTACCCGGAGCCAGGATTCGAGACCCAGCGCAGGCAAGGAGACACCTCGTATGCTCAGATGTACACCGATGTCGGAGTGTACTATGCACCGGGACCTGTCTTGAGGGGCGAGGTGTTTGATGGATCCGAGGCTGTTCGCCGGTTGGAACAGTGGTTGATAGAGAACCATGGTTTCCAGCCACAGTATGCTGTCTCGGAGCTGAACGAGAAGAACTTCTGGAGAATGTTCGACGGTGGGCTGTACGAGGAGACCAGGAAGAAGTACAAAGCTGTGGGGACGTTCATGAGCGTGTACTACAAGTGCAAGAAAGGAAGGAAGACCGAGAAGGAGGTGCAGGAAGCTGAGCAAGCCCAGTTGGAGACTCCTTATGCCGAGCTCGACCCGTAGAGGCCTTGGATGGGATTCTCTATTGTTCTGAAACTGGAGCTTGGGATTTCGACTTGCTTTACTGGATTGTATGTTTCGTTTAGGCGTTTTTAGTTGATTTGAAGACTGTGCTTTGGACCTTGAGTTCTTCTGCTCTCCTCTAGTTGTTGTCCAACCTCTAATCCTGTTTTTAGTTGCTGACTCTCAGGCTGAGTGTATTATGTTTTCCGGATGCTGTGTACTTTACTACTTTTTAGTTTGTGGTATGGAAAGTCTTCTGATTCTCTGAATCCATAGCTTGTCTTGCTTTTCTTCCTTGTTATAAGAATTGAAGAGGATCAACTGCTGAACTAGTAGAATCGTCAAACCAATTATAATAGCGGTCCGGTTCATTGCTTGGATGGTTATTGATGGACCAAATGGTTTTTCACGATCTATTACAAAACCAAATGAACCACCACGGTTTAATTGGTTCACCGGATTATTATTTAAGCGGCAAATTTTGTATACAAAATACTTTAACGTGGTCCACCATCGACTGGCACCATAATTTTTAACTTGAATTAAAAAAAATTATGATTTCTTTTGTAACGGTTTAAATGATTTGTTAGATATTTTGGTGATGATATGAATTTGAAATTGTTTATGGTCATCTGTAAAAAAATTTGTTTATGGTCAAGGATAGATTTATTCTTAAATTAGTGAATTAGTGTATTATACTAATCTTGTATGTTATGTATAATGAACGATTCTATCAACGATTAACAAACGATTTTGTAACGATTAACCACTAAACTCTAAACACTAACTTTTCCGGTTAGCTTTCGGTCTAGTAGGGATGTGCAACGGTTCGGTTCGGTTCGGTCCGGACCGGATCAAACTCATGAGAACCGTGGATGGGGCACGTTGAATGGGCCACTAGCATAGACTTCGGCCTAAAATAATGGGCTGTGAGATGCCAATAACTGGGCCCGTTAGATGGCTCTAAACGGAAGGTAGTCCTCCAATCCATTCAGCTACTCCACGTCTCCACTCGCTAGTCGCTAGCTGTCCAGCTTCCTACTCATTTCTCCCAATTCTCTTTCTAACTGCAGTCTCTGGAGAACAGCTCTTGGCGGTAACGCTGAATAGTTTGGAGAACAGCTCTTAGATACTCATCCTTTCATGCTCTAAGGTAGAGCTCTTCTCTGGTCAGTGTTTTTCCTTCTCTTTTAGCAGTGTTTTTCTTCCAATACATGCCCCCTTATCTTATTGCGGTCTATTTTAGCTGAACTTCATCTTCACGCCCATGAGGTGTTTGATGTTTTGCCCAATAGAATATGAGCAAATAGTTTTACTAGATAAATGAAGTATATCGATGTTACGCAGAACGTGGGATGACTATCAACTTGTTACGTCGTCTGACCAATTGTTTCTTCGTCTACTTTCATGTGTTGGGTCCTCTGCACTGCTGTATCTCCTCGGTTCCCATTTTTGCTTGAATATTACAGTTACATGGATTTGGTACTTGAGGGTTTTCATGGTCGCTGAAGTTTCTGTCATCCCCTTAGTCAGAACCTTCGCTTTTGTCTCAAAGAAGCTAAGCTTAATTCGAATTGGAAAGCCCAAGATGTCGCTTGTGTTCGTTGCTTCCTCTATCTATGCACCATCACATTTTAGCCAACTCAAAGCAGATAGTTTGGCATCCGTGAACAGCTTTCCATCGAATGCAAGTGTTAAGTACAGATTTCTTAGCAATGTTACATCAGAAATCGCTCAGTATCTTGCCAAGAGATCAGCTAGGATTTCAAAGGCTACTAGAAGAAACTTGGCTAGCAGGGACCAGCATACTGTCACTGATGTGTCTTTGAATTGGGATGATCTGGAGGCATTGGAACCTGAAGAAGAAGAGGGGTCACCATGGGAAGGTGCAATTATGTACAGGAGAAATGCTTCGGTTTCACACATCGAGTACTGCACGACACTGGAAAGGCTTGGTCTAGGTAACCTCTCAACGGATGTTTCCAAATCAAGGGCTTCAATTATGGGACTAAGGGTCACTAAAGCTGTTAAAGACTATCCACAAGGAACTCCCGTTCAGATCTCTGTTGACGTGACAAGGAAGAGGAAGAAGCTGAGGCTTGATGGAATAATCAAGACTGTCATCACCTTATATTGTAATAGGTAAGCTCACTCTCACAGTCTCACTCTTTTTCTTATTTAACATACTTATCTTGGTTAATATTATTTGCTGTTTTGGTGACTACGTCAATACCACTTGTTCTTAGTTTTAGATTATGCTTTTGAACATAAGCATAACCAATTATTTTCAGTACTCAATGATTGATAGCTGGTGTATGTGTTAATAAGTGTGGATTATTGGGCACTTGAAAATTTTGCGAGAGTTAATATAATTCTGTTATTATAACCAGTCTCCGAGTTCATCAATTGGGTGTAAAAATGAGAATGATGAGAGGTCAAAATTCTTTAGCCAATACCACATTCGGTCATATTGGGTTGCAAGTCATCTGAGTACTGCAAGGGAATGAATAAGATTCATTCGTTAAGCTCTCTCAAGAATTCGATTTGTTAGGATGATCTATTCTTGACATGGCAATATGGCATTGACCAAAAGGTCTCGTGGTTGGATTCTAGTAACCTAAAACATTAACAGTTGACTTAGACCATGTAATGGCAGGACGATACAGGTTTCGACCCCATGGACTGATTTTCGTTTTGAATAGAGCTGCAATTGTGGATTCATCTATGAGATGGCAGCAGAAACCACTTGAGCGGCTAGTCATATGAACAACTGAAAAATTGTGTCCTAGACCCAATTTAGGTTGTCCTTTGCTTCTATTGTACATCCTGTGCTGTCTTATCGCTTTCGTTCCTTTTCTTTTGCCAATGAATCTATCTCATGTCTCTTTACACAATGCCAGGTGTGGTCAGCCAGCTGCTGAGTGTATCTACTCCAACTTCTCCCTTTTACTATCAGAAGAACCCATTGAAGAGCCAGATGTAATCACTATAGGACTGAACGCTGGTCAAGCAGAGGAAGACGATGGCGATGATGATGCATCAATTGATTGGGATGATCGACTGCACTTTCCTCTTGAAGAGAGTGAAATCGATATCTCCAAGAACTTGAGAGATTTGATACACGTGGAGATAACGATCAACGGAGTTTGTGATCCAATGTGTAAAGGAGCTTGCCTCCAGTGTGGCACTAACTTAAACACCAGCAGCTGTAACTGCAGCAGCGAGAAGGCCTCCGGGAAAACCTATGGCCCTCTCGGAAACTTGAGAGAACAAATGCAATCTAATTCATAGTAATCTAATTCATAGTATTACTCTGGTTCATATTGATGTAAGAAAGCCTTTTCACAAGAAGTTGCTTTCCCTTGTTGTCATGTATCTGGTAACAAGACTTCTAATGTTCTGGAAAATATATCATTCTTGTTGCAGCTCTCTTGAGATCCAATAAGTCATCATTTTTTGTCCCAGCTGAATTTACTTGTCTCAATCATCAATCAATGCACCCTCTAATTGTAAGAGTTCATCATCAATCATCAGTCATCGCCCTTTTTAGAGCTGTATAGATCCGCTGTCGACAATAATGAATAACTTTCTCTTCGTGGATAGTCGCAAATGACAAATCTCTAACCAAGGGCAGACTGTATCTATAAACAAAAATTAAGCCGAATATCGCAGGATAAAATGATGAAACAACAAACACTACGAACATCACAATTCACAACCTGGTGGTTGATTATTTGGCAACCAAATTCAAGTAAAAGGCTATGGAGTTGAGAATCCAAATTCTTGAGTTTTTTTTTTTCCGCCATTAAGTCACTCAATTAAGAGGAACAAAGAGTACAAAGTTATTGAGAACATAGCCAACGAGTAAAGTCGAACCTCGAGAACAAGTGAGGCGACACTAATAGGGCATGACGAGCTATCAAGTGAGCTGCCCTATTTCGATCACGTCCTACAAATCGGAGCTGAAAACTATCCTGAGATCGAAGAAGATGTCTAATCTCAAACAAAGTCGCACAAATTCTTGCATCTTGAACAACCCCATTATTGCAAAGATCAATAAAGGTCTTCGCATCTCCAAGGAACACCCCCATTCGCCAATGCTGTTGAGAACATAACATAATTGCATCCCGCAAAGTCAGCGCCTCAATGATTAATGGATCAGTCAGTGGTATTCGGATACTGCCGAGCAAAGGCCTTCAGAATTGTCCCATGATCATCCGTGACCACAACCCCAATTGATCCCAACGCCGAAGCAGTAGCACCATCAAAGAAAATCCGGTGAGCAGATTCCATCCCTGGAGGCCACAGAGAAACAGAAGAAACGCGAGATGGCGGCATGGAAGTAGGAACAGCACCAGCAGCGCATCAGTGGAAAGAAGTGCCCCATCCACCTCCCGAACTTGATGAGCCCATTGCAAAGCTAATACCTGAGGGAACAACTGAAAATGTTGGAAATGCACTGTACATCTGTTCTTCCATATCCGCCAAAGCAAAGAAGTTATCTGCAGGATCAAGTATTTTGAATCGCTACAATCCCTGCATAAGAAGATCCCTCACCAGTCGGCCCAATCGAAATGGCCGAATTTCAAATCAGGCCGGAGATCCAATGTTCGTTTTCATCACAGCCCAGCTGTCTCATATCGCAGCCAAGCCCACTATATATTCTCTCATGGCCCCCTCGGACTCGGACAGCAACCCGCCAGTCGCGTGAGTGGTTGTCACGCCGGCCGGCGCACCGGTTGTATCGGGTTCAACCGGCGGTTATAAAATCGGCGTGACACCATTGGTATGACCGGCATGATCGATATACGATCCAGTGGCGGACCTAGAAATTTTTTATAGGGGTGTCCTCTTTTAAAAAATAAATTAAATAAAAATAATTAATTAGTAAAAATAAAATTGTAAATATGAAAATACCTTACTCGTATAGGTTAAAAAAGTCCATGATGTGTTTTCATATTCGGAACTAATTGTAGAATACACTTGGTGTCTATAGTGTTTAAAAAAATTGTCTCTATATACACTACTAGACAATCATTCACAAACTTATCGCATATTCTATTTGTAAACTTGTTCTTGATGTAACCCAAAGCTGAAAGACTCTTTCAACATTTGTCGTACAATCATAAAATCAATACAAATTAAGGGTAGTTTGAAATTAGTTTAATTTTTAGGTTTTTAAAATAATTAGAGATAGGGAATACCATTTTACTATTACACATTGTTCAAAATCGAACAACAAATGAGTTTAGCTCAACGGAAATTGAACTTATTAATAATAATAGTGTTCTAGATTTAAATTATCCAACCTACCAATTGTATTCCTATACACAAATGACAGTAGGATAATCATTTTTTCAAATTTAAGAGGTGTCCCTCACTATCAATTATATTTTTTTTATCCATACGTAAATTACCACCGGGGGTTGGATAATCGTTTCCCCAAAATTTAGGGGTGTCCGGGGACACCCCTAAACCTCCCTGGGTCCACCCCTGATACGAACTCTAAGTAAAATGACTTTATTTTAGAGAATTTAATTAATAAAATTTATTTTATTATTTATTTTATGAGTATAAAAGTTAAATATTGATGTTATTTGTTGATTCAAGTATAAATGATTAGGTATTGACGTTAAATGTCATGTTTAAATATGAGTATTTATAATTTTATTTGTAATATTGACCGGCATGAACTGGCACAAACCGGTATGTGCCTCCGGTTGAACCATTCCACTTGCTAAATCGGCACACTGGCATAAACCGGTTTGACAACCTTGCGCGTGACCGACACCGGATGAATACGTCATTACGCGCTCTCCTTCTTTCCCATGTGCCGCCGCCACACCCTATCCTAGCACTCTCAGAACGCGGGACGAGGCACGGCTTCACAGACAAGACTTGAAATCGCAAATTCTAGAGGGATTTTGGCAAAAAACAAGCTCCGTCTCCATTTTGCTTCCGAGTTCAAGCCTCTAGGGTTCCTCATTCTCCCAATTCCTCCCAAGACTTTCTAGAGATCAATTACGATGGTGAGTTTGCTTTCCTCCCTCTCCTCCTCTTCCGCTCTTTTTTCGCGTTTTCTCTGCGAGATCTGCTTCGGTTTTGAAACTCGAAAAGCAATGGCAGCGTAGAGATGATTGATTGAGTGAAGTGCTACTGTATGCGATCGAATTAACCCTAATCGATTCTCTCTTCTCCTTTTATCGGATTCCTTTCTTCCTTCGGCTGAAACTGTTTCGAATTGTTGGTATGTTGTTGAAGGAGGCAAAAGCGACGCAGGGTGTTGCGCTGGTGATTTCTGATGAACAGGTGGTCCAGATGACCACCATTAACGATGCGCTTAGGGAGCTCGGCAAGGAAGCGTTGCAGTGTGACGTTCAGCTTTATACACAGTCATCCTCGCAAAGTAAACATCTTCCGCTTAGTCTCTTTGCAGTTATGCATTCGTCATGCGATGCGTACATTAGTGGTTAAGCCGATTTTTCATGGATTTTTGTTGCTTGTGGTGCTTAAATTATCAATTGTATTGCATAATACCTTGTGAATGATTCGTGACTCCCTTTTCATTCTTAGTAACGTTGTGATAAGAGGGCTAGTCGTTGCTAAATATCGGTCCTTTACTTGTTTTTCTACTGCCAGGTAAACTACCAGTGGAGTCATCTTCAATAGAATTTCTGATTTGCATAAGCAGATCACATGCATATCCTGATGGGAGTTGGTTTGATGAAATTTCTCGGGCGTTAAAACCTGGTGGTACTATCTTGGTCTATAAGGTTCTGCAGGCTGCTCCAAAGGAAACCGAGAAGGTGATTATTTCTTATTATTTGATGCTATGAACTAGAGTTTATTGCGACATATCTCACTGTGGTGTTCATTTTCAGTCACTTGAACGCCAATTACTTTTGGCGGGGTTCTTAGATGCTAAAGGTGTTCAGCAGAGCTCAAATGTTGTCCTCCAGTCTGTTGTGGTGAGTTCTGATTTCTTTTTGTTGTAAAGCTGTGCACTACGTGTTTGATTTCAATGAAAATCACCATGAGAGGGGAACAACCTTCTGTGCTTTTATTTTGGGGAATGCCACTGTCTTGAATGTTGAACTTGGTTGGTTAATGTTTTTTACTCAAGACTGTGAAAGCAAAGAAGGCTTCTTGGAAAATTGGGACATCCTTTGCTCTCAAAAAGGGTACAAAGGCACCGATTAAGCTTCAGATGGACGATGATTCAGATTTGATCGACGAAGATAGCCTATTGACCGAAGAGGATTTGAAGAAACCTCAAATACCAGGTGAGTTATGAAAAAAAAAAGCAACTGATTGTTTTATAAAACTTAGCTGCTCTTTTTGGAAAAGTTGAACTTAAGTAAACCATTGTCATGCAGTTGGCGACTGCGAGATTAGTACCACGAAGAAAGCTTGCAAGAACTGTACCTGTGGGAGAGCTGAGGAGGAAGAGAAAGTTAAGTTAGGATTGACCACAGAGCAGCTGAACAATCCTCAATCATCCTGTGGAAGTGTAGGCTTCCAAATTTCCTTACATTCACTCTCCGTCTTTGATTCTTTTATTGAACCGGACTTTGTGATTCAGTTGCCATTATCAATTTGTGGCATTGCAGTGCGGACTTGGGGATGCTTTCCGTTGCGGCACATGTCCATACAAAGGTCTCCCTCCATTCAAGCTTGGCGAAAAGGTACTTAAGAAAACGGTTTTATGGTTCTCCATGTTGTGGTCTCATTTGTCGTGTGGAGTCGTTCACAGCAAAATAGGATTCTAAATTAGATCTCATCTTGTTTCTTGAAGGTGTCCTTGTCCAGCAACTTCCTTGTGGCAGACATTTAAACTTCTGCAGAAGCTATCGGAATGGCGATGGAGTCTTTGTCTGCTCAAGTGGTATGTTTAGGTTTCTTGAGGTGGTTCAGAGAATGTCAGATGGAAAGAAAAGAACGGTCTCTGTTTTGTTTGCAATGTTCATTTCGGAAGTTACTATAGATAGGAGGATAACTGGATAATGCGAAACATAAGGTCTTGCCTGATTAACATATGATCAAATCTAGTGTATGAATGGTTCCTGCTAGTTGAAATCTGAGTGTTCTAACGGCATAGCTCCTAGGAATGTTAAGGGGTGAGTCGTGTATCTCAATATTTACGACGCAACCACATTCTATCCATGATAGACAGATCGGAATAGGTTGGATCTCTGATCGACAGTGAACTTTCTCATCGTCGCAATAGGTTGTACATATACTCCAAGACCCCAACAACGTTTTACCAAACTCTTGAGTTTTACATATATCTCCAAGACTTCAACCTTTACCAAACTTGAGTAGAACCCAAAACTGTTTGCTTTTGCGCCTGTAACCAAATTCCGACCACATCATCGGTTAACCTGTTGCGAAATGAGGACCAGAAGCCCCTGTGGACCAACCAGTATTTCGTTGAGAAAGCTGACGAGCCCGAACCAAACGACCGGAGTGACATCGACTCCGGCGAGCGGCGGGATGACTTTGCGAGTCACGGCCAGAATGGGCTCGGTGGGAGCATAGGCAACGACGTAAGGGAACTTGCCGACGGGGAGCTTCGGGTACCAGGACATGACGATCCTGATAATGAAGAGAAACGCGAATGCCGAAAGGAACGGTCCCAAAACGCCAATCGCCACTTTCGCCGTGGCTGGGTCTATGTCGGCCGCAACCATCCATGTTCCCAGGTGGAGGTCCGCAGTGTCTCCGGGAAATGTCGGGTCGGGTTGCGAGTGCTCCGCGTTGAGTATCGCCGCCGAGGGAGTCAATTGTCGGGTAGACGACCATGTAGGCCGGAATTGGTGGCCGGATTTTTTCGACGGTGTTGAAAACAACAACCTGCGGCTGGGATTAGAGTTCTGCCTTACCTGCGAGAAACATGATTGATCGGAAAATTCAATTGTTGGGGAGTCATTTGAAGGTTTAGCTGGGGATCGGAAGATGAAACTCACCAGGGGAACATAGGATTTGCCATCGGTAGAAGTAAATGGTCGGCGGTCCAATCCTGGAGCAGAATCATCAAATTTGAGCTCAGATTACAGAACCATAGCACTAAGAACAGAAGCGAAGAAGGGAGTAGAGAAGAGGGACGATAAATGGCGTTGGGACTAACCGGTGAGATGAGCTAGACGGAAGAGGGAGGAGCAGGAGGTGGAAGAGGAAGAGGACGCCATTCCTTCCTCCTGGCGGGGGAGAAGAGATGAAGATCGCGAGGGAATTGGTTGCCTTATCCTGTTTTGCTGTAGGCCAACGGTTGGATTGAGATTTGAGATGCGTTCGCTCGTGGGCTGGGCTTAGAGTTCATGCTCAACATCCTGATTACATTTTCTATTTTATTTTAGAGCGGCCCGGCGATCCGGCTCACTGTCAGAACGTAGGTACCAGGGACGAAAGTTGACCTTTGTACTGGACTACTACAACCTTTGGGACACGAGAAGTATGTTAGAGGGAATGGTCCGACCAGGTGTTTTTTGCGACATATTTGTGGCACCATTTTCTCGTCATCATGTCGTTGAACTTATAAAATGTTTCTCGCGGCACCTATTGTTTTTCACTTAGAAGATAAGCCTCCAATTTACCTGAGAAGATGTGGTCTTGCCATTGAATTGGTACTGCACTGCTTTAGCTTACCTCACAGTTGCTCCCTTAACTTTCTTGTAGTTTGCCATCCTTCTCTCCGATAAGCTATTGGAGTGCTTTCTTATCATCGTTCCCCTCCTTCGACGCTTGCACCGTATCTTCTTCATCGTCCTTTTTTTCTTCGTAGCTTTCACAACTCATGCCTCAGCTTTCGAAATTTCTCATCCTTCTCTTTCTTCAACTTATGCAACTTGTAACTTCCCTCTTCAGCTTCTTTAGATCCTTGTTACTTTTTTTTTCCAGCTGCGTATTTTCGTACTTCATGCTCTTCCGAACCTCATTTTTCCGTATCGATTTGAAGTGTGCTTCACTCATTATCTTTTACTTTTTTTAATAACTTATGTAATTTAGAACATGTGATTAATAATTTTACATTTACTTTAATTCATTTCCAGAATTTAAGGTGGAGACAAACTTTTTAAGACCACAGGAAACTAGCAAGTGAATTCATTTTTTTTAAAGGATGTGACAAGTTCATATAAACCACCCGATGAATAAAATAATGTAAGTTGATTAAGAGAAATACTATAATTTAATAGAAAAATATCCATACACAGAACTAACATGGTTATCTATCCAGCCAATGACCGGGTCATAAGCTAGTATAATACTTTTCAGAGCATGACTTTGATTAACAAAGACTACAAACAAATTGCATAAATTAATAATTCATAATAGGGTAAATACAATTCAATATCCAAACCTTTTATTTTAAACAATATAATAGCCAAAAATTTTCGAAAACAATCTAATATCCAAATCGTCAACTTTGTGTCTATTTGGCCGTTAGTTGACACTTCAAAAAAGTTCGAAGTATGACACTTCATCAATATCCATCGATATCTTTTCTGAAAAACCACCAACATATCGTAGTTCCAAACCCAAGAAGTCCATGACTCCACCATGATGGTATAGAATATCTAAATATTCAGTTATCTGCAATGGCAAAACAAGAAACAAAGTTGTATTGTGACAATTTCCCTTAAACAAAGCTTTTTTGAAGTGTCAACTAACGGTCAAACGAACGGAAAGTTGACGATTTGGATATTATATTGTTTTCGAAAAAATTTGACTATTATGTTGTTTAAAATGAAAAAGTTTGGATATTAAATTGTATTTACCCTTCGTAAAAGCCAACCTCCACTCTTTGGCATCCAGACAAGTCAGGAAGAAGTTTCTACTTGCACAAAAATCACACCCCCTAGGAAAAGGCAACCTCGTATTGCAATCATAGCCAGCATCAGGACAAATAGACAGACTCCCGTCGTAATATCCCAGCATCGTCGTGCCACCTTCCGGGTGGGTTGTCTTCAGAAACCACCAGTTGTCGGCGTCGAACTGGCCGTTGCTACCAACGGAAAACCGAATCCTAGGTGGAGCTGGCCAATCGTCGCGCGACACATCATCTACCACATCAACGTATTGCCTGGCAAACGCTGAAGACGTCGGGATATGTGGACCATAGCGGTAGCAGTAATGTTGCTGATTCCTATCCAGTCCGCTGGCCTTCTCAAAATTCTCTCGCGGCACCCGTTTTCTGAACTTGCTCAAGTCACGGGAGTGACTTGAAGAAGGTAGTCTTGACCATGAATATTTACTACATTGCTCGACCTTTCCTAACAGTTCCTGCAATTTACCATCCTTCTCCATGATGAGTTGTTGTACTAGTGCTTCCTTATCCTCTTCTTCCTTCTTCGATCTTCTTAGATCTTCCAACTCCCGGTTCAGCTTCAGTAACTCCTCGTCCTTCTCTTTCTCCCGTTTCTTCGAGTCGTTTGCTTCCCTCCTCAACATCTTCAGCTCCTCCTCCTTTGCCGGTTCGTGAGTCGTTTCCTCTGACTCTTTTAGCTTTGCTACTTCTTCATCCTTCTCTCTCTCCAGTCTTTCCACTTCATCATGCATCTCTCGCCTCAGTTTTCGTATCTCCTCGTCCTTCTCCTTCCTCAGTTTCCTCAACTCTTCCCCCTTTTCCTTCTTCACCTTCCGCACCTCCGCATCTCTCTTGTCAATGGCCGCTTCCATCTCCTGCTGGACCTTTTGTAGCTCTTCGTCATTTCCCTACCTCAGTTTCTGTATCTCGTCATCCATTTCCGTGGTTACCTTCTTCAGCTCCTCCTTCTTCTCGTTCAACATCCTTTTCAACTCCTCGTACTTCTCCTTACTGATGATCGCCCCGCCTACCATCGACGGCGACTTGGGTATTTTCTTATGCTTTGGCACACCGTATTTCAACTCCAAGCGCCGCCACATGGTGATCCTCGACATGTCGACACCGTGATGCGACCAGTTGAAGAGATCATTCAATCGGAGATAGTGAATTCCAAACTCTTTATGCTCGCGGAGCTCGGTCACGTCTTGAAAGCAATACCCTCCAGGGCTCACCATCAAACCCAATCGAGTGAGGTGTTGGGCTAGCTTGGTCAGGGCTTCCCGTCCGTCGATCTTCCCATGACCATCGAAAAACAACAGCCCGTCGTAGTACTGCTCTTCCGCCAAGTCATCCACGTCTCTATCATCATCACTGTCAACAATGATACTGCCAGCTTCTCTCCAATGAGTCTTTCGAATAAGACAAGGGTGAATAGTCGGATCGCTCAACTCACAAACTCTGAGGGTGGTTTTGTCGAAAGAGGTAACAAAATGCTTGTCTGACTTGAAATTAAAAAGAACCATGGTTGCCAATAGTTTTCTGCTCGAGGTGATGGGAGATTAGCTAGAGATGTTTGCTAGCTAATTAACAGGGATAGATGAGTTTGGGTGATTTGTACAATTTGACTGGATGCCATTTATATCTATAAATATAATGCCTATGATCCATGTGACAATCTCCCACCACCAGCTTAAACTTAAATAAATATCTGTCTTAATACCTCACATACATAATAAACAAATCATAATGGCCTACTAAATGTATTCGATGTCTTAATTCCAAGTTCACAACTAAGGCCACGACCCTACAAACAGAAAAAAAGAACAATATTAGAGAAAGACTCTTTAGTTGCTGGTGGGGTTGGTCAGTCGTTAACTATGCATAATAATCAAGGTTTCGGAAATCTTATCCTACCGGTCAGTCGTATTGGATATACTAGATATCGAACCCAAAATGTTAGGCGGTTTTATCGGTTCAATCACTATTTTAGTATAAAATACTCTATCTCTCTGGTATAATCTTCGATACGGTTTCACAATCCTTGATAATAATTCTTTTTTTTTATAACAAATGCAATTTTGCCATGGAATCGATTTTAAGGGTGTTTATGTATTGCATTTGTAAATTAGGTGTATATGATGTCAGTTTTGTTGATTTATTTTATCTTAAAACAAAACTAATGTGAATTTGAATAACAATGATTCAATGAACAAAAAATCGTATAATTTATTGGAAAAACCATTTATCATTTGTTATGGTGTATGTTTTAATATTATATAAGATAGGGCTGGCAACCAGTCGGTTTCGGTTAAACCGAGACCTGACCAGTGGCCACCGTCAACCGACCGTCCCTAGAGCCCCGGTTAGCCGCAAACCGACCGGACGGTTTTTGGTTCAGGTGCGATTTAACCGAAGCAACCGAAAAATTGATGGGCGGTTCGGTTTAATTACCTAACCGACCGACATTCGCAAAAACCCGACCTGTAACCGCCAAAAACTGTGAGCTCCCTCTGTTTCCTTCTTCTCTTTTCCCTCTCGGCCTCTCCTTCCATTCTTCTTCCAAACCAAAAAAAAAGCAACAGAAACAAGAAAAAGCCCTTTTGATTTCATTCCATCCTCTTTCCCCCATCTTTCATTAAACCTGCCCAATCTCTGCATATCCCATGTTTCTTCCTTCCTCTGTTTTCCCCTCCCCTGCATTATCCCAATTCCCAACCCAGAAGGAAAAGAAAAACTGAACCCTTATCATAAAACCCCCATCTTCAACAAATGGTGGCTCAATTTGGCAATCCAGGCAAGGAGGTGGACTGTTGACTGGCGGTGATGGAGGACTGGAGGAGAGTTGTGGCGCGGCGGGTGTCGACTGATGTTGTTGCCCGGGCGGCGCGGCGATGGCAGAGTGGAGGAGGGTTGCGGCGCGGCTGGTGAAGGCGGGAGGCGCGGCGAGTGGAGGGGCCATTGGAGCGAGGCGGCGGGGCGATTGGAGGGAGGCGCGACCGACGAGGCGATTGGAGGGAGGCTGGGTCGTCGGCGGCGGCTGTGCTGTGGGAGTGGCTAGCGGGCGGCGGCTGTGCGTTTTTTAGAAGAGGGTTTGAGGCAGGATGGACTCCACGAGAGGAGAAGGTCTGAGGGTCGATGCTAGGGTTAGGGATGGGTTGGGTCGTTTCAGCTGGGCCAAAACGGGGTCGTATTGTCGGTCGGTTAGCGTCGGTTAGCCGGTTAACCGGCGTCGGTTACTCGGCTAACCGCCTAACCACAGACAGACTCCGCCAACCGACCGCCCCCTGTTATTTTCGGTTTCCGGTTAGCCGCTAATCGACGGTTAACGGTTAGTCCGGCCGGTTAGCCGCTAACCGGCAACCGAAATGACAGCCCTAATATAAGATGCCATTTTCTATTAGGTACGTGTATATTTTATCGTCATCTTAATATTATCTGTTACCATTTGTCAACTTAATATTATGTGATGTCACTTCCTCTTAGGGGTATATTTTGTCACCCATGATTTGTGCTGTAACCATTTGTCAACTTAATATTATATGATGCCAAGTGTGTCCTTAAATTAGAGGTCCAAACATCCACAATATGACGATGGACTTTATCCTGGAAATTTCATCTGCCGATTCGTTCATAGCCAAATTTCACTTTCCAGACAATGGTAATTCCAATTTACTTGTGAGAAATTCAATATAGGTCTCACAAAAAAAGAAAAAAAAATCAATATAGGAAATTTCACGAGTAAAACATGTATGAATTTCAATATTTTTTTTACAAGGACGATATCAGTTTTTTTTAGTATTATGTGTCATTTAAGGGATCCAAATCTGGGACATCCTGGTTTTGAATCAATAATTGTATCACTAGACCAATCTCTTGTTTGCATAATTAGTGATATTTTTTATAATGCTGCCATATGTTTGTTCTTATTGTTAAGTGCTACTTAAAAGATTCGAACCTGAGATCTTAAAATTGAAACTAGTGGTAGTACCACCAGATCAAAACCGTTGTTCGATTCAACGGAAAAAAAACCTGTTGTTCGCAATAATTAATGATTTACTTGTACTTTAAGTATTTCTATATTTTTTGAACTATTGTTCTATAAATTCATTTAATGACCATTAGATGAATGATTTTATGCCTAAAAGTAATTGGGTTAGTTAACATTTTATGTTATGTTATCATATTAGACAAATAACGATATATAAAAATACAGGTTTGGTTTTTAAAGTCTATTTTTATAACGGGTGGCATGATATGCATCAATTGTAAAACATACAAGTAAAATAGTTATAATTCTAAGGCAAGTCTTTATATTAAATAAATACCGAAGGTGAAACTCTTAAATTTAATCACTAAAACATATTTTTAGGTCAAATTACATAATATACACTCAATTTCACTGAAATGCGCTTTAACATACCGTTTGGTATAAATGAATTCTATAAGTTTTGAGGAATTCATTTTAAAATGAAACATTTTTGTGTTTGGTATTTAAAAGAATTCATTTTCAATTCTAAATTTTGAATTCCATGGAATTGGAACTAGTTTTAGAAATTCCGAGGAATTGAGATAGAATTTCCAAATGAATTCCACAAGTATTTACTAATTATAATAGAATGATATAATTTTCCTCTTTTATTAACTAAATTACTTATACATATGATATACCAAACACAGGAATTCATTTGACAATGAATTCTGCACGGCAATTCATTTTATTTCTAAGGATTTGAATATGACACACCAAACACAAGATTTCATTTGACAATAAATTTTACACGGTAATTCATTTTACAATGAAATAAATTCTCGATTCATTTGATACTAAACGTTCTCAAAATGAAACATTTAAAATACTTTCGCATAAACAAGGCAATAATTATATATTGGTATATAATTGTTTTCAGAGCAAGTCTTTGATTAAAAAAGACCACAAACAAAATGCACAATAAACAACTAGATATTGGCCCGGCCTGTTGGCCGGAGACATCGATGGTGGTTATTGAATAAAGTTGTATATGCTTTCTTGTAATTGGTTTATTTATGTTGAGCATACAATATGTCGTTATATCAATTTGTAGTAGGAATAGTAATGGGCAGGTTCGGGGCGAGTATCTCGATGCCCATACATGCCCCATGGCAGGTCGGGTCCATGCCGAGTAATTTATTACGGGGCGCGGGTCGTGGCAGGTCGACCCAATGGGTATGTAATTTATGTCAAAAACATTAGAAATATTAGTTATTCTCATTAAAAGACCAAGAAAGAAACCATAATATGATAAAATCTAGTTAAATTATTGAAGAAATTGAGGTTTTCAATTAATTACAACTTTATTATAGCTAAAATATAATGTAATAAGAGGAGAATCCTAAGTAATTTGACTAAGATTATATGTAATTTAGGAAAGAACGGGTCGAGAATGGGGCGGGTCAGGGCAGGTCGGGTCGATGAGAGATACCCATGCCCGCCTCGCCCCAAAAACAAGCCACACAGGTCGGGTAAATCGGGTCAGGTCGAAATTGTCATCCCTAATTTGTAGTAGTTATTGTCACTGTATTAGAAATTTTGACAAAGCTGATCATTTAGTGACATAAAAGCCTCACTTCTCGTCGGATTAATTAGCTAGTGACCGACGCATTTGATTGTTTCATCTAAAGTTTATTGTGTTGTATTCTTTTGATAGGTAACCACAATAAAAAAATTACTTGTAGTTAGCCGAATTATTTAGGCAAGTACTCAAACTATTCTTATGTCGATTAACTCTTACGTCGATTTTAAAAGGTTTGACTATATTTTGAAAAAACAACACTAAAAGGTTTGGTTATTAAATTCTTTGTAAAAAAAAAAATTACTAACAAAGTATAACTTAAATTAAAGTCAATGAAAAAAACATGAGAGTTGCTTTTCAATGATACATATACAATCAATTTTCACCATAAAAAATGTTATCGTCAGAAGCCTGGACTTAAGATCTCTAAGTGCGCTAATGCCTTAAAACAATTCGTCTTTTTTTTTTATCAGTTTAAAAACAATTTGTCTTTGATGTCTATTAAATTGGGGGGGGGGGGGTACTTGGTCAATTCCTTAAGCTGTAAGCTCACGAAATCAATCTGTCTACAGTTACACTCACCTTGATGATATTAAAGTTCAAACAATTGAAACTAAAAACAAAATATTACCAAGATGTTATGATTCGATGATAGTAAAAATCACAATGACAAAAAGGACATATGTTTTCAATGATGCACCAAGAGAAAAGCTTAATAGGAGAGAACAAAATTGTCACAATCCTAAAGGGCCTAAATTATCAGGCTAATCCTCGAATTGTGGACCATGGTCAATCTTCTCATAAACTATGGTTATCAATTTTGCCGTCTCAAAGTTCCCCATGGTCGATTTTGAAAGAAAAAGTCTTCCAATATGATCAGTCATTCTCTTGAGAAGATTTATCATTCATAGAAAGATAAAGAGAAATAGAGAATTGAAAATGGCAGAGTCCTTCTCTAAACTCCACCGATAAGGCCATGGAAGAATCAAAATTGTCATTCCCAAATCCTAGACCTATGAACCTCACTAATCCTTAACTCTGAATTATGCTATCATTAGCTTCTGAAACTGAAAAGAAAAGGCATATCATCAAGCACCCATGTCCAAGGCTGGAAGTTTGGTACCGGTATTTGGGATATACCGAATTTGTCTATATTTAGTATTATCGAATACACGTATTATTTTGTGGGATTGGGATTGAATTTCAATTGTTATTCGGTATTAGGGATTATGGGATTGTGATCGGTATATACCGAAATACCGATCAATACCGAAATATAAGCTAATGCATATTTTATCCTCTCAACTAAACTCTCTCATTCACTATTACGCGACCATCAACCACCGAAAGTATCATTTAATTATACATAGATCATTACATTCACACTATTATTAGTCGTCTCTCAACCTCAAATTCGTCAAATTAAAGATTACCAATTACAATAACTTGAGATGTTAGCTCTAGGCAACTCAAGACTATTTGCTTAGTCTCTTCGGCCTAAATTAAACAATAAAATCAAATTTATATATTTAATTATTAATTGCAAAGATAATTAATTATGTATTCGATAATACCGATTGGGATACCGAAATTATTTAGGGATTGGGATTGGAATACCGAAATTATTTAGGAATTGAGATTGGGATTGATTTTAGGGTGTAATTCGGTATTCGGGATTTTTGTATTTGGTATTGGGATACCGATACCGTACCGATTTCCACCCTATCCATGTCCCAAATGGGAAGAGTAAAAACTCATGACCTTAGATGATAACAAAATAGTTTTAAACATGTGATTTCCTGTTCTTAATGTTAAAGTTTTGGAAAATAAATGTATGAGCTACACTACTGTGATCCGTATGCTGGAGGATTGGGGCTTTCTTTGTAGCTCTATATATGACATACCTTCCATCAATCTATCGCTTTGTAGTTGGGGCTGGGGCGCAACAGTTCATGAGTCTGATATATGATCTGGCATAACTTCAATCCATCACAACACCGTAGCAGGATAAGGTACACATTCAAGTTGCAAGGTTCTGGCTGATTTGACTCAAAACTCCACGTAAAGGAATCCCGATGCACCGTTAGAATCCAACCCAGAGTATTTTATGAGGAAAGGTAGTAGGGCACAACAACATAAAATCAAAATAAAAATGATGCATCACCCTAAACAAAGAAATTGAACTACTAAACAAAATGTAAGTGTCACCACATCTGAAAATCTGTACTGATAAAAACAAAAAGCAAAGCAGGCTTTAACTAATGGAAAAGTGAAAGTAAACAGAGATATGAAAAAGAAAGAGAAAATTCATCAAAATAAAACACAACAAATTTGGAATATGAAATCAAATAAATTGGAAATATTGTTTCTAGCTATCTATACAGTCATATTCTCATCAGACCCCTCAAAGTAAATGAGTTGAGGGTGGGCTATTTAAGATGGAAACACAGGGTTTAATATTATGGTTGTGCACAACTCGGACGGTACGGAATGAGAGAAGTTGGGTGAGCTAGGAAGGTTGGGTAGATTCAGATGATGAGGCGAAGAATAATTGAGAAGCTCCAACTGAAGATTGAGGTTAAAACCTGCGGTAATAATTTTGCTTTCGGTGTTTAGGGATTCATCGAGAGAAGAGGAAAGCAGGTGGGGAGGAAAGGAAGAAAAAGAAACTATAGTAGTCCAGATGCGTATAAGTCAAACCGCACTGTGGAATTTAATTTTGGCAATTCCCTTCAATGCCCTTCCGGGAAACACTCCCAGGGCTGCAATTTTGAAATGGAGAGTTTCAGATGCTTTAAAACGTATTATATATTCTATAGATTCATAACTTGATTAATGTAACTGAACAATCCTCCAATAATATATGGTAGAGTTTTGTGAACTTTTATCCATTTCAAATTTCCTGCAACGAGAGTGAAAGTAGGAAGGACATTTTTGTCTTTACAATTAAATATTTATCTCATATAAAAATATCAATATGAGGATTTGAACCCGGGTCTCTTAAAACAAAGACAACAATCACAACCAATTACACTAAACAAATTTGTTGTATCTTTTTTAGTACAAAGCATACACAAAGTTAGACTCTGAAAATTGGATGAATTTTCCATCATGATTACCAAGCCCACTAAGTCTACCGTATATATTTTTATGGTGCTTGATACTTCAGTTTTCATAGTAGCTAGAGTTTCATGTAATTTTCTCAATTTTAAATTTTTTGCTCTCGCCTTAATTTTTTTTGCTAAAGGTAGATGGGTAATTGGCTACCATAGAAGAAACTAATTATGTTACTACGTGTTGTATCATTGAAATTTTCAATTTAAATTTAAATTTAGTGCTTTTTTATCTTTGTTCTTATCTCTTTTAACTTCCTCCGAAATTCTCTCTATCGTGCAATAGTTTACGCCCCTTTCACTTTTCAATACAAGGCCGCCTTTGAAATAATATTTTGATTCTCTTGGCACTACGATTTTATTATTGGGGATTTAAACTAGGCAAGTAGAAGATTTCAACTCCGATATCAATCCATGACAAATAGAATGGAGTTCAATAAATGGAGTGGTAGAAAGAGGATTAGAGATTGAATTTTTTATTGAAACATATGTCTCTTGAGATAAAAATTTGGTTCTACAACAGAGAGTGGTGACTATTGGACCTTTAGGTTTATGGTTTTTGCAGATAGGTTGAATTTTTATTCAACCTACTGGAACTGATAGATACGGAGTGTCTAATTTTGTGCCTTTTACTTCGATCGAGTTTATTAGCATATTAGAGGTAACCCTAATTTTGTCGTTTGCTCTCAAGTTTTATTGGTCCCCTCTTAATTGAGTTGTTAGTATATAGTAGACTTGAATCAACAATTCTCCATTTCTTTTTGATTAGTGGCATATTGTTCCTAAGGAGAGCATTGAAATCTTTATGTAGGATTGTGAGGTTTAAAATTGTGTTTAAAACTATCTATGGCGTGTGGGAATTCCAATGAGCTTTTGTACTCTATCTTTCTTGACAATCAACTAACCAATAGCATTTTGATTGGGGCTTAATTATCATTATAAAAATGAGATCAATTATTTTTATATTTTATATTCTTATTTCTCCAAAAGTTCGACCTATATATTCTTTCTTTATATATCATCTAGATCGAATAATTGTCAATAAAATTAAACGGTTGATAGATTTAAATGTAACATAAAAATACAAATAATCAAATATGAACATTCCGGCCAACGGGCCGGGTTATAAGCTAGTAGTATAGAAAGACTATCTAGTAGCTGTGGGGTGGGTCGGTCATTATTATGTACTAGTCTTCTTGCCCGCGCTCCGCAGCGGGACTTATAGTTCTCATAGCTGATTTTGTAAAGGAGTATTGACTAAATTTCAATCCAGTCTAGCATAAAAGAAGTAGCTAACCTGAGGGCACATTTTTGGAGTAAAAGGATGGAAAGGTTGAGATCCTTTATTCAATTTTGTAATAAACTTTTAGAAAATTTTTATAGAAGTATCATAAGTCTTAACGATGTTCTAGCAAGATAATCAGAAAAGTAGTAAACCATTGGCAAAAAGTTGTCTTACATGCCACACCATAGACGTGTAATTACAAAGAGTTTACTGAACTCTTTACATAACAAACAACAAAGTCCATCAGCAGGTGCAGTATTCACCAAAACCATTCATTTACAGGCCACATGCCATGGAGACCATGCTAACAAATGACATATAATTAATAGAGCACATAGCAAACATGAAACCATTTTCCAATCATCTAGACAAAGGTTCAGTTCAAAAGACACTCTTGACAATGAAATGGCAAAGGTTCTTCATATTAACCATAGAGGAAAACATCTTCATATCCAAATCATCAATGAAGGAAATTCATACCCTGCAAATAACAAAAAGAAACATGATGAGCATGAATAATCAAAGAGCACAAATAACTGTAGGAAATTATAAGTTGCAAGGTAATTAAGACTCTCCAACAACAATTTGATAAAGTCTTAAACATCCAATTGTTCGTTCCAACCGGCCATCCCATTGACGGAACAGCTTCAGGAATAAAGTTTGAACTGGGAATCAGGAAAGGAACTGTATCGATAGAAGCAGAAGAATAAAATTTTCTTCATCGACCTAAAAGGTATTAAACAAAATCCCAATGCTTCACACTCATGATGCTGCAAGGTTGTCAAAAACCATAAGAAAAGGTAGTTCAAAAGTAGGAGAAAGAGAGGACACCAAAGATAGCAATCAATATATAAGACAACCATAACTCAGTAGATGCAGAGGAACTCCTCCATGATCCGAGTATCAAGATTCAAGATACATAAAAAGGGAATTGTATGATTTCAAGGGTCAACCATCATGGTTCTGAAAGTAGACTTGTCGGGTAGAAATTACAGGAAAAGCAGCCAAACCAATAGCTGCAGAATTTTCCATACTATCAGTACTGGAGACCACAAAGGGCACATGGATTTAAACATAGGCATTGGTAATGATTAAACCAACAAAGACAACAGAACATCAACTAAAGCTATTTTACCTAAGTGAAATTGATCTCGCACTGTTGATACCTCTGTTAAATGAGTAAAGCGAAAGGTCAACAATACCTATTTAGAGAAGCTGCAGGAAGAACACTCTGAAATAGGAATCAGAACAACTACCAAAGCGAGATAAAGTAGTAATGAATAAGCTAAATGACAAATCATGTAGCATCAAAAGAGTAAGTGAAGAAGCGACGTATCAAATAGTCAGACTCACACCGTCCTTTCCAAAACACAGAATCTCCAGAAGCATCAAACAAAAGGCATGTATTAGAAAAGAGGAAGCTAGTTTAGACAATAGGAGTAGAGAGAGGGGGAAAAGATTGACAGAACCATCAAAGATAGAATAACCTTCGTCTATGTCTCTGGTTTCCGTCTCTATCGAAGACGACTCCAAGAAAATGATCATGGGCATCCTTAATCAGTTCGGGGTATATGCAAGCAGAAGGGGATAGAGAATAAAATCACAACCCACAAAGAGTAGAGAAACAAAAGAACAAATATTGGATGCTCACATGAACCCCCACATATGGGTGAGAATAGGTGGAAAAGAGAAATAGCCGGCGGAATTCCAAACCGCACAACTCTAGGATTTCCCCGCCTCTCCCTACCTGATTCTCTTGGCCACCATCATCGTTGATGTTCCAACTGCAACTTAAGCCTACAAAAATGGCAGAACGACAAAGCTGGTGATCAGGGGAAGCAATCGAGTTAAATATTACGTAAAACATTTTACATTTATACACCCAGGCATTTCACCTTCTCTGCACAGATACGGTTAGTCCTTGAACCCAGTTCAGATACGTAGCTTTATATCGTCTTCTTCGCCTCGACGGTCTTCCACGGTTGAGGATGAATCCTAGGGCAAAGAGGATGAGTGTAGAATGTGAAATCTCCAAGCTGGTGTCTGCAATCCCTGAAGACAAACGGGCAATTTGCCCGAGCGAGCATCTTTGGGAGAAGGGGAGAAAGACGAAGAGAGAGAGAGACAGGGAACAATGTTGGGGTGAAGAGAAATAGAAGAGTAGATGTATAGAAGAAAAGAGCCACGAAAACAGAGAGATATGGGATTGTGAGCTGGGTGTCAGGGAAAACTTGGGAGTAGGAGATAGTTGCTCTGTCTTCCCTGATAAGCCTTGACACACACAACAGAGTTTGCTTTTTCCTGCCCTGAGCTCCAAGAACCGATGCGGCAACGTGGCCTTGCTTACAACCAAGGAAGTTGCAGAGTGCAGACTCACCTTAGCTTCCCTCTCTCCAATGTGGCCTCACTGCTTGTCCACTTCAATGCGTCAACTCTAGCCCCCTCCAATCAACGGTCATCTCAAGCAAAAAGTAAAACCCAAAATAGTAGTCACTACCTCTCTTGTCCTAGAACTCAAAGGGGCAAATAGTTGCCATGTGATCAACTCGAGTGAGGGGGAAAGAGAGGATCCAAGTGACTAAACTGTCGCAACAAAGACAAACCGTGGTAAAAACGCAACTGAACCAAGCAAATCCCATCAGGACTCAACCAGTGACCACCCTGCACCCGCGCACATTGGAGCTCCATCCGAGTTGAAACAGTGACATTGAGTCACGATGTTTTAAGGGAAAGTAGTCTTGGTGCACAGGAAATGGCTATGCTAGAGGTTTTCTTTTTTCAATTAATCCATCGACTGATTCCTTCTAACAAACCAAAAGTACATGATGACAATTGACAAGCATTGACCTTATAAATTAAGTTATATGTGCTTTCTTATAATAACTGCTCTGACGATTTGATTATTCTTGAAAATATTTTACCTTTTTTTACCGTAATATGAGGAGTAACAACACACATAAATTTGCAAAAAAATGGTTTACCATTTACTTGTACTTTAAAAACGGCTGGAAATTTTGCATGTATCTTAGAAAAGAGTTCCTTTTCAGTTTCTCTTTATTGTTTATAATTTTTGGTAGAATTAGTCTCTAGCAATGAAGCTAATTACTTTCAGACCAACCATTCAATTATTCCTTTGCGCGATCAGCTATAACAATAGAGGATTCGACTAACGACTGTTAGTGTGTGCACCAAACTATCATTAATTAGCGTGGTAGGAAGTTCTAATCTCAATGATCAGTACTAGAATTAGAAGGCTAATTATTTGTCCCACATCTTTTCAGTTCACGACAAAAAGGGAAGACGAACGAGAAAAAACAACGAAGCATAATAGAGAAAAAAGTTGATGAAAAAAAACAGGCCATGCACCAAGAGCCTAGCATCGCAGCATCATCTACTCTCGATACGTAAAAGCCAGCCTCCATTCACTATCCACACAAGCCAGGAAGAAGCTTCTATCCGCATAAAAATCACGACCCCTAGGGTAACACAATCTCGTATTGCATGTATAGCCGACGTCGGCACAACTCGAAAGACTGCCGTCGTAAAAAGCCAGCATCGTCGTGCCTCCTTCCGGGTGAGACGTCTTCATAAACCACCAGTTGTCGACGTCGAACTGGCCGCCGTTACCAACCAAAAACTTAACGCTAGGTGGAAGCGGCCAATGGTCGGTCGACACCTCATCCAAAACACCGATGTATAGCCGAGGGAACGCCGAAAACGCCGTCGTGTGTGGAGCGTAGCGGTGGCAGCCATGTACGATGTTCATTTCGCTGTATCTTTCAAACTTCTCTCGCGGCACCCGTTTTCTGAGCCTGCCGTAGCCGGTAGCAACGTATCTTACAGAAACTAGATTTGTCCATGAGTTGTTACTGTACAGCTCTAGCTTACCCAACAGTTGGTCCCTTTGGTTTCCTAGTTCTTGCAATTTGGCATCCTTCTCCTTTATGAGTTGTTGTAGTGCTTCCTTATCCTTTTTGTTCTCCTCTTCTAGGTTATGATCTCCTTCTTCTTCCTCAGCATCCTTCTTCGATCTTCGTAGATCCTCCAACTCTCGTCTCAGCTTCAGTAACTCCTCGTCCTTCTCTTTGGCCTGCTTCTTCAAATCGTCTGCTTCCCTCCTCAACATCTTCATTTCCTGCTCCTTTCCCGGTTGGTGATCAATCGTTTCCTCCTCGTCTTTCTTCTGATCTAGCTTTGATGTTTCTTCATCCTTCTCTCTCTCCAGTCTTTCCACTTCATCATGCATCTCCCGCCTCAGTTTTCGTATTTCCTCGTCCTTCTCCTTCCTCAGATTCCGCAACTCCTCGCCCTTTTCCTTCTTCACCTTCCGTAGCTCGGCATCTCTCTTGTCAATGGCCACTTCCATCTCTTGCTGGACCTTCTGTAGCTCTTCTTCATGGTCATCCCTTAGTTTTTGTATCTCGTCTTCCATTTCCGTGGTCACCTTCTTCAGCTCCTCCTTCTTCTCGTTCAACGTCCTTCTCAACTCCTCGTACTTCTCCTTACTCACCACGCCCACCGTCGGCGACTTTGTTATTTTCTTATGCTTAGGCACGCTGTACTTCAACTCCAAGCGCTGACACGTGCCGATCTTCGCCGAGTAAACACCGTGATTGGACCAGTTGAAGAGATCGTTCAATCGGAGATAGTGAATCCCGAACTCTTTATGCTCGCGGAGCTCAGTCACGTCTTGGAAGCAACACCCTCCAGGGCTCACCATCAAACCCAATCGGGTGAGGTGTTGGGCTAGCTTGGTTAGGGCTTGCCGTCCCTCGATCTTTCCATGGCCATCGAAAAACAACAGCCCGTCGTAGTACCGCTCTTCTGCCAAGTGATCATCAACGTCTCTATCATCATCGTCGCTATCAACCGTGATATTGCCAACTTCTCTCCAGTGAGCATTTCGTATAAGAGAAGGGTGAATAGAAGGATCGCTCAACTCACAAACTCTAAGGGTGGTTTTGTCCGAAGAGGTAACAAAGTGCTTGTCTGATTTGAAATCAAAGAGAACCATGGTTGCTGATGTTTTTCTTCTCTAGGTGATGGGAGATTAATTAGGGTTGGAATGTTTGCTAGCTAGCAGGAATAGATGGGATGAGGTTGTATGTCAAATTTTGTGGATGCCATATATACATACTAATGCCTATCAATGTGACAATCTCCCACCAACCGCTTAACTTAAATAAAATAATTAGACTACATAAATCAGTTTCCTGGCAAACAAGAGTAAGTTTCCCGGCAATGAAAATTTCATTTGCCAAGTGCTAGCCAAGTTTGACTTATCAGACAAGGAAAATTTCCGAGAAATTAAAGTTCTTGGTTCATTGGCTTAATTGTCACTAATAAATTATTTGTCTTAATACTTCAAATACGCAATAAATAATTAAATATCATCAGTACCGGCCAAGTGTCTAACGGTTAAATATTTCCGGGGAAACAGTCAAACAGCCATTATTTTATTTTAGGTGGACTAACCTAAATTATTCGGATTAACACCCTGAAGAAGAAACCGCTTAATCAGTCGGGCTTTGAAGGATAGCCCACTAAACTCCCATTGATTAGATAGGAAGAGCTGCCCGGCCCGGCCCGGCCCAGCTATCTTTGCAGAAGGGGCAGTCCGCAGCAAAATTCTTTGCGGACCAAGGAAAACAACGGACGCTGGCAGAAGAATACAGTTCGTCTCTCCCTTAAACCTTCCCCTCGCTCATAGCTTGAAAGCCCCGGCGGCTTCGTCTCTCCCGTCAGCGCCTGAACTTCATCTTCTTCACCTATTCCAACCAGTTCAGGTACGTAACTTCACTCTTCTGGTTCGCCCGAAAGCATCGTCTAGACGAGAAACTCGTCTTGCTTTTTTTTTTTTTTTTTAACATGATTAGCTGATGAGGCAATGAGCTGTTCTTCGGCTCTCGTAGCACCTGTTGCTGCTCCCTTTCAATGGCGTACGATCTGAGTGAAACTTGCTTCTCCGAGCACGACTCGGATTCCGAATTTTGTGTTTTAAGTCAGAAAGGGTGAGCTTTGTGGACTTGTTTAACGTGGGGGGATTTTTCCTGGCTAGGTTTTTGGAGAACAGGAAGGATGTTGGACATTAATCTGTTTAGGGAAGATAAGGGAAACAATCCGGAAATCATCCGGGAATCGCAGCGCCGCCGATTTGCCAGTGTTGAGATTGTTGATGAGATTATTGAGCTCGACAAGAAATGGAGACAATGTATGTAAATTAAGACGTCCCCTTCCTTTCAGCCCTTTCTGGCGTCTTTTCGAATCTGGCCCTGCTGTTACTACTGTGAATGTCTCACACTGGTTCCGGGCCTCTGTTTTTTCAGGTCAATTCCAGCTCGATAATATGAGAAAAGACTTCAATAAAATGAACAAGCAAGTTTACCAGCATAAGAAGGTGAGGACTGGGTTTGCCCTCTTCCTTTTTTTTTTTTTTGGTCTTCGTATGGGCGTTTATGTTTATTGGTTTCTCAAAATCAATTGGCTGCTGATTTGATTGAAAAATCAGGACAATCTAGATATAACTGAACTTATGAAGAGCATCGAGGAGCACAAGCAACAAATGGCAGTAAAGGAAGATGAGGTGCTGGCTGATAAGAAGGCATTGTATGTGAAGCTCGAAACTGTTGGGAACCTTATCCATGATTCCGTCCCTATCAGCAAGGATGAGGTGAGCAGTACTTTGGTGCTGAACACAATGGCATCGTTTTAGTTTATGTAATGTTGCCCATGAGCTCTTCTAACATTGGGTTTTTTCCCTTCCACTTCTGGGTTTTGCAGGCAAATAATGCTGTGATTAGGGTTTGGGGGGAGAAGCGCACAGAGCAAAAGTTGAAAAATCATGTTGACCTCGTTGAACTTCTTGGGATCGCTGACACAAAGAAAGGTGCTTTGATATGATGGTGTTTTAATTAGTTTGTTTTCTAATTTTCTATGCCTCCAAGTCTCATTGATTATTCTTGTTCTCGATTGTTAAATATTGTCATTCCATTTTCCGCTCATTGAATTTCGGTCATCCTTTAGTATGTATTCCTTTCTTGGTTTCATAGCCGTCTTAGTTTGTACCTTCCATCCTGAATTAAGGTGGTCAATGTGATGTTATACATGCGCTCATTTCTATTTTCTAGAATCAGCCCTTGAACATTTTATCGAAGTTCAGGTTGCTTTGGCCTTCTGGATCATGTTTGCTTGTTAGTTGTTAGTCATGTTTTTTTTTTAATGAACAGGAGCCAACATAGCTGGAGGTCGGGGCTTCTACCTAAAAGGTGATGGTGTTCGTCTAAATCAGGCACTGATTAACTATGGTTTAGATTTCTTGGATAAGAGAGGGTACACAGCATTGCAGACTCCATTTTTCATGAGAAAGGAAGTCATGGCCAAGTGCGCTCAGTTGGCCCAGTTTGATGAAGAGCTATACAAGGTAACATTCCGAAATGTCGTGATATATTTAACGTCCGAAGGGCGTATAAATGTGCACATGTTATGTGAGCATATGCATGTTCCTTTGTGCTGAACGATGTACTTCATGTTGAATAGGTGACTGGAGAGGGTGATGATAAGTATTTAATTGCTACGGCTGAACAACCATTATGTGCATATCACATAGATGATTGGATTCAGCCCACTGATCTACCAATCAGGTACAATTGCAAAGTACACTAGTACTTTATGGAAGAAGTCCCAGAATGAAATTTGTTCTCACTAGTTTAATGTGCTTTTCCAGATATGCTGGATACTCATCATGTTTCCGGAAAGAAGCCGGATCGCATGGGCGAGATACTTTAGGAATTTTCAGAGTTCATCAGTTTGAGAAAGTGGAGCAGTTCTGTGTTACTAGCCCGAATGGCACCGACTCATGGGACATGCATGAGGAAATGATCAAGAATTCCGAGGACTTCTACAAATCGGTAATCTCTTTCTTTTCACAAATGTGCATAGTCCTATCATATATTGTGTATTGCCTTTTGCACATTCAGAAACTAATGTTGATAGCTACGTTCCTTTTTTTCTTACAGCTGAACTTACCGTATCAAGTAATTGCAATAGTTTCTGGCGCCTTGAATGATGCTGCTGCAAAGAAGTACGATCTCGAAGCATGGTTTCCTGCTTCAAAAACATACAGGGAGTTGGTGTCGTGTTCGAATTGTACTGATTACCAATCAAGGAGATTGGAAATCCGATACGGGCAGAAAAAGGTCTGCGCCAACCTCTTTGTCTACCTCCATCATGGGTTGTGATTTAGCAATAGTTGATCGGGTATGAAGTACTTACCGAGTATATGATAATGCCGCAGGGAAATGAGGCAGCGAAGCAATATGTTCACCTGTTGAACTCGACCCTGACGGCTACCGAGAGGACACTATGCTGCATCCTGGAAAATTACCAGAAGGAAGACGGGGTTGAGGTCCCAGAAGTTCTGAGACCTTACCTGGGCGGAAAGTCATTCATTCCTTTCCAAACCAAGGGGAAGAAACCCACCAAGTAGAGACTTACATTGCCACTTTGATTGAATTGCTTGCTAAGAAACCCCTCTTAATCTATTTTGATGTCAAATCTTTTTTGGGATTTATCACCTTAATTTGATGCATTCGACTAGCGCATGGAGCTGTTTCTATTGCCCGCTTATTTTGAATACAATTCAACTAGTGCTTGAACTGTCTTCTTCCTATTGGTGGATCATGTGCATTGTGCAAGGCTATTGAAATCTGACCTTTTAGTTTTGCCTGGAATACATATCTAGGGGTGTCAGTTCGAGTCGGGTTTGGTTACCTGAACCGAACCCCGAAAAACTCGAAACCGAAAACCACTAAAACCGAACCTGAACCAGAGAAGGACTTGCGAGTTTCGATTACCCGAAACCCGAAAATTCTTTATCGGGTTCGGTTAAAGCAAAACCGAAACCCGAAAACCCGAACGCCTAAGAATACGAGTTGAGTTCTATTCGTTGGAGGTTTTTAGCCGGAACCCAAAAAACCGATAAGCAAAACCGAACCCAAAATCGAAAAACCCGAAACTCGAAACGAACACGAACCCGAAAAACAACAAATGTATATAATCGGGTCGGTTTCGGATAAACCCAAAAAACCCAACCCGAATGGACACCCCCTATACATATCTCCGCGCGGAGCTGTTGTCTCGCCCACTTGTTTAAGCTATGCCGGCCATTAGGCTATCCACAACCCGAGCCAAACACCAACAAGCCGCATTAGCCGAAAATTTTATTCATCAATTTACGAAAATTTTATTTTTTATGTTGAAATTTGTTCATGGAATATAATTTTTGGTTTAAATGAATTTTGGTTAGCAGAAAAAACACCAAAACATATATTTTGTCATTGACTCATTGGTTGTACGTAGGAGATTGAGAGGTCTTAGAGAGCTTTAGAGCCAAAATCTCCACAAGAAACGAGTCATCAATCCCATCACAGAGGAATGTCATCGCACTAACAATCGTACTTGCATTATCCCGCACAACCCAACCGCCAACACCATACGATCCTCCATCGAGTAGCACGGATTTGGATATAGTCCACCAATTACTATTTGGAGTATGGTTATTCATCTCTCATCCACCGGCTCATAAAAATGCTCCAGTAGAGTAGAGCAAGCAGCAGCAGCCAGCAGGTTGGGAAAGGACAAAACTCGAGCAAAGGGGGACACATCCACGAGAACACGACATTCAGTAACTGCCTTTAAACCAAGCGTTGTAACTTGTTTACTTGCATCCACAAACCAAGCTGCATGATTCGTTTTCAAGGGGCGTACCTCCAAATAAAGCCCACTTTATTTGGGAATAGGCAAAAGGCATCAAAAGAAATTAATTAGCCGTCAAAATAGTAAATCGAGAGTTCCACAACAACTCGTCAAAATTATTCCACCTCCTGTCTCTTCCCTTGTTGGCAGGAGATCTCTTGTGCAAGTCAAGTTAAATTAGGAAAGCACTGCATGCTTCCCTTCTCTCCCTATAAATCAACACCCTCTGCACCTTCATTGCTCATCCCACAAACCCAGCAACCTCTGTAATTTCTTTACTCTACTTCCAAGTATCAGAAAATGGGTCTCAAACGACAGTCATGTCTCCTGGCTATACTCGCCGTCGTAGTGCATATGGCCGGAGGAGCTGCCGTGGAAGCTGTGGAGTTGCCCATTGCGTACTCAGTTTCCAACAATGCCCTCAACACGAAAGGAGGCATCGACTTCCAGAACCAGATCGGCGAGTGGTACGCGAAACGAACCATGTCCAAAGCCACCGTTTTCTCGTGGCGAGCATTCAACCAGCTGTCTTACCCAGGCAGCAAGAAGATCGTGCCCTCGATCTGGCTCGTGGTGGAGTCAATGAGCGAAGACTACAACGGGTACGCAGCCTACATTAACGGCTCGATCGTACACATCAACGCTAACTACTTGGGCCAATACAACGGCGACCTCAAGAGGGAATTCACAGGTAGATATTCTTTTATACTTACTCCGAAACAGAATGTCGTTAAGAACTAGTTGGTCTCAATCAGGAGGGACGGACTCAAGCGATGACGATGATTAAGTGTATCGCGTTCGACGCCTGTACACTTCCGCTTACATTTTTTTTTATGAGATATACAGGTTTCATAGGTACAAAAATTTTAAAAATTCGGATCCTCTCCGAAAATTATAACCTGGCGGCACACCTTTATTATGATACAATAAAATTATCGTATAAAGTTATAACTAAGTACTAATGGACCGATGCACCTGTTCAAAGATCACGAGTTCGCTATTGATGTCAATAACACCGATTGTTGCGAGAGATTCAATTACGGATTACGCTTGGTATATATATCACTTGCAGGTTTGGTGTACAACCAAGTGGCGAGCATCTTGCAGTGGACGGGGAACGGGGAGGCGCCGGCGTGGCTGACGACGGGAATGGCGGACTACGTGAGGATGAAGGCCGGTTACGAGGCCGTCGGTTGGGTGGGCGCCGGAGAAGGCGAGAGCTTGGGCCGTGGGTTCGACGTTGCGGCCCATTTCCTTGGGTACTGCAACAAGCTGAAGAGAGGTTTCGTCGGAGAGTTGAATTACAAGATGAGGAATGGTTATACGGTCGGCTACTTTGTGGATCTGCTGGGGAAAAATGTTGATCAACTTTGGTCGGAGTACAAAGCCACGTACGCCAAGAGGGCTTAATTACTCAGCTAAAAACACTATTAGTCAATGGGGGGAAAATGTTCCTTTCGTTATGGAAAACGACTTGTTTTTGTTAAGGGGATCTATTTTTGGGTTATTCTAATCCGATCCAACAATTAGAATACTAGCATTGAGCCCGGCCGTTGGCCGGATTGATATTAAAGGAATTGGTGTATTGTCACTTTGTTCGTGTAGTACTGAAATTCCTCTTATTTTACTTTTTTTTAGTAAGATTCAACTTCAACTCCTCAACTAATGTTCTAATATATACCATTTCTGATTGATGATTTGGATATAGAAAGTGTTTTTACTCATTTAGACCACCTAAACATAAGACAAAGCAAATTATGCATTTTTTGGAATACATAAGCATTATAAACTCCCCAAACTAAGGCATCTTTTGTAACCTTCGATTCTAAACGTTGTATTCTGACTTCCGAGTATACATGTATTTCATAGAATACAACATTCTTTACTTGTTTTAATCATAGAATCCATGTATAGAGAATTAATGCATGATGTATTCATAATACATACAAAATTATGTATACTTAATCTCATCTTTTTTTTAGATTTATTATCCATAGTTCATTCCATGCATAATCTATGCATTATTCTATTTTTTACAAACAAATTATTCTTAAGATCCACACATTCTTAATGTACACATAATCTTAATACACGTATTCTAGTAATACACTATTTCCGAAATCAAAGGTTCCAAACGACCTCTTAAGTGAATCAGACACTTTAATAAATATAGTATGATTTTCTTCTAAATGTAAATACCATCAACAACTTTCCTTTCTTGACCATCTCAGATTAATACAATAAATTATGCCTATAGCCTCAATAAATAAATAAAAAATAGTCCCCTCGACCTAAACCTACAAAAAATCTCCTAACAATTAGTTTTGATATCTATGATATGAAGATTTGCTTACAATAAAGGTAAAGCCATTTTATTATAGATGACCAGTGTAGACGAAACAATAAACCTTCTATGGGTGGCGAAGGAAGAGCAAGATTCATCATTGAAGCCAAATACAATTTAGCACAGGCAAACAACTTAATGACCAGAAAACCAATACAGTTTGGGTAATCATTCATGATTTTTACCTGAATTTGGTAGAGGAAGGGATCATGGACATTGAGAAATCATTGATAAAAGGCTGACCTGATGATAATATTGTCCATTTTGCTGTTACTGAACTCTTCTAGATTTTGCAGAGGGTGAACTTTGAATAAAATATTGCCCATCCCTGCGTAAGAAATGAAGAAAGAATACCAGTAAAAAATAAAAAGATATTTAAAAAGAATGCAAAGATCAATTGAAGAAATGAATAATAGGACATTGAAGGGAACGCGTTACAGTATACAAACTAACAAAAGTATCCAGCATCGACGGAATTGAAAGTATACACGACGCTCGGAGTGAAGAAGTTTCCCAATGGCTCTCCGCTGGTGCATGATGGCGTGTTGGCGCGTGAAAGTTCAAAACCACGATCTTACTTATGGTAAAATCAAGACGTATTAAATGATAACTGGTGTGTTTGTGGGAAAGCAGCAATTGCAGCGGCGGAGTTTAAGCCTACAATGACTGATGAACGCTAAATTGACATCGACTATATGGAAATCGATGACCGTAAACAGTGTGTGGTGCAAGGAAAGGAATCGTCAGAGTTCTTTTTTTTTTTCAGAGTTGTTGGTGAAGGCAGGGGAAAATCGATGGTGGGAAGTTGCGGGAAGAGAAAACCTAGCCGTCATAGAGAAGTCGAATGAATGAGGCGAATGGTAATCGAAAGGGTCCAAAGGGTCTAACATGAAACTAAAACAGCCCAATCGGGGTAGGAGGAATGGTTCCAGAGTGAGAGTCAGACAGTTAGAGTAATAGGCGGCTGGAAAGGAGACAACTTGAGGAGTCTTTTTTTTTTTCCAGGGAGAACATCGCATTGGAGGAAGATGAAAGACGAAAGTTGCAGCATACGATTCGCAAGAAATATAAAAAAACTAAAACAAAACGCAGGATTCCGAAACTCACGGGGAAGGCTTGGAGGCTGACGTGGATGGGGTGTATTTCTAAAACCTCTTTAATATATTTTAAGATATGTTCACGCAAATGAGAAGACTAAGATGAATCTATCTTCTATTTACAAGTATTAAGTATACATCGCCAACACTTTATAACTTATAGTGGAGATTCTAAGTAATTGTTTTCCTGCATTTCAAAAATATTACAAGGGGAGTGATTATTTGAGGAGGGTTAGATCAGATTTGTCATGTAGAGAGTGGTGGTCAGTGGTCACAATCTGTCCATTGATCATAGTTAGTTGCTAATTGGGGACAGGGAAACAACCTTTTTTTAAGAGAAGGTCACCTAGTTATCTGCTAACTAAGCTCAAAATCTTAACTTTCACAACTACCAACATGAAGACAAGTGAATTATCATTAAAGGCTCTCTCCTCCTTAACGAGTAGAGTGACTTCAGCTTCAATGCCATGAAAGCATGAACCTAAACTTGTTAACATTTTACACTCCGACCAAATCAAGGATTAGGGATGTTTCTAAAAAAAATAATAATAAAGGATTAGGGATGACAACAAAATCCGAACCCACGGGTACCCACCCGACCCAACTCGGTCAATGTGGGTAAAATCCGTGTTGACGGATTTTGTGCCGGGTTTGGGTTTAAACTCGTTCACTATTCACCGCGTTAGGTTGATTTTGGGTTTAGGTAAACCCGGCCCATGGGTACCCGCCCACACCCATATAATTAATTTTCTCGATATATTTAATATTCTAAACAACTAACCTTATTTATGTTTGTGGAGACATGTCTAATTTTTTCTTTCTAATTGTGTAGAATGAAGTTGATGTTATCGAGTGAAGAGTGAAGAAACTAATTAATTGAAAGGAAGAAGCTTTCAGTTAATCATGTTATTTATGGATAATTTGTGTTTTGCTTCAATTTTCTTGAGTTTTCTAGGTTGGTGTTGAACAATTTGTATAGTTAATTTGTGATTTGTTTGAATTTTCTAGAATGGTGTTTTATATATGGATAATTTGTATTGATAGATTGATATTTTACTTTAATTTTGATAGGAATTTGTTATTGTAAATTTTTTACGACAAAAACCCGTGGGTACCCAAGAACCCGCGGATACCCAGCGGGTTGGGTTTGAGTTTTTCAAACCTATTGAATTTTATCCCGAGTTTTTTTCACCGATAAACCCATGAGTTTGGGTTTGGCAAAATCCGACCCAACCCGACCCATTGCCATCTATCAACGACCTAGTTAAATTCTTATAACAATTAAATACGATTACTATTCTTGGAAAAACCAACTAAATTCAATAACAAATTCAACCCCTATCAACTAAATCCTAAATATTAAACTAAAATTTAAATATTAAACTAAATTCTAAATATATAATCATGGTGTGGGGTGGAGATGGTGCAGAATTGAAAGAGAATAAGGGAATATATATTGTTTGGTTTAAGCCTTTAGCTAGAAATGAGCACTTTTTTTAATTTACGTATCAAGTTTATGACAACCTTAAATAATTTTGGAACGATATTTATTTAGCAAACTAGAAAATCAAGGGGAAAAGTAAAACAAAAATAAATGAAAAAAGAGGAGAAAAATGAAGAAACAGGCGAGGCGAGGGGGTTGGGTGAAGGTGAAGGCTCCTTCCGTCTCCGTCCGAGTGAGCATATCTGAGATAACGAAGCCGGCCGAGGCCCCGTCTCGCCATGGCCGACTCCGACGACAAGGTCAGTCCTTAATCAACCACCCCTTTCTTCTTCTTCTTCTTCCAATTTTCCTTTCGTCGCCGCTTCTTCTTATGTTTCTCTGCCTTGTGGAGAATTGATCATAGTTTCCCTCCGTTTTCAAATTTCTCGTCTCATGTAAACAACTTTCTGCCTTGACCTCGAATTCGTACCTAGTTTTGTCTGCGATGGCTTTGATAGGATTGATATATTATCCATCACTTCTGGCAATAATCGACTGGAGGAAAGCTGAAAGTTTATGGGTTTCCATCTTTTTAAATTCATGTTGTCATTCGAATCATTGTCTCACGATGTGATTCATATTGGCCAAAAGCTTTTAGGTAGATGGAATGAAAGAAGCTGAATTTTTCACAAGAGATGAAACTGGGTTTGGCTAACGCTGAGATTGAACTTCTGCCACTAATTGGCTGTTAGCTGCGGTTGCGTTGGATTGAAACTAACAAGTTCCATGTTTAAATCTTTAGAGGGTCTAGTATTTCGATGGATTGGTCATCAAAAGGAGAAACATTTATTACCTGCCGCAGTCTTGTGCTGAAACATAAAGGAATACCATTTTTTTCTCTCCCTCTTGGTAATGCAGGACCAATTTGTGGCGACTGTCTCGGAGGATCATGAGACGACTTGTTGGGGGTGTGGTTTGCGCCTAATTCTTCCATCCTATGCACCGGTTTTCAAGTGCGGGTGGTGCGGAGCAGTGACGAACCAGAACGATAAAAAGCGTGAGAACAAATGGTTCTGGTGGAAACGCTTGAGAGACCGATGCTTCGTATGTGTCCTTCTTGGCTTCATGCTCTTGGTAATAGGTATGGCACACCCGTGTTACCTTTAATGAGAAATCCTGTTTTTGAAACTGTTCCAGAGATACTGTGCTCATTTGGTTTTGTACTTCCCCAGTCCCTCCTAATTGCTTGTTGCTTAAGATGCTCTACTTTCATGTATATTTGATGTCCCTCTCTTGTTTGACTATGCAGGTGGTGGGTTGTGGGCTGTGCTCCCAATTCTTTTCGCCAACGGCCTATTTGCTGGTGTTCTTCACTCGTTTATAGCAGCTGTATTGTCTCTGAGCACTCTTTCAACATTCGTTCTTGCTTCCTTTGGGTGTGCTGGCACACCACCTATCATAGATTGGGGGAGCTATCCAGCTGTGGGGAAAGGTCACCTTGAGAACTACACCTTCTGTCATGATTGTTCAAAGCCCAAATCACCGAGGAGTCATCATTGTCGCTCTTGTGGAATATGTATCCTGGACATGGATCACCACTGCCCCTTTGTAAGTCTGTTTTTTGTGATTTAAAGATTAGTTGGAATCTTGCAGATAGGCTTCCTCTATAATCGTGCTTCTCAATGCTAAGACAGGCTTCCATTGCTTTTCTGTTTGGAACGTGCCACTAAAGTATGCTTTTGAAAACCGTTGCCCCCTGGATAGGAGAAGAGGATGATAACAGACTTGAATACACACGTTATTTCTATAGGGGTTTGGGACTTTGGGTGAGGTTTTATTTGTGTGGTGAAACATGAGTGCAAGTCTCGTGGATTTGGCGATACTTGGGTCTATACCATGTAGCTGCAAAATCCAACATACTTGGGTCTATACCTTTGCCCCCTGGAGTTCCGGCTGGGGTGATGTTTATTAACTCATAGCGCAGCTGAGCAGACACAGAAGCCATAGTACTTATGTACTCAACCCTTTACTAACAATTTTCACCTACAAGCCATCAATCAAGTCTTCTTCCTCAATCTATTCCAGCTTGATGCTTCCTCTTTCTCGTGCTTTCTGGTGCCTGACACTCAACAAAGCACATTCATATGTTGTTGTTTGTGCAGATAGGAAACTGCGTAGGTGCAGCAAACCACCGGCACTTCATCTTGTTCCTCATCTCAGCTGTGACCAGCATGTTATATGTTGCATTCATGTCAGCTTACGTGGGATCCCTGATATGGCCGCCATTAACTTACCAACAACCCCTAGGGTCATTGAGCGGGGTAAACAGCGATCTAGCTTGGAGAACACTGAGAGAGATTTTCCTAGCCCTGCTGAACTCAGCTTTGCTTCTGTCGTCAAGAGGGCTGGTGCTTATGTATCTCTTCTTTGCCAGCATATCAGTGCAGATAGGGCTAAGTGTGCTTCTCTGGCAGCAACTCTCTTACATATACGAAGGGAAGACTTATCTAAGCCATTTAAGGACTGCACCGGACGAGGTCGTGGAGAAAGACTGCAAGAACATTCTGCGGTTCTTCGGGTGCCCATATTCGGTGTCGAGATTCTTGCCCAGCGTGAGTGATTCTCAGAAGAGGCACAGGAAATGAATACTGATTGTGGTTTTTTTTACAATGAGTGATCAATCACCCAAGTAGAGATAAACCGTGACCATCATGACCACTGGCTTAACCATGACAGGAACAGATACTTCATTGTTTATTTTTTTCTTTTGGGAGAAGGATTGCTCATCCTTGTTATGTGTTTGTTTCACGTGACTCCTCGCAGTTGTATAATGTATGATAATACAGAAAATTGTTGAGAAAAAAGAGGAGGAAAAGAGAAGGATATACTCGCATTAAGGGCACTGAATTTTGTTTAAATATACAAGTGTCTTGGGCGACTAGTTCATGTTAAGATGATAGAAACCGAGGGTGAGAGGGGTGAGGGCGGGTCGGCCGGTAGAGTAGGAGTGACCATTTTGTTATTTTTCATTAAACTTATAAAAAGGGGTTCTGTACACTCATTTGGGAATTAAGCAAGAAATAACAGAAATCCCTATTCCTATCTTTCTCTGATTCTTCCCCAATTCTCTCAAATCCCTAATCTACTTCTTCTCTCAATCCCTAATTCCCTTTATGATCAACAAGCATCTATCATTTGGTATCAGAGCCCTCATGAGTTCTTCGAAACTCTCTGATCCAGCATGGGTTCGCACGAGGCAGCTGATCGAGTTCACGTTGTCTGAACTCAAACGGGAGGCTCAGGAACACGGCTGGACGACAGAGGCCGCGGAAGAGACAGCCGAGTCGTCCGAGGGGGTCGTCGGTGCGTCGGGCCCGCCGCGGCTTGCGTGCGTGACGGCGGCTGTGAGGCGGGCGGGCGCGGTCGAGGGCCGCGCGAAGGGGGAGGCAGGCGCGCAGCACGAGGCGGCCATGGAGGCGACAGGCGAGGCGCGCGCCGCGGCGCTGCCGGGCGGAGGCGAGGGGCTGGACGGCCGGGATGGCGGCGGCGGACAAGGGCAGGGGACCGGCGACGCGGTCTCTCTCTCTCTCCACTCCGCGACGGGTCTTCCTACGCCGGGTACGCTGCGGTTCCAGGTTCAAGTGGGGGGGGGGGGGGTCACCGCTCTGACGTTGGTGGATAGCGGGGCCTCGCTCAATTTTATCAGTGCAGAGCTTACCAAGGCTCTGTCCATGGCGCCGAGTACAGTGGAGAAGGTGGTGGTTCGAGTGGCGAGTGGGGCGCCTATGCCATGTACCACGGTTTATCGAGGGCTTACTCTGGATATCCAGGGTCTGCCGGTAACTGCTGATTTTTTTGTGCTGCCCATCAGGGGATTTGATATTATCCTGGGCATTCCTTGGCTGCAGAGTTTGGGACCGACTACCACCGATTGGAAGCGGTTGATCATGCGGTTTAAGTGGAGGGATAAGGAGCAGTGCTTGCAGGGGCTTACCACTACCATGGGGCCCATTTCCATCCATGATGGCGCCGAGATGGGGGAGGCGGACTTCGCCGTGCTTTGCTGGCCGGTGGAGACCGGAGAGGCGCCGGACGTGGCCCCCGACCTGCAGCGCGTCCTTGACCGTTTCGCCATGATCTTCCAGGCACCGACCACTCTTCCGCCTCATCGCCAGGTGGATCACGGTATTCAGTTGAAGGAGGGGGTGGAAGCTGTTAATGTTCGACCCTACAGGTACGGGCACTCGCAGAAGGAAGAGATTGAGCGCCAAGTCACTGAGATGCTGACCACTGGAGTGATTAGGCCTAGCACTAGTCCTTTTTCTTCGCCGGTACTTCTGGTCAAGAAAAAGGATGGGACCTGGCGGTTTTGCACTAACTACCGGGCTCTTAACGCCGCAACCGTGAAGGACCGTTTCCCGATTCCGACGGTGGACGACATGCTTGACGAGCTGCACGGGTCCTCTTATTTCACTAAGCTCGACTTGAGGGCCGGTTACCACCAGATCAGGATGCGGGGGGAGGATGCACACAAGACAGCCTTCCGGACCCACAACGGTCATTACGAGTACCTGGTAATGCCGTTCGGGTTGTGCAACGCTCCCTCGACCTTTCAGGCAGCTATGAACGACATCTTTCGGCCCCTGCTTCGTCGGTACGTCCTGGTTTTCTTTGATGACATTCTTATTTACAGCCCGACATGGGAGGCCCATCTGCAGCATTTGCAGGCTGTGTTTGAGATTTTGCAGCAGCACCAGTACTACCTCAAGGCCTCGAAATGTGCCTTTGGAGTCCAGAAGGTAGAATATTTGGGGCACATTGTCACACCACAGGGGGTACAGGTGGACCAGAAGAAGATACAAGCCATGGTGGAGTGGCCAACCCCGACCACTGTCAGTGAACTGCGAGGATTCCTGGGTTTGACAGGTTATTACAGGAAGTTTGTGCAGGGCTACAGCATGATTGCCAGGCCTTTGACTAATTTGCTGAAGAAAGGCGGGTTTGGGTGGAACGAGGAGGCCGAGGCGGCATTCTGTCAGCTGAAGCAGGCCATGACCACTACCCCGACTCTGGTTATGCCTGATTTCTCCCGGCCCTTTGTTATCGAGGCCGACGCTTCTGGCCGGGGCATTGGAGCGGTGTTATCACAGGATAGGCATCCGGTGGCCTTCATGAGTAAGACTCTGGCACCATCTAAGGAGGCCTGGTCCACCTACCAGAAGGAGATGCAGGCTATTATTACGGCAGTTCAGATGTGGCGACCGTACCTCCTGGGCAACAAGTTCCACATTTATACCGACCATCAGAGTTTGAGGAATTTGTTGGAGCAGCGAGTTTCCACCCCCGATCAGCACAAGTGGGTCTCCAAGCTCCTTGGTTATGATTATGAGATCCACTATCGGCCCGGGCCATCTAATGTCGTGGCAGGAGGGCTCTCGAGGCGTCCAGGGGGTGAGGTTTTGGCGGCAGTCACAGGACCAGCACCGCAGTTTTGGGACGCTCTGCGCGCTCTTACAGAGACAGATGATTATCTGCAGAGGTGCCGTGAGACAGCAGTTAGCACCGAACCCGGCCACTACTCTTGTCGGCAGGGCCTGGTGTTTTTCCGTGGGCGCGTGGTGCTTCCCCGAGGGTCGTCTTTGGTGACGACAGTGTTACAGGAATTCCATGACTCTCCGTTCGGGGGTCACTCGGGGGTAGAGCGGACACTGAGGAGGATCCGAGCACAGTTTTATTGGCCCCAGATGGGCCGGGATGTGAAGGACTACGTCGCATCTTGTGAAACATGCCAGAGAGTTAAAGCATCCCATTTGCGGCCAGCGGGTCTTCTGCAGCCATTACCGGTACCAGAGAGGGTATGGGAGGACATCAGTATGGATTTCATCGTCGGGTTGCCACCATCCGGAGGGAAGACGGTCCTGTTTGTCGTTGTCGATCGACTGACGAAGTATGCCCATTTCATGGCTCTGGCCCATCCGTATACTGCTCGATCTGTGGCCGAGCAGTTTGTCTTAGGGGTGGTCCGGCACCACGGATTCCCGCGGTCCATTGTCAGTGACCGGGACTCCGTTTTCTTGAGTCGCTTTTGGCAGGAGGTGTTTGCTTTGGCTCGGAGGACATTACGGATGAGCTCGGCCTATCACCCCCAGATGGATGGCCAGACCGAGGTGGTTAACCGATATTTGGAGCAGTATCTGCGTTGTTTCACCCATCAGCAGCCCCAACGGTGGCTAGCCTTATTGCCCTAGGCTGAGCTTTGGTATAACTCTACATACCATAGGGCGATCCAGATGACACCGTTCGAGGCTTTGTACGGGCGCCCACCACCTTCTCTGGTGCGCTATCAGGGGGGCGCTAGTCCAGTGGACGCCGTGGATTGATGGTTAGGAGCACGGGATGAGGCCCTGGATAAGCTCAAGGCTAATTTGGCGGCTGCCAATAATAAGATGAAGCAGTTGGCGGATGCAGGACGACGAGAAGAGGAGTTTGCGGTGGGTGATTGGGTTCTGCTTCGTCTGCACCCCTACAGGCAGGCTTCTGTATTCCGGCGGGCATATCAGAAGCTGGCGGCGCGGTATTTTGGGCCGTACGAGGTGTTGCAGAAGATTAATACAGTGGCCTATCGTCTGCAGCTTCCGGCAGATGCGCGCATTCATTCTACCTTTCATGTGTCCCTATTGAAGGGGTATCGCGGCGCGGCTGATCGCGTGGCGACAACTGCTCCGCCAGTATCGGCGGATGGGGACCTCGAGCTGGTTCCGTTGCAGGTGTTAGACACCAGGTGGGTCAAGAAGGGCGGATGAGTGATCGAGGAAAGCTTGGTCCTGTGGCAGCACATGGAGAGGGAGGACGCCACTTGGGAAGAGACGGCAAGCCTTCGGCAGCGGTTCCCGACATTTGACCTTGAGGACAAGGTCACTTCTGATGGGGAAGGGGATGATAGAAACCGAGGGTGAGAGGGGTGAGGGCGGGTCGGTCGGTCGGCCGGGTAGAGTAGGAGTGGCCATTTTGTTATTTTCCATTAAACTTATAAAAAGGGGTTCTGTACACTCATTTGGGAATTAAGCAAGAAATAACAGAAATCCCTATTCCTATCTTTCTCTGATTCTTCCCCAATTCTCTCAAATCCCTAATCTACTTCTTCTCTCAATCCCTAATTCCCTTTCTGATCAACAAGCATCTATCATAAGACGTCTTAACCCTAATGAATGCTATAATACTAACCGAATTGTATTTGGTCCCTGGGATTTTGATTGCTCGCATTTGGTTTGAGATTCGATTGATTTTGATGGGGAGTCGGTGGCTATATTAATATTCATACTTGTCTCGTGATAAACTGAGTTCGGATTACGAATTTTGTTTTGAGTGTGGATCGTGTAAGTCAATAGATATGAGTATATATTTTAAATGAAAAAGACTTGAAACATTGATGCTTCATTAAAAAGTCAATAAACAAACTATCACATCATAAATAGAATTAATTCGAGAAATTGAAGATCTCACAAATTTACAACTTAATTATCATTAATGTATTATATAATAAAATAAATATCTAAACAATTTGAGTAAAATTACAAACAATTTAGATAAAACAGGACAATAATTAGTATCAAGACGGATCTGATCGAAAAAAGTACTCATATCTATCCGGTCTAACTCTGCCTATCGGATTATACCTGACTCCTCCAAAACAAGTCAACCAGATCGAGTATTGCGAATTCTATTAATTAATAACTTCCTCCTCCCAATTCCCAAAGCTATTTCAACAAAATTGGCGATTTTTTCAAAAAAAAAAAAAACATAATTAGTGATTAATGGGTTTTCAATAATTATTCTCAATTCTTTCCACTAGAAATAGAAAGAATTTAGTCAGCTTTTCTTAACTAATATAAGTATTTTTAAGTTAATTAAATTCTCCTCTAAACTCTCAATCGAGCAACCATTGGCCTTTGCATTTGTGGGAGTGAGTCTCTCTCTCCCTTTCTCTTTCTCTCTAATCAACACAGGTCCGGCAAACATGGGTGTCGACGAAGGAAGAGAGAACCACCGTCCGGCGTCGGTGGCGACGCATATCTTCACGTACGGCACCCTGAAGACGGGATTCTCCAATCACGGCTTGATTCAAGATCTGATGCGCTCAGGGGACGTTGCCTTCCGATGCAATTGCCGCACCGTCGAACCCCATCCTCTCGTCTGCGGGCCCTACCGCGTCCCATTCCTCCTCAACCTCCCCGGCGCCGCGGGCGCCGACCGAGTCTCCGGCGAGCTGTACGCCGTCTCCGCCCGAGGACTCGCCCGCCTGGACGAGCTCGAGGGCACGGAGCGCGGCCACTACGAGCGGCTGCCGATCAAGGTGGAGCCCACGGCGGAGGACGGAGGAGGAGAGGAAATAATCGCCTGCGGCGGCGGCGTGGAGGCGTATTTCGCGGAGAAAAGCTACGCGATAGAGATGTGGGAGAGGTGCGGGAAGAGAGGGTATTGGGTGTACGGCGAGAAAGAGGCGAGAGGTTATGTGAAGAGGAAAGATCGGCCTCAGGATCTGAGCTTTCTGGAGCAGATTGAACAGTTCGTGTCTTCTTCCAGCTCTTCCGATGACGACGAATTCTGACCGGCGGGATGTCTTGTACATAGCTTGTGGTTTACCTGTAAGAATCGTTGAAAATTGGTTTCGCGATTCCCACTCCGCCATCGTCGTTGATTTGCTTGGCGTGAATTTGTATTTTTGACTTGTTTGGTTGAGATCTCCGATTGGCTGCCGAGCTTGTCCGGCGGCCACTTTTTTATATATATTTCTTTTGGATTTTTGACGGAGTCGGAAGCTTGATGTTTCATTGCTTTGTGTGAAATTGCGATATGATCGAGATTTTCGCCATGTTTGAGATGCGCTTTTCTTTGATTTCACCGAGACCTAATTTCCCTCCGGTTCCCAATATTACCCAATCTGTTTTCTAATTTGAGGCTCCGCGGCGGCGGAAGCGGGCCTAGTGGAAGTGGTTACCGGAGCGGGGAGGATGGCAACTTGGCAAGTAGGAATGGACGAATGGTAACGGGTTGGGTCAGGCGGTTATAGACTCATACCCGATATGTCGGGTTCAGATTAGATAATTTATTATTGAGTGCATATTATAAGACAGAGCTATCTAAATTGGTATGTAATTTAAAAAGAAAATACTAGAATATTAATTTTTTCATAAAAGAAAATCAAGAAACAAATTGTAAAATGATAAATATAGTTAAATTATTTAAGAAAGTAAAATTCTCACAACTTTATTGTAGCTAAATTATGATGTAATAAAAGTAAAATCCTAAACAACCCGAGTACAATTAAATGAAATTTAGGCAAAATGCATAAAAAATGGGGCGGGTCAGATTGAGAAGATTACACATACCCGTTCTGTCCCGCTTATGAGGTGGACATTACTCGAAAACGGGTCAGGTCGAAATTGACATCCCTAACAATAAGGAGAAGGATGGTGAACTTTGTACACATTTATTTCACATTTCTCGTATGAGCATAAGAAAAGTTAAGTAAGAAAATAACCAAAACAATAAGGTTTTTTTTATGGTTAATAAAAAATTGTATTGAATGCCAGAGAGTTGCAACTCGCAAACCTCCCTCTCAAAGTGTCAACTTACATCTTACAACCATAAAAAAAAACTTGTGATTAGACTAAAATCAACTATAACTAAGATAATGCCCCTAATACTTTTTGTACTCTCAACTAGAAGGGTATATAGCTTTGTGTAAACACTTCAAGCTCCTTCAAAAGTTTATGGGAAACTTGAGATGGGGAGAGAGTTGCTGAGTTACCATACAACCTGGCACACGTTTCTCTCCATATGAAGCTGACTCCAATGACCTATAAAAGTCTTCCAACAACAGCTTTGTCCATTGATTGCCCCACTTTTCCTCTGCCCAAGCCAACTGCGCACTCCAGTCTCCAAAATCAGGCCACCTAAAAAGGATCTCGATGCTGCACGCTCCTGATCACTTGTTTAGGAAGGGGACAACAAGTGTGAGATTGGAGGGAAGGGAGGTAGTTGGTGATGTCGTGAAAATGAAGTTAGTACCATACAAGAGAGATGGGTAGGTGTTTAGGAAAATAAAAGGAATTAAATTTTATTTTTTAATAGTTGTGAATGAGGCGGAAAATTTAAAAGATTCAATTTTATTTATTTTTATTTTTTAATTGCAAAGTAAATTATTTAAGTGCCAACTATGAGAGTTGATTTCGGAAAAAATCCCAAAGTACACTAGTTTTTAAAAAAAATTCCCAAAATACATTAGTTATAAAAAAATTTCCAAAACTACACATGTTTGAGCATCACCATTTTTGTCTAAAACGGTGAAGGTCATCACCGCGTTTGACAAACACGGTGAGTACTTCACCGTTTTAAACTAAAACGGTGAAGGCTTCATCGCTTTTGTCAAAAACGGTGAAGTACTCACCGTTTTAATTTAAAACGGTGAAGTACTCACCGTTTTTGACTAAAACGGTGAAGCCTTCACCGTTTTTCTAGGACGCGGTGAAGTAGCTGACGTGGCAGACACGGGGTATTCACCGCGTTAGACAAACACGGTGAATAACCCGTGTCTGCCACGTCAGCGATCCGCCTCAGTGTGTTTTCACCGTGGCCGTTAGATGCGGTGAGGCGCGGATCGTGGTTTTCTTCCCGCGATCCGACGCCTCACAGCAAGCCACGTGGACGGGGAGCCGGATTTGGGGAAGGACAGTCCTTCACCGCGTTCATCAAACGCGGTGAGTCCTTCACCGCGTTCATCAAAAGCGGTGAATGCTCCCCCACATTTACTGCGCAGCAGCTCCTCCCCCCCTTCCCCCAACTATAAATACCCCCTTCCCCTTTCACTTTCAACTCACCCCACAAACATTTCACTTCTTTCTCCCTCAATTTATCCGCTCTAGTCTCGTTCTAAGTATGCTATGTGGTTGCGGCTAAGTCCGATCTTCCACATCAGAAAGAATTACTAGAGTTTGACCCTAAAGCCCCTGTCCCGCTAAGTTCCCGTCCCTTACAAAGCTAAACCCGTCGAACCTCTGTCCGGCTTCCGCCAATAATGGACGAAGAGGCTCTTCGTGTAGGTTTTTTGGTTTGTGATTTTTTTTAATCGAAACAATTTGATTTATTTTTTATCAAAACAATCTCTGATTATATTACTTTTTTATAGATGGGTGCCGAGATATACGATCCTCGATTGTATATCCATTATGGCCCAAGGGATGCGAGTCTATTAACCGATCAGCAAATGCATCGCTCCCGTGCCATTTGGGATAACAATCCGGTAATTTGATGAACTGACTTGCTTTATTTTATTATTTTCTAATGTTTTATTTTGCTTTATTTAATCTAATTAATTGATGTTTTTCCTATTTTTTTTAGGAATCTCTTGTTCCCGTGGTTCATAAAGGGACCAATAACTTGCCCGCTTGGCATCCAAGGTTGGAGCCCTATATAGCGAGGACCGGTTTGGGAATGTTGCGCCATTTCTTGCGGATCGAGATCGACAACGAGCTGCTTACGGCAATGGCGGAACGATGGCGTCCCGAAACCCATACATTCCACCTTGCGGAGGGGGAAATGACGATCACCCTCAAAGACGTGGCGATCCTCACCGGGCTTCCTATATCTGGAGATGCCATCATTGGGAACACGACCAAACCCGAAGGAGGTTGGGGGCCGCTCATCCGTGATCGTTTGGGCTTCGACATGCCGACCACCACACCAAATCAAGGACGGGGGCATCCACCGTTGAATGCGGGGCAAGTGTCGGTCCCGTGGCTGGTATCTCACATCCAGCAAGAGGTGGAAATCAATGACGAGACACCGGAAGAACAAGTCGAGCGCTACGCCCGCATCTACCTCATCGGTTTGGTGGGTGGATTTTTGTTCCCCGACAAGTCCAACCGGTGGATTCAAGGCATATGGTTGCCATTGCTCACCGGTGACTGGGATGCAATTGGAGAGAAGAGTTGGGGATCGGCCGTGCTAGCGGGCGTATACCGGGAGCTGTGTACTTGCTCGAGGGTTGGGGCAAAGCAAGCTGGTGCTGCGATGTTCATCGTTCAACTGTGGGTATGGGAGCATCTTCCAATGTTCGCACCTCTCGACCCACGTCCATACCGGAGAAACGATGATGAGCTCAACCTTCTGCAAAATCTCCCCTACGGTGTCAAGTAAGTTTATTCCGTACTTAGCCCAATTTAAATTTTATTACATGCTTGAGCTAGATTTAAATTGAATTTATTCCGTACTTAGCCCAATTTAACTTTTTATTACATGCTTGAGCTAGATTTAAATGAATTTATTCCGTACTTAGCCCAATTTAACTTTTTATTACATGCTTGAGCTAGATTTAAATTGAATTTATTCCGTACTTAGCCCAATTTAACTTTTTATTACATGCTTGAGCTAGATTTAAATTGAATTTATTCCGTACTTAGCCCAATTTAACTTTTGATTACATGCTTCAGCTAGATTTAAATTGAATTTAAATTGATTCCGTACTTTTACTTACAAGGTGGATAGGAGCAAATACGAATGACCATCAGCCTGAGCATTCGTTACTGTTTTATCGTTCTGAGTTAGATAAACCATGGTGGAATCAGGTAATCATGTTTTGTCCATATTTGAACAAGATCAATTTTATCAAAGTAAATGGTCGTTAATTCCGAATTTTTGTGATTTTAGGTTATATGGGATCCATATCCACGTGAAGTGGTTGAGCTGCATCATCTTAGGCACCCTCTGGATCACGAGACGTGGTTGTGCAAGGTGCCATTGATCTGTTGGCACATTGTGGAATGGCACCTACCCGATCGATCCCTGAGGCAGTATCGAATGGAGCAACCAATTCCACAAGACCCGCCAGCAGGTTTCAAGGAGCTACATGCTATGGACCTCCGAAACAATGCAAACTGGACGCTAAAGCATGGATTCTACATCAACATCTGGGAGAATCGATCCCAATGGGTGGTGCAAGGGATGCCGGAGACGAGACCGATGGGCTACCACGATGGGTACATGCAGTGGTATCGGAAGTTCACCTTGAGATGGGTGTCAAAGCAAGGTGCTGTGATGGGTTCGGTGGTAAGTCATCCTAATCTCCCTCATTCTTAAATATATTTATTTTAATGTTTAGTTAATTTGATATATTTTGTGCTTTCCTTAGGTTGATGGTTTGGAACACGCGAAGTACACTCTCGAAAGTGCTCCAACCATGGATGAGCGGAAGACTACTTGGTTGACCCGACTTATGAATAACCTCCTGAGTTGCACCAGAGAGCAAAGGAGGGATGTCGTGGCCTATCCTCCCGTTCCTGCCCCGGCACGACCCTCATTCCGTGATGATGCAGCCATTGTGCCCCCGGTTGAGCCTCCACGAAGGAGCAAACGCAGGCCTTTGCCTACGTTCGAAGAGGTGCGTACCACTCAAGAAACCGAGCTCCCCGAACCGTTCGAGTACCAGTGGGCACCTACAGCGGATGCCGGTGGAGGCTCATCGAGTCGTGGGGGATCTCAGGAATGGGACACTTTCTCTCATGGGTTCTCTCAATTCCAACATCAGCAACAAAGTTCGATGTTTCAGACCCCGCAACAACAAACTCCGATCATTCGTCAAGCTACCGCTCCAACTCAGCCACCACCACCACCATATGTAACCCCAGTTGGGGCTCGGGTCAAGAGAAATCCGCGACCAGCCGTTGAGCGAGCCCGCCAAGAAGCAGCGGCGGAGGGGGGAAGAAGGGGTCGAGGACGTCGTGGAGGACGAGGAGGAAGAGGTGGCGATGGGGGCCAAAACGAAGCAAATTAGTGAATTTATCGTTTTATCATTGTAGTGAACTATCAATGTTGTTTTTGTGATTTTTAGGTGTTGTTATTTGAGTTTGCATTGTCTAAAAACTATCCTACGCACTTAAGTTGTCGAATGAATTTTCTGGATCATTTTATCAAGAATCAGTATCTTTCCTCAACACAAAAAAGTTGGGCAAATCAACCACTATCGCATAGAATTTTACAGATCCCAACTCCGAGTCCAAACGAGTGAGATAAGTGACGTCAAAGCGTGATCGTATCGTTAAAGTAACTTTTGCGTACTATAAACTAAAACGCCCGTATCTTATTCGTTTGAGGTCGAAATAACGAGCCGTTTGCGGCCGCGCGATCGTATCGACAAGGAAAACATTTTTGATTTAACAAAATACTTGGACTTCAAATGCAAACGTTAATTAAAAATTAAACAAGCGATCAATTTAGTAGCAGAATACAAGTAAATGCAAATTAAGTTGATGGTTGTCCTGGGCAACGCCTCTTGTCGTGACCAGGTTGTCTGCACTTAGAGCATCGCTTCGGTCCCCTTCTCGTCCGTTCAACTTGATCCATCTCATTGTGTATCCTTTCAACTCTAGGACGGCCTTTGGTGCGTTTTAGGTGCAACGGTGGGATAATCAACTTTCCAGCGTATATAGGCCAATACGCTTCATCTGGCATGGGGCTCAAAGCTGCATGATATGAGTTCCGTATCGCTTGTTCAGTGTAGTAAGGACTCACCAGGCTGTTTCTGTTCATGGTTATTGACTTAGCAACCGCCATTGCATGTGAACAGGGTATCCTTTCGTTCTGATACTTTTGACAAGAACACTCCCCTAATTCGTAGTGCAATTTGACCGTTTGACGATTGTGACCACGTCTCCCTCCACCCCATATACCTGTTTCGACAGCGAATATTCCTTCACTGCGGTTAAAAAGAACAACCTTATGCTTACTTGATTTTTCATCGTTCTTCTGCATTTGAGCAAATACGTCATGTGCTATTGAATGACCTTGCAACTCCCTCCCTATAGCTAGCTGTAGCCGAGCAACTCGCCACTCGTTGACCTTCCAATAAGACATTTCCACGATGACAGAAATAGGCATCGCTCGAAGACCCTTGTAAACATTATTTATACTTTCTCCATGGTTGGTAGTTGCAATGCCCCATCTAGCCCCGTTGTCCATATGGAACGTCCACATGGGCAACTCTTGACCTTCAGCCCATACTGCTCCAGCTCGGTGGGTCTGACGGATCGTTTTCATGATCTGCTCGTACTTTTTTGGTTGATGTGCAACCGCTAAAAGGTGAACAAAAGACTAACTGGTCAATACATGATGAATAACATCAGCTTATCAGCTTAATAAACACAAACTTAAATCGCATAAGAAAAACATGAGTACCTGCATTCCAAAGTAGATTTTTGATGTCTTTCTTCTTCCCAAATTTGTGTTGGAAATTGGCGAGCCAGTGCCGAATACACCATCTCCATCTCCACCCCCACTCGTCGGGAAAACCACCAACAGCATTCCTTATCCCCGCATGTCGATCGGATATAATCGTAATATCTTCCCGCTGTGTCACGTGTTCGTGCAGTTGGTCAAAGAACCAAGCCCAACTTAAACTGTTCTCCCCTTCCACTAATGCAAATGCAAGCGGGAAAATTCGCCTGTTTCCATCAACGCCAGTGGCAATTAGAAGACATCCTCTGTACTTCCCAGTAAGGAAAGTTCCGTCAACCTGAATAAAAATTTAGGATATAATTAGTATGAAATATACTTAACAGCAAATAATACAACATTTAAAACCGGAACTAGTTGGTAAAATACCTGAATAACCGGTATGCAGAACCCAAAACCGTCAATGCATGGTTTAAAAGCCCAAAAAAGACGATGGAACATCAGCTTATCCTGTACTCGAACTTGATCCTCAGTGTATACATTGTTGTATACTGGGACGAAAACAGTCCCAGGATTGGACTCCTCCATTGCTCCCATAAGTCTAGGGAGTAAAGCATACGAATCCTCCCAATCACCATACACCTCAGCCATGGCTTTCTGCTTACCATGCCATGCTTTTTTGTACCTTATCGTGTAAGAATGTCGATCCTTCACCTCTGCCATGATAGCTTTCACCTTGATATCTGGTTGTGCTTCTATAAGGTGCTTAATAGTTCTCCCAACCTTCTTTGCTTTTAGTTGCCTGTGATCTTGGGAAAGTATAGAAGAGGAGCATGTGTGGATCGTCTCAGCTTTGAGAATCACCCAAGCACCCTTTCTCTTCATATTTGCAGCCCGCAGTTGCCACGTACAACCCTCTGCATCATGCTTGCATATGACATGTAATTGTTTACTGTCAGAATATTTTACCTTCCACTCGAAATTGCGCCTCAACGCCTCTTCTGTAAATGCATCCTGCACAGCGTCTTTCGATGTGAACGCCATACCCACCTCCAGATTGGCCGTTGGATTGTACACTGGCATAGGGACAAAGTCGGGGGGATCATTCTGACTATGTAAAAATTGAGTTGGAACCTGTGTGTAATATGGCGTGGGTGCCTCACGAAATGCCGCCTCATCCTCGTTATCATCAGTATCTTCCTCCTCCTCGCTCACTGATATCAAATCTTCCTCAGTATCCTCGTCGCTTGACTCGAATGGATAGCTCGAGCTAGAAGGATCAACATGACCACGATCACCAACATCGTCCTCTCGCTCATGTGAAGTACGCCCTGATCGAATGGTATTCTCGATTCCATACCACTCTGGCCCCCAAGCAGGCCATTGAACACCATCGGCCTCAACAAATGGGGCTGGTTTAGGAGGTTGCGAGTATTGGTCCCATCCTGCACTACTCGATCCACCGTAGTTGATTGAACCACCACCCTCCCCGTAACCTCCTGTATAACCACCGCCTTGGTAGTTGCTCGAACTACCACCCCATTCGTACCCTCCTGCAAAACCATCATCATAAGAATACTGGTGAGAATGAGATTCACCGAGCGCCTCGGTCTCAACATACACCTCTGCAAGCCGGACTTGGTTATCGCTTAGGAACTGTAACATCATCATAACCGCGTCATCATCGTTTATGACAACTTCTTGGAACACGACCCCGCCAGCACTCATGTCTGGATACCGGTAAGTAATTTTGCCAAGTCTCGTCTGTCCGCTCGTACAAACCCTTTCTGCACAAAGATCATAGAGTTCTTGAAAATTGAATCGGGATTCAATTTTCAGCATAATGGATTCGCCGTCCTCATAATCAATGCCTATGTCAGAGTTTGTCACCCTTCCATTCCACCGAATAGTAAGATGAAACTTCTTGAATTTACCCATATCTACAATTTACAATAAGTATCTATTAGCTTAAAGACAGTAAAATTAACCAAAATCATATTGTACAACTAATATTAAATCATACCATAAGTAACAAAAATAAATTCAACTAACTAACAACAACATAATACGAAAATTAAATCATACTATAACTAACGAACATAAGTTCAACTAACTAACAACAACATAATACGAAAATTAAATCATACCATAACTAACGAAAATAAATTCAACTAACAAACAACAACATAATACGAAAATTAAATCATACTATAACTAACGAATATAAGTTCAACTAACTAACAACAACATAATACGAAAATTAAATCATAATACGAAAATTAAATCATACTATAACTACTAAAAACATAATTAGACCATAATACGAAAAGTCTCAACATACCGAAAAATTTCTGTTCTGTGTATTATGCTCGATTTTGGCTGCTGAAATTTGAAGAAAGGGGAGTGGTTATGTTTTTACAACTGCTGGTGGTGTGGTATTTATAGGAAAATCTGCCTACTATTCACCGTTTTTGTCAAAAACGGTGAACACTATCACCGCGTTTGTCTCAAACGGTGAATAGGTGGTAGCTGCGACCTAATTTTGACCTACCAGGGGTGGGAAACGTGGGAAATGATCACCGCGTTAGTTAACAACGGTGAAGGCTTCACCGTTTTGGTCAAAAACGGTGAAGCTTTCACCGTTGTTAATTAACGCGGTGAAAGCTTCACCGTTTTGGTGTGAAACGGTGAATACTTCACCGTTTTTGTTTAAAACGATGAAGTATTCACCGTGTTTGTCAAACGCGGTGATGATCTTCACCGTGTTTGTCAAACGCGGTGATGCTCAAACATGTGTACTTTGGGAATTTTTTTTATAACTCATGTATTTTGAGAATTTTTTTTAAGAACGTGTGTACTTTGGGATTTTTTCCAGTTGATTTCCATATATGACAAAGTTGATGAGTTGAATAATCAGTGACCAGTTGTGAAATTAAAACGTAAAAAATTACATTAAGAAATCCATAATCCGGTATAAAAACTCTCAAATTGTCCTTAGGACGATATTGATTCGAATATGGAGATGCAAAGGTGACTGAATAGTTTTCGGTTTGGATTATGGCCTTACCCATTTAGTGTTTCCTTGAAGGAAAATTAGCATAAGGTTGGTGCTGATACTCCGTGGATCTTCCCCAAATTCATGCTTGCTCTTGCATTGTTGGTGTCACCGACTCAAGAAGCGGCAGATGCACTCATGTGGGTCCATTGAGTCTGCAGATTTGGGGCATTCCATTCAAGTGCTTCACCAAGAAACTTGCCCTAAGGTTGGGCGCGACATTGTGCTAGACTTTCACTCCTACCTTGCACCCATTAGTGGTTATAGGGGCTTCTATGCCGGAATGTGCAAATTTACTGCTTGTCTCTGAGGAGTATGAGCGACTGAGTGGCCAAAAGGTGAATCTACATAAATCTTCAATTTATATAAATACTAATGTAAGTGAGCAGGAGCGTGCAACATCGAGATCCTTTTTAGGGATAGCTGAGAGTAGGCTCCAAGATAAATATCTTGGGCTGTATGTTCGGATTCAAAGATCCAAGTTGCAATCGCTTCATTTTGTTGAGGAAGGATTGAACATCCGTTAAGGCCACCACCGATTCCTCTATATTCTATTTCTCTCCTCATCTACCTCCCACTGTTTGTCGAGCTTCACTTGTTAATGAAGACGAATTTTGTTTGAGTTGGGAAGTTGGTTAACAAATAACAATGAGAGAGATGGGGGTGGGGGAATCAACGATTTGTTATGAGCTTCAATCATAGATCTATGATAAGTTATGGGAATCTCCCGGTGCCGAAATATGATTCCAGGCGACACAAAGAAGTTGACGTCAACAAGTTATTTTTATTATTCGCGCTATTATTCGCCACCTCCACTATGTCGTCGTCAAAAAGATCTTCTAGTGGGGTTTCCTGGATTTAAGGTATATTCATATGATTCTTCTAATTTAGGATTTTAATGTTTACAGACCGCTTGGTACCAAATGAATAGAGAATTCATTTAATTGTAAAATGAATTACCATGTAGAATTCTTTTTTGACAACATGTGGCATCTTTATTCCAATTCGAACAAGGGGAAACATAGTTTGTTACAGAAGTGGAGAAACAAGATCAGCAATTACAACCCAATCTCTCGGAAGAAGGTCAAGTCTAGCATTATGTGCAACCCAATCGGCAAGTGAGTTGAGACGTCGAGGAACAAACTCCACCCTCACCCAGGGAGCCGAAAGGAGGATGGGGAGGATAAAAGCTAAGATAGCCCGACATTGCCACGACCACAAGTCAGGATTCTGCCTCAACGCATTTACCAGAACCTGACAATCAGATTTGATAGATATAGGGCAAGGATCCTGAGCCGCCAGAATCACTACTGTATCGGATTGGAACAAAGAAATCTCTCAACCTTGTCGTCATACACCTAACCATGAGAATTAGCAATAGTAATCCCATAAGCCGCCACCTGTGAATCAGAAACAAAAGAGTCGTCACAGTGCACAAACTTCAAAATTGTGCCAGGCGGTGGTGAGGGGTGTGAACGGGATCCCCTAGGTTGAGGAGGCTCCAACGCTGACCGGTAAGAAGATGAAGCGCGGGAGAAACTTCTGGCTTCGACCAAGCTTAAGAAATCACGATCAGCCAAGGTAGCCGTAGTGGGCGGGGAAATAGCCCTCTGCTCAAAGATAAGACTATTCCGAGCAATCCAGATATTTCAAAGGCAACAAACGATCCTTTTAATAATCTCCTCCGAGCAACTCTCTTTCAGGTTAAAAAAACCACTCTGCGAATAGCATGTTTGCAGTAGGAGGGCACGAAAGTCCTCCAAAGGATTCCCATGTGCTCACCGCATGATGGCAGTGGAAGAAAACATGCATGATTGTCTCATTCGACTCCTCACAAATGGGGCAAGCAGAATCAAGAGCACACATGTGAGAGAAAAGTCGAGCCCGGGTCGCAATGGCGCTTTTGGCACACTTCCAAATGAAGAATCTAAGCTTTGGAGGAAGACCAATAAACCAGAGCCATTTCCAATCTCGATTGTTCGGGCGAGTATCTCCATTTCCTGCAAAAAAAAAAGGAACATTGTCACGAGCTTCACGTAAAGATCGATAGGCTGATCTTACACTGTATGCTCCTGTGGTAGTGAATTTCTAAAACCACTTGTCTTGAGCTGTGGATGGACTGATTAGCACTCTCTTAATTGCAATAACAGTCTCCTTCAGAACAACGGCTCAGAGTGCATCCTCATTCCAGGTGCGATCAGTAGGAGAGATCCAATCACAAACACGCGATGGTTCCAGATTGAGGCTAGTGAGGGTGAAAGGTGGGGAAGAAGGTAGCCAAGGGTCACAATGGAAACTCGTCCCTTCTCCTGACATAATTCCCTTAACTAGTCCAATCTTCAAGGCATTCTTAGCATAAAAAAAACATTCCAAATCCACGACCCTCTCCTTCCCTTAACAGCTGAGTACAAGTCTCCATCAACAAAGTAAAGACCCTTAAGCAGTCGAACCCAAAGAGCATTAGGATTCTCCAACATTCGCCATACTTGTTTCCCGATAAGCGCCAAATTGAAAAGATGAAAATTCTTGAAGCCCAACACTCCGTCTTCTTTTGTTTCTCTAACACACGAGCATCACGCCAGTGAATAGATTTCTTCTTCATAGATCCCGACCAAAAGAACCGTTTAAGAATAGAGTCCATCTTATTAGCAAGGGATAACGAGAGAAGGAATACGCTCATAATATAGGATGTGATAGCTTGGATAACAACTTTTAAGAGGACTTCTTTACCACCAGGAGACAATAGTAAGCTTTTCCAAGATTCTCCTTTCTTCTCGATCCTTTCAAGTAAGAACATAAACGTCTCTTTCTTAGATCTTCCCCTCTCAGATGGGACTCCGAGGTACTTGTCATGACAGACCGAAGGGGGAAACCCAAACTTATTTGTTACCAACATCTTAATGGCTTCAGGGGTATTCTTGCTGAAGAAAATAGAAGACTTGTTGGCATTAATTTCCTGACCAGTAGCTTCACTATACCGACGCAGAATGCTTTGGATGTGATATGCCTCACGCACACTCGCTTTGCCAAAGATCACCGTGTCATCCGCAAATAAGCAGTGGGAGATTCTAGGGCAATTTCGATTAAGCTTAATTCCATGAATGTCAACTTTTGCCACTGCTTCATCAATCAAGATAGACATTAGGATAAACAAGAAGGGTGAAATAGGGTCACCTTGTCTAATGCCTCTGGAAGGAAAGAAAGGTTCCGTTGGGCTTCCATTTAGGAGGATAGAAAATTTCACAGTTCTTATGCACGCATTGATCCATCCTCTCCACTTCTCCGAGAAGCCATAAGCTTTTAGAATCGAATCAAGGCAATCCCAGTCAACTAAGCCATATGCCTTCCGCATATCCAACTTCATCATCGTGTCCCATCACCATGTCGATGATTCTTAAAATGATGTAGGATCTCATGGACAATAATAATGTTATCTTGAATGAGACGTCCACTCGTAAAAGCAGCTTGCATTTCAGAAACCAAACCCGGGATCCACTTTTTCATCCTACTAGCAAGAATTTTTGAAATAATTTTGTACCTATAGTTGCAACAACTTATAGGTCTGAAGTGGGAAATCGTTTCTGGGGATTGAACTTTTGATATGAGTGCAATATGAGTATCATTCCACCCTTGAGGCATGATTAACAATGTAGAATTCATTGTCAAATGAAATATTGTGTTTGGTATGCCATATTCAAATCTTTACACATAAAATGAATTGTCATGTAGAATTCATTGTCTAGTGAATTCCTGTGTTTGGTATGTCATATGTATAAGTAATTTAGTTAATAAAAGAGGATAATTATGTCGTTCTATTATAATTAGTAAATACTTGTGGAATTCATTTGGAAATTCCATCTCAATTTCTCAGAATTGATATAACTAGTTTCAATTCCATAGAATTCAAAATTTAGAATTGAAAATGAATTCTTTTAAATACCAAACATAAGAATGTTTCATTTCAAAATGAATTCTTTAAAACTTATGAAATTCATTTATACCAAACAGTATACCATGGTTGTTTGCCAATTGCTCATTTGGAATTCAATCGCTTTTGCCAAGAAATTCATAGAGAGAAGTAGAGGAAAACAAGACGTGGAATAACATAATATTTTTTTTCTATGCAGATGCAAATTGGATGGACAAACTTGTACTTTTAAGTTATCACTTTTAAAACTCTCATTCATATCCGAATGTAGTTTTTAATCCCAAATTCACTTTTAAAATATTCATTTTTTGGATGTGAATTTTGGAACCAAATCCCATACAAAATAAATTTTTTAATCCAAACAATCCATTAACAAATTTCAAATAATGTTACTTCAAGTTTAACCATAGTGATACCTAAAATGTATAGGTTTTCCAAACAAGAAAATTACTAAACTTTACTCGATTTACCTATGAATGAAAACATAATCATATTCTAAATTCGAACTAGGACTAAGAAAATTATAAAATTTTAAATGAAAAATATTTTCCTCATTAGGAAATCCTCCAATAATATATGGTAGAGTTTTGTGAACTTTTCTCCATTTCAAATTTCCTGCAACGAGAGTGAAAGTAGGAAGGACATTTTTGTCTTTACAATTAAATATTTATCTCAATAAAAATATCAATATGAGGATTCGAACCCGGGTCTCTTAAAACAAAGACAACAATCACAACCAATTACACTAAACAAATTTGCTGTATCTTTTTTAGTACAAAGCATACACAAAGTTAGACTTTGAAAATTGGATGAATTTTCCATCATGATTACCAAGCCCACTAAGTCTACCGTATATATTTTTATGGTGCTTGATACTTCAGTTTTCATAGTAGCTAGAGTTTCATGTAATTTTCTCAATTTTAATTTTTTTGCTCTCGCCTTAATTTTTTTGCTAAAGGTAGATTGATAATTGGCTACCATAGAAGAAACTAATTATGTTACTGCGTGTTGTATCCTTGAAATTTTCAATTTAAATTTAAATTTAGTGTTTTTTTTATCTTTGTTCTTATCTCTTTTAACTTCCTCCGAAATTCCCTCTATCGTGCAATAGTTTACGCCCCTTTCACTTTTCAATACAAGGCCGCCTTTGAAATCAATCTTTTGGTATCTCTTGACACTACGATTTTATTATTCGGGATTTAAGCTAGGCAAGTAGAAGATTTCAACTCCGATATCAATCCATGACAAATAGAATGGAGTTCAATAAATGGAGGTGTAGAAGGATGATTAGAGATTGAATTTTTTATTGAAACATATGTCTCTTGAGATAAAAATTTGGTTCTACAGCAGAGAGTGGTGACTATTGGACCTTTAGGTTTATGGTTTTTGCAGCTAGGTCGATTCTTTATTCAACCTATTGGAACTGATAGATACGGAGTGTCTAATTTTGTGTCTTATTACTTCGATCGAGTTTATTAGCATATTGGAGGTAACCCTAATTTTGTCGTTTGCTCTCAAGTTTTATTGGTCCCCTCTTAATTGAGTTGTTAGTATATAGTTGACTTGAATCAACAACTCTCCATTTCTTTTTGATTAGTGGCATATTGTTCTTAAGGAGTGCATTGAACCCTTTATGTAGGATTGTGAGGTTTAAAATTGTGTTTCAAACTATCTATGGCGTGTGGGAATTCCAATGAGCTTTTGTACTCTATCTTTCTTGACAATCAACTAACCAATAGCATTTTAATTGGGGCTTAATTATCATTATAAAAATGAGATCAATCATTTTTATATTTTATATTCTTATTTCTCCAAAAGTTCGACCTATATATTCTTTCTTTATATATCATCTAGATCGAAGAATTGTCAATAAAATTAAACGGGTTGATAGACTTAAATGTAACATAAAAATACAAATAATCAAATATGAACATTCTGGCCAACAGGCCGGGTTATAAGCTAGTTAGTAAATACTCCTTACTATTTTCAAATAACGGTAATACAGGTTTGAAAAATAATTATCCGGAAAATCGTAATTGAGGAATAAGAATCACAAAAAATCAAGGTTAATAAAAAGGAAGGGAATATAAAGAACTATTAGCTTGGAAGAGAATGGATGAAGAGCATCGCAAGGTCATACTCACCATCCGCAGTAGCAGCAACTCTGGGTTTTCTCTCCTTCGCTCGTAAAACCCGTCTCTCCTTATTGACGGCAGCTAGGGTTTCTGCCAGTCTCAACTTCGCCAGCTTTTCCACTTCATCTGCGGCAGCCATGCCGGGGCAAGACCCGAAACAAGAGCCCCAGTGGCCGGCGGCGAAAGTCAGGGGCACTTTCTTGAAATTCTTCGAGGAAAAACGCCACAAGAACTGGCCGTCCAGTCCAGTCGTCCCCGTGAACGACCCAACTCTCCTCTTCGCCAATGCTGGTGAGATTTCATTTCCGGTCTTTCTCGAATGATTGATGACATTTCTTTGTTGCGCGTAGATTCTGATTAGTTACTCGGAGGAAGTATGGGGGATGAAGTCGAGTTCGTAATTCTCTTATTATATGAACTTGAAATTCCGTTTTGCTCTGTGGGTGCTAATTGGTAGATTGTTTCGTGTAATTTTTGGACATAATTGTGTGACCAACCTTTGTGGCTTGTAATGTTACTTTGTGAACAGGCATGAATCAGTTTAAACCCATCTTCTTGGGGACAGCTGATCCAAATACCGACTTGAGCAAGCTAAAACGCGCTTGTAATACCCAGAAGTGTATCCGCGCCGGAGGGAAGCATAATGATCTTGACGATGTGGGGAAGGACACATACCACCATACATTCTTTGAGATGTTGGGGAATTGGTCATTCGGTGATTATTTTAAGAAAGAAGCTATTGAATGGGCTTGGGAGCTCCTAACCAAGGTATTATGGCAGTAAGATTGACTGATGGTTCCAAACTTCCAATATATACATGTTGGGCCTTCTTCTTAAGTACCCAACTTCATGCCTCACGTCCATGGCATCTTCTTCTCTAACTCCTCTCCCTTGTACATCAGCTAGTGCATTTCTTCGTCTGTTTCACTTCCTTACCCGGTGCTGCTTTATTTATGGGTAATAGGTGTATGGACTGCCCGAGGATCGTATTTATGCTACTTATTTCGGGGGTGATGATAAAGCTGGTCTTGCTCCTGATAATGAAGCAAGAGACATGTGGCTCAAATTGTTGCCACCTGGACGAGTGCTGCCATTTGGTTGCAAGGTAAATACTTGTTCTGGTTAGCTTCAAAATTTCCCCTGTGGCTGCTGCGAATAAATTGTTGTAGACTATGCAAGACAACTGATTAATTCACATGCTTTGTCAATCTTCTACTAGGACAATTTTTGGGAGATGGGTGATACTGGTCCATGTGGTCCTTGTACAGAAATACATTTTGATAGGATTGGTAATCGGGATGCATCATCATTGGTGAACAATGACGATCCTACATGCATTGAGATATGGAACCTTGTGTTTATTCAGGTATAGCTTCTCTTGAATTGTCACAGCGTTGCTTGTTGCTCATGCATCTTACCCTCCAAATCAATGTCCGATGCCGATTTTGTGATTGAGTGCACTAACAGAGCTAGAAAGATCTTGAAACTAATTGCATGCCCTCTTCTATTCCCATCCTTTTGCAGTTCAACAGGGAAAGTGATGGCACCTTAAAACCTCTACCCTCTAAGCATGTTGATACCGGAATGGGTTTCGAGAGGCTTACTTCAATTCTCCAAAACAAGATGAGCAATTATGATACTGATGTTTTTATGCCCATCTTTGATGCCATTCAGCAGGTACTGTTCGGTTGCTTCGCTCTTTCCCCCCCACATTGTATGCTATCAGAACCATATACTTTTTGGGCTTCGCGCTTTCGTCGAACTTTTTAATTAATTTGCTCAAACGTTTTGTGTGGCTCATTGTTTATGGGGATAGTCCCGTACAGGTCAAGTAATGGTCTCAAGTCAGATTATTTCTTTCAGTGTTTGTTTTTTATGTCGAGGAAATACAAGTTGATGAGATATACCTGCAGGCAACAGGGGCACGACCTTACTCTGGAAAAGTTGGGGCTGAGGATGTGGATGGAGTCGACATGGCTTACAGGGTTGTTGCTGACCACATCAGAACTCTCTCTTTTGCCATTGCTGATGGTTCTTGTCCAGGTAGATTATCATGGACTTATTTTGGGTCATTCTTTACCGGAGCTTGCTGGTTGCGGAGATTCTTATGTTACGTTGCACTGCACTATTTGTCGTTTGTGCAGGTAATGAGGGACGTGAATATGTTCTTAGGCGCATTCTTCGTCGTGCTGTTCGTTATGGAAGTGAGAAGCTTAAAGCCCGAGAAGGATTTTTTAATGGGTATGAAGAGACGCGATTCTTTTTCTTGTTATGGTCTTCAAAACAGATTCTACGATGATTTGGGTTTGATTGACTAACTGTGACAGTGAATGTGAGGTTTCCATGTTGTTTGACATTCGTAACTCATGAATGAGGGTTGGCATCCCTTACTGTCTAAAGAAGACTAAAATTTTCTTGAAAGAAGGAAAGCTTGTCACTAAATATATTGATGGTTCACTTTTTTCCTGTTTCTGATGATCTGTCATGAATGCAGGCTTGTAAATGTTGTTGTAAGAGTGATGGGTGATGTTTTTAAAGAGCTTAAAGAAAAGGAGCAACACATCAGGGAAATAATAACGGAAGAGGAAGCAAGTTTTGGGAGAACATTGCTCAAGGTAAGTAGGAATTTTGTGTATCCTTCTGCTTATTCTATGTGATATGTAATTTCATTTGATGTCTGCGTATGTGTATCTTTCATTACTTGTAGTTCCTCTGTCATCTCGTACTTCTGTTTGCTACCTAGGGGTGATTATTTATGTATACTTGTGTCTTCATTGTTGTTGTAATTCATCCTCAGGGAATTGAGAGATTTAAAAAGGATGCTAAGGAGGTTGAGGATGCTCAGGGAAAAGTAATCAGTGGGCAGGTAAGTACTTATATGTGAAACTTTATTGCTCTGATGAGATCTCTAAGAACTTGTATTCAGCAAATGCTCTATATACAGATGAAATTTTCATTCTGGCTTGATGTGCTAAGAGTGCGACCTGTGCATTTGGTATTGGATTATTGTAAACTATGTTGTTGTAATCTATCTGGTGGTTGGTGCAGAAAGCATTTGTTTTGTGGGACACTTATGGCTTCCCGCTAGATTTGACTCAGTTGATGGCAGAAGAAAGGAAATTGGGAGTTGATGTTGAAGGTTTCAATAAAGCCATGGATGAAGCTAGAGAAAGATCAAGAAGTGCCCAAACTAAGGTATAACTGCCTTTGTCAATTTACCTGTGGATTGTTATATTTATATCTTTGGTAACTGTCTTTCTTTCTTTTCTTTTTCTTTTTGTTGAATTTAAGAGTGAAAAGTGATGGAATATAGTTAAGATCTTCCTGTTTGGTTCTCAAGCGTTTGGCTAATATAAACCTTTTGGCAGCAAGCTGGTGGTGCTATTGTCATGGATGCTGATGCTACATCTATATTGCACAAGAAGGGTGTTTCTGCCACAGATGATTCCTACAAATATATTTGGTTCCAGGTCAGTATATTACATTCTAGGTGAAGATTCTCTTGCATTTCTTATCTCATTCTTCTCTACTCTTTCTCAGGATCACGAGTCTTCAATTAAAGCCATCTACACAGGTTCTGAGTTCTTGGAAAGTGTCACTCTTGGCAATGAAGTTGGCATAGTTCTCCAATCTACTAGTTTCTATGCTGAACAAGGTGGTCAGGTATTCACCAGCCAAGGCTTGGTTCTTCGCTATAGTGTATTCTTAACGTAAAAATTGTTTTTTATTCTCATTTTTCATCGATGCCTCCCTGTTACGATGTGGAATCATAGTCTGAGTTTGTACACTTACTTATTTCTTAAATCAAGATGAAGTTTGTGGTGTGTTCTTTATGTTTTTTTCCGTTCAATTTTTTTTTTGTCAAGGTTGTGTATTTTTGGTTAGGGTTACGAGACTTGGTTTTCTTGTAGATTTTTGACACTGGGTTACTTGAGGGCTCATTTGGTTCCTTTGAGGTTCGCAATGTCCAAATATTCGGAGGATTTATCCTTCATATTGGTTCCCTCACTGGAGGCACAGGAAAATTCTCAGTCGGCGAGAAGGTTATATGTAAGGTATTTAAAATAGTAATCACTTGACTGCTTTCCTAGTGTATTGGTATTTTAGTGTACTTGATGTAAATTCTTCAAGTTTTACCTTGTTGGTTGTTCAGGTTGATTATGAGAGACGGAAAATCATCGCACCCAACCATACTTGTACACACATGTTGAACTTTGCTCTTAGAGTAAGTCCCTTACCCTCCCCACATATAGTCTTATTATTTTGGCAAAAGCACTTCTTTGATTGTGTCCTGATCTGAAATCAGGAGGTCCTTGGTGATCACATTGACCAGAAGGGATCTATTGTCCTCCCTGAAAAGTTAAGATTCGACTTCAGTCATGGTGAGCCTTTTCTGTTGGTTCATAATGTACCGTCCAATTTTCAGGAACATATAATTTGCCTGCCTTCAGTTGGTCACTAACTTGATCAATGATCTTGTAGGAAAACCAGTGGATGCTGAGGCTTTAAGAAAAATTGAGGCAATTGTGAATGAACAAATTAAGGCTGAGTTAGGTGTATATGCTAAGGAAGTGAGCCTGGCTGATGCTAAGCAGATTAATGGACTGCGAGCTGTTTTCGGTGAAGTACGTAATGCACTAATCTGCCATTCAGGTTGTTAAAAGTAGTATATGTACTTATTATATCCTGAATTCCTTCTTTGTTGTGATTTAGGTGTATCCTGACCCTGTTAGAGTGGTTGCAATCGGTCGTAACGTTGAAGAACTTGTGGCTAACCCAGATAACAATGAATGGCTGTCACTTTCAACAGAGCTCTGTGGAGGTTTTAAATCTTGTCTTCACGGTTCTAGTTCTTTATCTACTTCTAGGTTTCGTGTGACTTACACTTGTGGAAAATATTTGACAGGAACACATATTACAAACACAAAGGAAGCTAAAGCTTTTGCTCTTCTGTCCGAGGAGGGAATTGCAAAAGGGATTAGACGGATAACTGCAGTTACAACCGACAGTGCTTTTAAAGCATTGGAATTGGCATGCTCGCTTGAGCAAGAAGTTGAGGAAGCATCCAAAGAAGATGGCAGTGCACTGGAAAAGGTTGCTCTTATCCAAAGTTGATGATCCATTAAAGAAAAAATGTTCCTTTTAGTCTCTGCATATACTTGCTCTTTTGTCTGATTATTTTCTTGTAATTAAACAGAAAGTCGCATATCTGAAGAGTCGTGTGGACACAGCAACTATTCCTGCAGCCAAGAAAGCTGATCTTAGGTCCAAGATATCTGTGCTTCAGGTATTGCAGAAACACTTGACTTTCAAAACTTTATCCTCCATTTTTTACCCTGGTTGATTTTTCATTAGCCCTTCTAGTTTCTCTGAGTGCTGCTTCTTGCCCTAGAATTGCTCTGAAATGATTTAAAATCTTATCAGAACCAAGTGAGAAAGCTACAGAAGAAGATTGCTGAAGAAAACACACAGAAGGCTGTGCAGGTTGCAACGGAGATTGCTGAAACTGCTGCATCAGAAGGCAAATCATTTTGCATCTCTAGAGTCGAAGTAGGTTTGGATGCAGCTGCAGTTCGTGAGGCCGTGTTAAAAGTCCTGGATCAGAAGGTGTGTGGGGTTTTACGCTTGACTGCATGTATTGTGCTAGTGATGCCAATGGGGCGGAACAAAAACAAATATTATTTTCCTGACACGGGCTGTTTCCTCTATCATTGCCAGGGAATCTCAATCATGGTTATCAGCATTGATGAAAGCACAAACAAAGCGGTGGTGTGCGCTGGAGTGCCAGATAAGTCAAACAAGGTGAAGCAGTTGGAGGTTTCTGAATGGTTGAGCAATGCCTTGGGGCCTCTGAATGGAAAGTGTGGAAGAGGAAAAGATGGTGTTGCCACCGGCCAGGTTGGTAGTTTGAGCGTGCATATGGAATGAAGTATCCTCATTTTCTATTTCTTTCTATTCTACGCAATGATGCGAGCTGAATGAACTCTTGGTTTCAGGGAAAAGATGCGTCGAACGTGGATGAGGCCATGGATGTGGCATCGAAGTTTGCTGATCTAAAGTTGCGATGATGATGATGATTATGATATATGGAGCGTAGAACATTTGACAGTTACATTGAACCTAAAACGAATGAACAAAACAATGGAAATCGTGTTAGCAGTTTGGCTTGAATCTGTTTGTTTTTCCTGTTTTCTATTTTGGTCACTGTGGTACCTTTTATCTTCAACTACTAGAAAGGCAAAAGTTTATATAACTTTGGACTTTGGTGCATTACCTTGAATTGATCGACTTGCAAATTTCTGGGAAACAAGCGGTGGCCCTGCACTTTGAAATTGATCCACCCGTAAATAGATTGAACTGTGCAACAGGTGGATAATGGATAATTTATGTGGGTAGATTGTGTATTTGATAAATCTCCTATATATACTTAATCAGTGGGTGGTGGCTGGATTGCGGGTCGCTCGAATGACATGTATGGATGTACCTTATTTTTACATGACAAAATTTGTTTATGGTACTATTATCAAATATGTGCTCTGCACACTAACCATCGACTTCTAAAAATTATTAATTGTATCAAGGTCGCAAAATGCGTCAATTTTGTCTACACCGGTTGGTTGATGGAGTAATGAAAAATTGAAAATACTACACAGATTCATAGGTGACAAAGTAAAAAGTATATAAATTGCTACCGTCTTACTAATTTGGGAGGAGCTTATTATAATGGTAGCTAACTTTCTTTGGGTTAATAACCTAGTTTGGCCCGAAGTTTAGTGTAATGTCAGTTTTGGCCCGACTTTTCTAATAAGACATTTGTGGCCTACTTTGCAAAGTATTTGACAAATTTGGAACGAAACTTATGTCAACTGTTAAAACTGACGGTCAACTATTGAGTTTATTTAGGGTTGCGATTTGGGGAAGGGAGAAAGAGGGGGAATAGGCTGCGAGTTTGGTTTATTTAGGGTAGGGGGTAAATTTTATTTTTTATGGGGGTTGGGGGTAAAATCGGGGAGAAAGATGGAATTTTTTTAATTTGATAATTTTTATATTAAATTAATAAATTAAAATAATATTATTTAGTGACATGGCATGACACATTAGCTTTTTTTGTTGAGTCACTAACGGAATAGTGTTTGACCGTTGGAAACGGGCATTGCTATTCGTCGACCTAAAATACCTTATTTGTCGCCCTAACTTTGATTAAAATGACTCAAATGTCCTTAGCTTAATTCTTGTCTTTCAAACCCGCCGCGGAACGGAAGCCGGAAGGGCTAAAACCCCGTCTCCGGCGAGTTGGGACTTGTCAGAACCGCGCATCCCTTCAAGCTACCATCACCAGCGGGTCATCAGCGTCCCATCGTTTACCTCACGCCGACCAGTTGAAATTTCCCGACGAAGAGCCTGTGGCGGGATCGGAGAAAGGCTCTCCATCTCTGCTCAGGATGTTCGGAAGGAGCGCACCTAGCTGCGAACGACGGCGCTCTGTCTCTGTTCACGATGTCATATGCGATTGATTTAGATTCCACCAAACCACCGCATCTCATCTTGTCGGCGATTTCAATTAGAAAGGGTTTCGATATGGGTTTTTAGGATTTCAATTTTTGGGATTTGGGGTTTTTATTAGTGTTATGGTTGTCGTTGTCATTTTGATTTTTGGGTTTCTAGATTCACCCATTCCATTCACAATTCGATTCATGCAGAGCTGCGATTCATCTCCTTCAAACAGAAGCAGAGTAGCTCGTTCCAATATCTGAATCGCACCAATCACCGCCCTACTGATATTCTCGGAGTCATCGTATAGAGCGAGGTCATCATTTCTACACTTCGTCTTCTTCCTCCTCCGACTCCGACAGTAGAAGAAGATCACCAGCGGCAGTCAGGGTGAGGTGGGCAGCTGCCAGAGAGAAGAATCCCACAGCGACAACAACGTCCGGGTTGAGGTCGGCGACGGCTGGGCAGGGTTAAGGAATTGTTTGTTTGGGGTCAGAGGGTGCGATTGTAAATTTAGTGAATTTTAGGGCGATGAATAGCAATTCAGTTCATTAGAGCTTCTAACTTTCTCGTATTCCTAAATCATTCACTCCGGGTCCCGAACTTCTGTTTCGTTACAAATGAGTACCAGTAGGGTTTACTGGAAAAATAAATTAAGTATGGTACACTGAATTTGAGGAGATTGAAGCTTTATTCCCTTTCCTCTTCTTGCTTTCAGCAATCAGCATATATACAACTCCGTATCCTTTACGTGGACAATAATTAATTCTATGGAAATTAAATCATCGATGAATGAAAGTTTTGACTATGCATGAGGAAATTATCCAAGTCAAGGTGTCCTTTCCTTAGTGGCTAAATGATCTTCTATTACAGATTACAATCATTAATTTATTTGGCAATTTTACAGTTTTTTTTACCAAATATTACTTTACCGTTGACACCATATTTAATTCCATTTGGATCCCACGCAATCAACTTCTCTGGTCAAAATGATTCTCGAACTACCCGACCTTTATCTTTTTAATGTTTGATGTAGTCTGTTAATTGGATTTGGATTATGGATTTGAAACTCAAATCTCACATATGAGGAATTTGATCAAATTCATTGTTTGTTTGATATAAAAGAAGAAGTTCCAATTGCAAAATTGAATCGTTTTGAAGCCAACATATTATTTTTATCATTTTTAATCTTTTTCATAAAACATAATTTTCTCATATATATTTTTTTATAATTAAAACCCAATAAGAAAATAATATGATTTAGTATGAAATAAATACAACAAAATCCATTTTGGCAATGCTTTATTTTTTATTTTTTATATTTCATTTCATATTTCAAATTTAAAGATTGGACACAAACCTCAAATCCAATGAACAAAACACCCTTATGTTCAGGTGACAGTTTTAGCTGAAGTAGGAATCACATGTACAACGCCTCATTTTGGCAAACGAGTTCGTGAACTCGAGTCGACAACATGTTAAAAGCCAAGCGAATATAACCTGATTCATACCAAAGTATGTTGGATGATGAGTACATCTGGTTCGATAGACCTCTAGAACAATATTGTTGTTTAAGTTCTAGATAAAGCACCGATGGTTAATTATAACTTATATACGAAATCTATTTCATTTTCTTCTCATCCCAATCCTTTAGGACACGCACAAAAGACATCCCACTATCAGATGATCAACTACATGTACGTACACTTGCATAGCTATTTATACACCTAAAACCAGCTACATATATATGTATACAGTCAAACCCCTATAACAAAAGAATATTTTGAAGAGTTGGGTCTATTTTCCAACACGAGATAAGACAAATTATCATTACCTTTTTGGCATAGAACTTCCAGACAAATATAATCACCAAATTCTGTTTTTAAAAGATAGACATATTTGTATTTTTCTGCAGGAGTCCTGATTTCGGGATCTAAGGGAATTGACAGTGAAGCAGAATTTGCTCATCGTAACAAGGCGATAATTGGGGACAAAGAGTCTCCCGTTCAACGGACATTTACCAGAAGCGCGCTTTGGAATGAAATTTCTCGTCTTATCTTATGGCTGCACAAGCTGACAATATATAATTTTACCTCATATAAAATGGGAGCATTCTAACTAGCTTGCGCCCAGTAACCCTATAGTGTTATTATTATCATATCATAAAAATAATTATTTGGATATTATTGGCACTGATTTAATTGTAAGTTTATAAGAGCAATGCCGTAGCTCTCACGGTACACTGTCCATCCCCATTTGTTTAATTATTCCCCCAATCCCTAGGCTTCTTACTAATTAACTATTATTTCATCATTCCATTTTCCAGCAAACGCGTTCATGGTACACCGATGAGTTCAGGTGCATACGAAATGTTTAGAAAAGTTGATAAGTAAATTATAAATTTTTTTTTTTTGGGTTATAAAGAGAGTTTTCTTATTAAACCCTCAACTTTTCCCACCCTCCCCTCCTCTGTATGACACTATATTTCGATATTGTTTTCTTAATAAAGTACTTTTATCGTTATGTACGGTTAAAGTTGATGTGAAACAAAGAATATCCATAATTTACCACTTAAAATTTACTAGTTGACGAGATGGGTTAGCTTGTTAACCATAAGGGGTTAGTGTGCACCATGCTAATCATGAGCTGTAGTAGTACATAATCATAGTTATAGACTTATAGTTATTGTCGTTTCCCATTTGTCGTTTTTTTTTTGTTCTTGTAGGACTACAACTCCGACATAACTATAATTATAGTAATTGTTTTTGCAGTTGTAGTCCTTACCTTTTGAAATTACAGAGCTTCAACTCGATCCGATATAGACTACTACAACTCATGATTAGTATAGTTGTAACCATTATAGGATTAGCACAGTGTATGGTCCCCTCATACACATCTTTTGATGTTTGTTTCGCCAATCAAGTGAGCGCGCGCGCGAAATGAAGAACCGAACTCTTTCATAGATAAATTTAACATCTTAATTAAACCAATGCTTTTGTCTTTTTAATGTGATTATTAGCCTTTATTTCTGTGCCAATTAATCTTGGGTCGGGTGTCGATCAGTCTGTGAGGCAGTCACACACCTTAAAAAGCTTGGAGTTTCGTCAAAATCCCTTTCTCTCTCACTCACTTTATTCTCCTCACATGCAAAATAGAATAGAAGAACCCATCTCTCTCTCGCCGTGCCGTTTACGTTGATTTTTCCCCATACGGGATCCGCCTTCCATGCATTGCTTGTCGCGGCCGGCGACCGTCACAACAAGCAACGTAACTCATCACTTTTGCCAAATATTTCCTTCCCCTATCTCTGTGTTTGACCTAGCTAGCCAGCCAGCTTTTCTACTCTCTCTCTCTCTCTCTCTCTCTTTCTGGCGTCCATTTCTTCTTGTTCTTTCTTTCCTTTCTTACCTGCCTTGTGTATTATCCGGCGAAAAACGGGAAGGAAGCAACGTCCCTTTCTTTCTCTCTAAGCTCGCTTCCACTTCCATCTACGTACTCAACGCAGTAACCAGAAAGCAAGCAAAGTAGGTAAAAGGGAAGGAAGGAAGGATCCATATATATACATACACCAGAGAGAAGATTAATGGCAGGTGGAAGTGGCGGCGGGCAGCTCTCGGTGCCGCCGGGTTTCCGGTTCCACCCGACGGAAGAGGAGCTTCTGTACTACTACCTGAGGAAGAAGGTTTCTTATGAGGCCATAGACCTCGACGTTATCAGGGAAGTCGACCTCAACAAGCTTGAGCCTTGGGACCTCAAAGGTAAACCTAAGCGTAACGTAACTCGTCATTGAATGTAAGCCATATATGGAACTTATATGCTTAGGTCGTGTGCAGGAGGACTCAGACTCACCTTTTCTTTTAGGGTTTCGGGGGATTATATTTTCTTTCATATTCAACATGGTTCTAATCATCATGTTATTAATCTTAATTAATTGTCTTATGGGAAACACAAACAAAGAGTATAAATTTGCTCAATAAGGATTTTCAACAATTATCTTTGTTTTTTTTAAAAAAATGCATAGATACAAACCGATCTTATCTTTCATTCAAAATGAAGTGTGGTGGATCTGCATATCCCGACGTTCAAGTAATTATATCTAGTAGTAAAAACTAGGGTTGGAAAGATAACGACGGCAACCCAACAGAGGAATCTATGTATAGGGTTCAGCTAGCCAAAAAATTTGACAAATGTTGGTTTAATCAGTCGTTGTATAATTGATGAATAACGGTAACATGTGTGAGAGAATTTTATCGTAGTTAGTGGCGAATTTATTATAACTTCAATTTTTTTCCTAGCATGGTAGAGATAACAGCTGGGTAGAGGCTCCTAAGTATAATAAACACTATTTTGCTCCATAAAGACTCTATGTATGAACCCTCTATTATACATATCACCTTCGGGTGATTTATTGGACATGATAATACGTTAATAATGATTGATTTTGGTGCCATGGAATCATATGGAAAAATTGCAGAGAAGTGCAGAATCGGGACAGGTCCACAGAATGAGTGGTATTTCTTCAGCCACAAGGACAAGAAGTACCCAACAGGGACTCGAACAAATAGGGCAACCGCAGCTGGATTCTGGAAGGCTACGGGGAGGGACAAAGCCATTCATTTCACCAGCAATGATCATTCACAGAGGATTGGGATGCGCAAAACCCTGGTGTTCTACACTGGACGGGCACCTCATGGCCATAAGACTGATTGGATCATGCACGAGTATCGCCTCGACGACGACCAACATCATCACAACTCTCAGTTCCAGGTAAACCCTAGCTCGCTAACTTCTTAGGAAGACATACACTACTGATTAAGGCCTCGTTTAGTGCACTTTTGTTGTTGTTGTGCTTGCAGTATTGTTGTGACTACATAGGTACAACCAAAATGCCATGAAAATGGAAAACAATTGGTAATTCTGAGAAGTCATGGATGTTGACAATTTTCAACGTTTAGTTGCTTCATTTGGTCTGGTTTAGTATTAATGTTGAGACTGAGGAAGGCAGGAAAATAATGAGGAATATTGTGACATGACGAGTTATGAAAAAAAATTAAAAAGAGGAAAGTATATGAAAATAATATCGAACATAAGATTTAGAGGATATAAGTTATAGAAAAATTGAATAAAATATGTAAAAAGTTAGTCTAAAAAGATTTAGCCATAGACTCCTTTAAATAAAATTATTCGAATAACTGATATGATCTCACAAGAAACAACTTGGAGAAACAAAAAGAAAGCTATATAAAATCCTTTCGTCTTTTTTCAGCTAATTCTTGTTCCGTTGTCCACTCTTATTGCCACAAAACAGATAAATACATTACTAAACGTATTTTCAGTCTCAGAATTCAAATGGTACGGATTGTATTTTTTGCAGGAAGAAGGGTGGGTAGTGTGTCGAGTATTCAAAAAGAAGAACCAAGCAAGAGGTTTCGCACCACAAATGGGCGGCGGCGCCGACGACGATCACCACCAGCACCACCACCTTCAACCCGCCACCACATCCACTGCATGCAACTCCGTCGGAGCAGCAGCAGTTTACGACGAGTTCGAGGCCGGTTCCATGCATCTCCCGCAACTCTTCAGTGCAGAATCCGCACACTTCGTCAACTCCTACAACACCCACCACCACAACAACAACCTGATCAGTAATATGAACAATGATTGCTCCCCGCTGATGCAGCCACAGAGCTTCTTGAGGCTGCAGACGCCGAGCGGAAGTACCGGTGGCAATTATGGGAGTAGTAGTAATAATGTTGCGGCGGCGGGTGCTGATTGGTCTTTTCTGGACAAGCTGCTTTCGTCTCATCCTCATCAGCATGACCAGAGATCATCGGTGGCAGTGGGAGGCGGTGGCAATTCGTCGGCGGTGACGGCGGCGCAGAAATTCCCTTTCCCACTTTCTGGATGCGATCCTGCTGCTGCCGGGATGTTCAAGTTTCCCCAGTGATGGTCGTGCATGCATTTTGATAATTTTCATGTGCTCGCTTTTTGTCGTTTTCTGATAATTTCCTTTTCTGTTGGAACGAAGTCAAGCAGAGACCGAATATTCTCTATGAATTTTTCCAACTTTTCCCAAGTTTACTAATTTTTTGTCGACATTTTTAAGATAATTGTTGTTCTCGAAATTAGAATCGAAGGTTTGTAGCAAGAGGGCGAATGAGTGAAGCTCTTCCTGGACATTTTATGTCAGCACAGGTGTAATTAACACCAGACTGATTTTTTGCTAGCGTCGAGGGGTTAAGGTGACTATTATGTTTCTGACTACTATGGTAGTGAGTGTGATTGGGGCGGATTTTCCTAAATTATCTTTATTTTCATTTCTAAATGCTCATATTCATATGCGCACGTCATATTCAGATAAGGAAGTTTGCATCACTATATCTGTGATTTACGACTACTCATGGCCATGGGTAATAACACTCATAAATCTAATATTACTATATTTAAAATTCAACATTTAGATTTTTAATTATCAGGAAATCTACAAAGGTACAATAGACACATTTTAATATGAATTCAACACTTTCGATCTTAAAATATTCATTAATTCCTTAGAAAAAATATAATATTATAAATCATTCATCTACAACTCCAACATATTTATTAAACAATAAATAGCCAACATAATCATGATAAAATGAAGAAAGAAGGTGAATGAGTGAAAAGAGAACTGGAGGGAAATTAATTAAGGTTTGGTTTGAGTGACTACTCAATAACATTTCAACTCTTTTTTTAGCTATCCTCTTTTCATTGACATGTTACAACTTGATCTCTTTATTCTTTATATATGAAGAAATAATATTTGTGAGGTAGGTATAAGTATGGCTATAGTTAGGGCTACAAATGAGCAAAGTTGAGTTTGCCTTAGTTTGAACTTTGCTCGTTAATAAACTGATCAAGTACGAGCTGAGTTTTTATTTATTAACGAGCCAACTCGAGTATAAGTTGAGTTTGACTTGTTTAATAAAATATTGTATTGTGTTTGTCTTGAGTTAGGATCATCTCACTAGTTGGAAAACAATTTATAACATAATTACCCTAATATTAGTATGTCACGATATTAATCTTTCATTATTAACTAATCTCGTGTCGATGTCATATTATTTAGCTAATACATTTTAATTTGTCCATATCATGTTATTTCATTATAATTGGTATCTAACCAACTAGTGCACATTATTTATCTCTTAAATTATAAACAAGACATATTTACTCGAAGTCTTAAACATCATATGGCACGAGATTTGTAATTTAACAAACATATTAATTAGCAACTAATTTCAAGACATCTCATGAGCTTAAAATCGGAGGTGAGCTCAACAAACCACTTAGCTGTCTTGCAACCCTGGTGGCTGAACACGGTTTAGCTCAGGCTTGGGTCATTAGTAAACAAATCGACTATCGAACGAGTTTTCCCCGAGCCAAACTTGAAGTGGTCAAGAACAATTTGACTCATTTGCAACCCTAGCTATGAGACATGAGGGCCTAAAACCATACCCTCCCCAGCTCAACCCATTAATTATGAGACATGAGGCTAAACTCTACCCTCCCCATCCCCGTCAAACCTTTTACGAATACCATCCTCACACCCAATCAATACCTTTTACAAATACCATCCTCACACCCAATCAATATGAAGATTCCCTGCATTGACAGAATCGAGGCAATCAAGCACCTACAAGCTTGACTGCCTTCAGTAATCCTAATACCTACTCGTTATTTCTCACAAGGTTTATAATTGAGGACAGGGAATTCATCAATCTGGATGGACGCAGTACACGCTTTCTTAATGTTGACGAAGCTAGAATTCAACCTTTGAAGAATCATACATATTAACTAGTAGGTTATGTAACATTAATGAAAGAAGGATGTTGAATTCAGAAATCATGCACAACTACACCAACTTAATACTAGTACTAGAAGTAATGCTGCTGCAGCAGAACTTTACAAGTCCAAAATTCATATACTAGGCAAGGAATATTCACTTTCCGCGAGATGAAACCTGCAGCCTACCAAATAATAAATGCATAAACAACCGACAAAACAACAGTACGCCTGAAAAGCATAAGTCGAATAAAACCGAACTAGAAACTGGAAAGAGTCAAAGCCAAGGGGAAGACACACCCCAGTTCTATTAAGAGTGTAACGGGCTTGGCCTTAACCTTGCTGACCAGGTGATTGGCCTCCTCGTCCACCTCTCCCTCCACGCGGCAACACACGCGAACTACCCACAGCCCGACCACGTACCAATCCTCTGGCACGACCTCTCACGACACTCGAGGAGGGTGCTGCAGGTGGCGAGCTCGTAGCCGCCGCTCCTAACTGTCTCACCCGAGACCTCTCCCTAGCTCTCGCAGCTAAATTAACGACGGTCGACACCTGACTCGCTGGCGAGACCTGCTGCTTCACTGCCTCTTCTGCCTCTGGTTTCGCTGGATCAGCATCTACAATTGCACTCGCTGTCGAACTGTCCCCAGCAACCAGAGTGCTCTCCGGAGCTTGATCAGTTTCCGCTGCATTTTGTTCGTCAGTGTCATTTACCCTCTCTGAACCAACGTTGGCTGTATTCGCTGTGTCATTTTCGTCATCTGGGATTTCGCCAGCCTCGAGATCGTCAGTAGCAGCTGCTGTTTCGTCTTCCATCCTCAACGGCGACGACTCGGGTGTGATTCCACCCTCCGGCATGAACTCCCCACTTTCAGGGCTACCCACATCACCACCACCACCTTCCACTTCAGAAACATCTTGTGGCAGCTCTCCCTCTTCTCTGTCACCTTGCTGGTCCTCTTCGACCAACAACTCGTCCTTCAGGCTCTCGTCAATCTCCATCTCCACTGTTCCACTCGCTGGCTTGTCTGAAGTAGTATCCTCTGCATCATCACTCTTCTGGTTCTGTGCTTCCACCTGGGCACCATTGCCACCTACAACATCCGAATCCATCTTCTCCCCAACAATGTCGGCCTCTTCCTTATCAGCCGCGACAACTTCTTCGTTTGAACTTGGGGGAAGTAAATCACCCGCAGAATCCAATGAAACATCAGCTGCTTGTGCAGCTGATGTGCCAAGCTGTACTTCTGCCTCCCCACCCTCGGAAGAACCCTGTCCTTTGGCCTTCTTCGCAATAGGGGCGGCTCCCTGCGAAAGAGCCTCCCCATGACTGATCTGTTGCTCGCTGCTCTCTGCACCAGATTGTGAAGGGCGTTTGCGGCTCAACAGTTGAGACGATAAGGTTATTAGAGTTCCTTGCGTAACATCGGAGTCTTGGGATGCAGCAGCAGGTTTCCCACCAAGGCTGGATTTATCTGCGGTTGCCTCAGACATCTCCGCATCAGTACCCTGAGGTTCCTCTGTCTTGCCACGCCAGGGCCGAACCAACTTTCTTCCTGTTTTACGAGCTTCACTAATATTTGGGCGGGAGGCAACAAGCTTTCTATCCTTTTCTTCTGCAGCTTTGGTAGGAATTGGATTGGTGGGAAAGGCGGGGGCGACAGGAATTTGAGAAGTTTGACCTGCCACATCATAAAACAACAATAGCACAGAGAGTTAAGTGTCGGGAAAAAAAACAGTTGTGATTAGTTGTCTATGTTTTTGGCCTAAACAAACACAATTTTTTTTATCTAACCCTTTAATTAACTATTCACCATCAATTACAAAAATTATTTAAAAAATGTCACTTCAATGATACAATTCCATTTCCAAATTCGCACTTCCAAAATAAATATCTACTCTTCAAATTATACTCATTTCCACAAATCCACTAGTTTCATTTCTATCACTAGAAAAATAATTTCGTTATCACATTATCTAGAGATGGCTTCTTGTTGACGGGGATGTCAATCAGATCAGTAGAAGGAAGCCTTACCAATTGGAACAGGTGCAGAAGCATCCAGTGTCGCTGGGGTCTCTGCAGGAGGACGAGCATGTCCAAGTTCACCCAGCACAGAAGTTGCTACTTTCTCAAAATTTTCAACAGCTGATAGGTAAACAACAGCATGATCATCCAGAATGGTTCCAGAAAGAATCTGAACGACGGAGGTGCCCTGTTAATTGGAATATTTACACGATAATAGAGTGAGAAATTCACCAGAAAGCAATGGACTAGCACAAAATGAACTCAAGTACTCAACTGACTTGTTTACCTCAGGGAGACTGTCCTCGGCATGCTTAAGCTTCTCCAGCTCATCTGAAAGGCGCCTCAGCGCATCCTTATGCTTGTCAAATTTGTCCACAAAGTTTGATCTCTCCTATCGTGAAACAAAAGCCAACAAAAATGGACTTCAGATGATGAGTATGGTAGTTGCATATGCAAGAAATTATGCCGAGACCAAGGACATCCAACTACTAATATATACAAACTTCAATATTACAAAAATACTATCAATCTACGTGAATACAGAAATAAAAATTACCTGCTCAACATTCTTGACAGAATCCTGAACAGTCTTTTCAGAACTCTCACGCTTTGCTTTCTCCATGTCATGGTTTTCTTTTTCCTTTCTAAAATCGTCTCTAACCTTATCCAGCATTTTCTCCAGCATCTGCATGATTGAGCACAAAATTAGACCCACATGTACTCAAGAAATAATTATTGAAATTATTTTTAATTCCCTCATCCTAAGAACCTGTATTCTGGTGTCTTTCTCCTCCTTTTCCTTAACGGCAAGCTCACTGCCAGCATTTCCAATAGCCTTCTTGCCTATACAACAACCGTAAGTTTACTGTATCGAAGCAAGACATAAAGTGTTTCACTTTTCGTCCAGAGGGACATACCTTGCTTAAATTCCTCAATCTGTTTGTTAGCTGCGTCTTTTTCTTTGATTGAGTCATCCCTTTCCTTGGACAAATTATCCATTCTTCTCTAAAAGCACACCAATTTAAAAGAACCAGACAAACGACCATGAATAATCCTATAATGAACCACCACAGTAAAAGATATACTTGTAGTTTACAATGGCTTTGAAAAGAAAAACCTTGAAGTGACTGTTGATTTTCTTTTGCCTCTCCAAATCGGACTTTATACTATTCAGCGCCGCTTCGCTTCGTCCAAGGTCCTGCTCCAACTTTGACAGGGTTTCTTGCTGCTTCAACATGCAGTTCTTTGAATCCTCCAACTCATCATCCTTCGCTTTCAGTTTTTCCTTGTGAAAGGAACACGCCAATGTTAGAGCAGCATGAAATAGTTTACAGTTCAAACTTCATAAGTCCAAGCCAGTAGAAACTGAAAGAATAGGACCATAAAACTGAAAGCCAAAACTAGTTCTGGTTGGGGGAAAAGATGAGAATACACTGTCTAAAGGTTATCATAGATAGACTACATTGCTACTCTCTCGAATTGTGCGGAGAAAAGACTCGCAGAAACAAAACGCAAACAACTATTCACAAAAGGGAGACCGAAAGCAACAATTAAGTACCTGCAGCCTCTGAAGATCAGCTTTAATCTTGTCGTAGTCTTCCACATTAACATTTTTCTCTAGCATCTGCACAAGAAAGTTAGCATCAAAATTCTCAAAGACACATGGGTAACAAAGAAAACATGTAAGAGCAAAATACCTCAGAAACTCTCTTTTGCAGGAAATCCTTCTCCACCCTTGACATTTCAATTTCCTTCTTGCAAGCTTCTATTTCCATTTCTTTTTCCCTCACCAGAATTTTCAGATTATCAGCCTTAGTTTCAGTCTCAAGTGTTATATCACGCATTTTCTGCCATCGAATGGATCAATTTAGTAGAACTTATGTAACATTTAAAGAGCCAACATTAAAAAAATGAGTAAAAAAAGCAGATGACATCTTAGTCTCACTAAGATGTACCTGACATTCCTCAACAGTCTGCTTATTCTCCTCTCTAAGTTGCATATTGCTCTCACGTAACAAGTTCATCTCTTCAACCTGAAAGGTAGGGAGAGATGCATTAACCCCTAAACAGTATGATTTCACCGACGACAGTCATCGAATGAATTGTTCAAGACTCAGACAAGAACTAAAAAACGTGAACCAAAGATAATGATAACCCAAAGAGACAGGACTCCAATTTTGATAATTATATACCGCAACAAATATATAATGGGTTACTGAAGAATCGAACAATACCTGATACTGAAGAGATTTCATTTCTTCCTCTGAAAATATTAAGGCCCTCGAGTTCGCTAGCTCAGCACCAAGTGAAGCTTTTGCATTTTCCGCCGCCTTGAGAGCACTCTCAAGCTACAGCTCCATCAGAAAGGGTAAAAAACAAATTAGAGCACAGAAACGAACAAGCCTACCGTGCACTTCTCCTACCTAACTTGAGTGCCTGCAGAATACTGATGCCTAATGTCAGAAGTAAATGTCTCAGGGTAGATATGCTGCTTTGTTCAGCAATCGTTCACCTTACCAAAAACAAATACGATTCTTTTATTTATTTTCATACCTAGAACTCTAGATGATGGTTACTTAAGTAGAAATAATTAGCTACAGGAGCCAATCCCTAAAGTTGCCACATCTTAAGTCTAAAAGGCGGAGCATTTAAAAGCTGTCAACAAGGGCCTCAGTCATCTTGTCATTTCAAAGGGTAAATACCCATCAAAAGTTGTAAATAGTAATTGATTCCAATAAACTGCTAAGGACCGCACCAGTAAATGATATATTGTGAGGCTACAGTCTCATGCAGACAAACACAACTTCGACCACTTTCACAACATTAAGTTGTGACACAAATTTTACGGAGCAACATACTGGGATTATGAGATAAACTCAAATGAACTGGCAGTGTACTATGTTGCATTTATGCATGATCTGACTAAGACACCTCAAGGGGAAATATAGGTTTACAACATTGTTTGTACATCAGATGAGAGTCTGTTGTAAAAACTGCATGCATTCTGGAACTAAAAGCAACATATTCCAGTTCATTCTGGAATCAAATTGCCACTACACTGTATCAAGGGCAGGACAGTCACAGGTTCAATAACTTGTATATGAAGCAGCCACGTCGTTTTACAAATATTCTCAAGCTTTTAAGACAACATGCTCAACTCATGAATAAGACAACCAGTTACGAAACATACTTGTGATTGCAATCGCAGCTTTTCCTGCCTTAGCAATGAAATCTCCGTCTCCGCCTGTTGAAATCAGATAGACAATCAGAACAGTAGGCATCTTTCCAGTTTAAAATGAGATGCTACAGGAAATGCACAATGTATTATCGTATTAGTCCAACTTTAACAGAATCTAGACTGTTCATTAACAAAAAATCATTCAGCCAAGTTTTCTAATAGAAGAGTTGACATTGATTCAATTGGCAGCACATACTATCTCTTTTGACCGTCGAAGATAGCTAACAACATTCTGCAACCCTCCATCAGCATTTGGATCCGCATTACTCCTAGAAGACATTCCAACCGAGCTGCGATCACTCTCAGCCAGCTGGATGTGCAGAGCCTCCAGTCTGCTGTGCAGTAATTTATTCTGCCAATAGGGATGAAGCAAAGATAAGGAACATAAAACACAGAATTGAATAATTTACTCTCAACTGGCTCAAATATAAATTGCTCGCATATTTGTGCGAGGCTTATTTAAAGATGGTCAATAATTTACTATCAACTTGCTCACATATAACTTTTTCATTCTAATGCATTTGTCAACAGTTCTCTGAAAAGTTAATGTCACCAAGTATTCATCCAACGCCAATCTATCAAAATGCCAGCCTGCAAGGAGGGAAGCTGGCAACTACTATACCAAAGAAATTTACAAGTTTGCATCCTCCAAATAAAATTTTGCAAGCCCAAAATGGCAATGTAAGCGATGACACCAGCAATAATTAGAAAAGATACAGACATTGCAGAGGCAATCAGTTTCCTAGGTCTTAATCCTTTCTGATTCCAATACAGGACTTGTATTAGCTTAAATCAAAAGTAAGTGATGATTCAGAATTTGGTTTTTATCAACCTTAAACATCTTCAGTACCATTAGCTCATATCTTATTAAGTATCCGAAGGAATGGTGTCAATGTACCAATGTAAAATCCGAGGACCAGTTCAGAGAGGCTTTTTTTTTTTTTTTGAGAGACAGTTCAGAACGACATTTGCCTGCGTATTATCTACACAATCTCAAGAGCTCCTGATGGTAAAAAATGGATGAAACCATCCAGTCCAGTAAAACCTTGAGGCTACATTCAACTACTGGAAAAGAAAAAGAAACGCTCCTTGCAACTCCAAAAAGAACTAATAAAAAAAACTTGGTATTATCTTCCTTAACATACGGATGCAAGCATCAATTCAAGGAAGAACATCACTGCACAATATCTACCTGTTCATTGAGCTCGTCATATTTCTTCTCAGAATCCCTTCTTGATTCTTCTAGCATTGATTGTGCCGCCTCACATTTTACTTTCAGTTCATTCTACAATAATAGGCAGGTAGATGGAGTATTAGTAGAATGCATAAAATACCAAATTAGACAAACAGGTTAGCTCACAACACAATTAGACAATTGAAAAAGAAGAAATAAAGGTTGAATCAAAATAAGTGACTCAAACTATGAGACGTGAATACCCACAATGGAACCTCACTCATTGCCAGACCACAAGAAAATCAACTTGCATCATCAGTTTTCAACAAATCCATATATGTCCAAAAAGTACAAGTCGTGAGTTTGGTAAAGTTGGGACTTATCATTCACACAAACACAGACACACATATGTAAACTTCACTATTCAAGCTGAATTTCCATTCCTGTTTCCACTGACGAAACAAACCAACTTGAACCTCAAGTTTAAATGAACCTTGACACAAGAAAGCCCTCCGAATAACCCTGTGTTTCCAACCATCATGCCATGCAAGAAAAAATCGCAAAATCGCCTTTCAGCTATCAAATTTTTTATGTTAATGAATGATATCAAAGAGAAACTTTGCAGGAGGTATTCTCCCAATGCAATAACACCAGTTCTTTCACTATGCCAAATACCCCGTTGAGAGTAAGCAGATCCAGAGGGAAGAATAGAGACCATCAAAGTGACTGTCATTCGTTCTTATCGTATGAATGTACTGGCAATTATATCACAACAGCATCTCCAATCGTTACAAAATGGAACAGTGACCGCAAATGAAACTGGAGATTTCCCAGGTACAAAACTCATTTTAAGTGGCTAGTCGTGGACAGCCTAATATGACATATATTCACCAACCAATACCAATGGAACACCGGTGAAGGAGCACAATCAGACAGTCAAACAACATTCAGAAAGAAAAAGGGATATTGAAGGACCACAAAACACAAACTAGCCAGCTAAGGAATCAACAATCACAATGCAATAACTAAATAAGACTCACATTTACGCATTCTCGCTCATCTGCCAATTTACGCCAGCGAGAGGCTTCCTCTTGTAAGGATGCCAAAGTCTGTGATGTCCTTGTTAACTCCTGAATTGTCTCGGACTGTAAAATGACCTGATGAGAACAGAAAATCAAAGTCAGTAACTTTAAAGTCAATTCAGCTGCTACACCAGATTTATCATATGCAATGAAGCAGCATGGAGATAAAATATTCGAAATGTTTTTCAAAGAACTGTAGTTTGTCGAGCATTGCACTTAACTAAGAAATTTCAGAGATGCTACAAATAAGATATGCTAAAGAACGGTCAAACTAAAAACTTCACCACTCAATTTAGTGCAAACTAGCTTAATTAACCTGTCTCTCGTAATTTGTTTGAGCAGACCGCCACCTCTCATGCTCCTTCTCCAGATCCTCTTTCAATGCAGAAACTTGCATTTCCAGTGCATTAACTTGAGAACTATGCACATAGCAGACTATCAGAAACTTCATAAAGTAGGAAAGATTTATCAACAGAAGGTAAAGGATATATCTCACGTTTTACTGGAAATTTCCTCCTTCAAGGCAGTAATTTCAGCCAAAGCAGAAGTAAGAGCCTCTTCTTTACCAGCAGACGCAAGGAGAACTTCTTCAGACTTCAAACGCAATTCATTCTGAAGCTCGGTTATCTTCACTCTAGACGAAATCAACTCAGCTTCCAAAGACTCCTTCAACTTTTCTGACTGGACATTGGTATAGCCATAATCTCAGACAAAATGGTATAGCCATGTACACTTTACATAAAGCTAACAGAGCTCCAATGCTTAGAACTGCTATTTCATTTAGACATACCTCTATCTTAAAGTTCTCATGAGCCGTTTCCATCTGCTTTAATGCAGCTTCATTTACCTGAGCTATATTCTTGTACTGCAAGTCACAAATATATGTTACTAGATAACCATATATCAAATGTAGTTGCAACAGTAACAGTGATAAAATACCTGCAGCATATGGTCCTTATTAGCTTGGGCTTCTTCTCTCAATTTTCGCAATTCCTCCTTCACCATAATTAAATCGGTTGTGGCCTAATGTACAATTAGGTAACCACCATCAAGGAAAAGCACCACCAATGAAAAACGGCCAGAGATAGAATACAACCAAACTTCAATATAGATTTGTAAGCAATAGAGGCGAGAGATAAACACACAATGGCACAATGCCCCCATGATCAACCCTGTCCTACCAAAGAAATTAAAAGATAAAACTGGTGGTACCCCCGTTTTTCTTTTCTCTTCTTCTCTCTGAGAGTACACATCCATACAAATAAAGTAATTTATGAACCAATTGCACCTAAATTTTAAGAGAAGAAACAAGGAATCCTAAAAAGAACTACAGTTTCCAACAGAAGATATAGAAGTGAGTGGAATAAGAAACCGTAGCATTAAAAGTAAGCATGGAGACAGACTGACCTCTGCAGATGAAACTGAGAGCGCCCTGCTATCCTGCCCATCAGCAACCTGCACAGGTTGAAGTCATTGTACCAGATAACAAATAATATTAATCAAGAATGGGAGAAATAAATTAACAGAAATTTAGCCGGACACATATCTCACAAGGAAAAACCAGATTACAACATACGTTTTGATCTGAACTCGTCCTCTTTTTCTCCAAATCAAGTTTCGTCTGCAAAATGTAATTCAGACAAAGTCCAGTCAAATGAATATTAAGTTTAGTCTATAAACATCTCTGAGATAAAAATAACTGTAGTGAAATTAGAAACCTCAGCAACAGCAGCCCTGGTCTCAGCAATTGTAACAGCACGTAACGCATTAGCTAACTCTTTTCCCATCTCATCCACTTGTCTCATTGCATTCTTCAAAGTCTGCTCGCGATCAGATGTGAGGGATCTAACATTTTCCTTTTCCAGTTGCAGCTCCTTTTTCGCCTCCGCCCATTCCCTCTTAACATCCATCATCAGCAACTCAATGAGACAAAGTTTAACCAGATAATGGCAGCTCTAGCAAAGATAAAAACAACTAAGCACACAACTAGAATGAGAGATTATGTTTATCCCTCAGACTCGATGAAAAGAAGTCATTCCTAAAATGATGCAACCCTGAAAATGAAGCAAGGGTACTGCTACTTGGATGTACAAGTGTACTGTAAGGATGGATGACAACAAAGGAACTTCAGCAGAGCCATCCGCTCCTTCACCGTCATGCAGTGCCCATATAAAAAGTGTGAATAAGAAGTCATATTTACCTCAATTTGTTTGACATATTCCTCCTGTTTTCTCCTCTCGGCAGCTCGTGCTTCCTAACATAACAGAAAGAATACTTAAACGGGCTGGTTGCAACACTTGAATCAGAATACACAGGAGGAGAATCAGTTCAAGACGCCTACCTTTCGAACATCCTCGGCACTCTGGAAAGTGTCTAAACTAGACTGCAGACACAATACAATGTAAGAAAACTGAAGCAAACTCGTTACCAGAAAGTAGCATATATAGCATATTGCTTTTTAAACCTGCAGCCGATGCACTCTCTCTGACAATCTACGAACTTCATCACATGCTCTCTTTTCAGCGTTTGATAGCATTTCCTTCTCATGCTTTAGGGCCGATACCTGTCAATAAATATTAAGTGAAATGACAAACACAAAGAGCACCAAGCCAACATGTCCAACTACAGCTCTTTTACCTCCATGTTTAACTTCCGACATTGATCCTCAGAAGCATGTTGAGCATGCATGCTTTCATTTAATCTTTTTTGAAAGTCAAGAATCAAGCGGCCATGTTCTAAGTTGCTTGCTTCAAGGCCTTTGATTCGACCTTCCTGTCAACCACGTCACAGAAGGAACTGAGCAACAGGCTTGAGATAGAATAGGGAATGCCAAACAAGAACAGCAGCAGAACGAGCATGATTCAACAGCAAATTATAATTAAGCATATTTGTAGTGGAAGAACTAGAAGATCCTTGAGACAGAATAAGGTACGTAATTCATATATTATGTGCAGTCCTAAATCCTAATTATACACACATGACAAAAGGGTGCACCCAAATAATTCCATTGACTGCTCTTTTAGGGACATCTAAAAATTCCCATCTCAAAACAAATCACCTGGTGTTCAAATTCTTTCATAGACCTCTCCAGTTTTTCTGCTGCATATTTTGCTTCCGAAGCTAACTTGTCACGCTCCAATTGCAGTGATACAATTTCACTCCTAGCCACAGTAAAATAACAATCAAGTTAACCACAAGCACAAACGTGGAAACAAATACATGGATATTCAGCTATTGACGTTGGAAGACAGTTGGAATGAGAGTTGACAGGCTAGACACAAGAGTTTCAGGGACATTGGAGAGAATAATTTTTAAGAAAAAAGTTAATGATATAGATCATTGGACCTATGCCTCTGTGAAGAAAAGAGCCATTATAGGATCATCGTGGCAGAGCCTGATTCAAAGAGTACCAGGTAGCATAGATTGGCAAGAAAAGAGTGTAGTTACTGTATGCAGTCAATATGATTTCAAGCAGCAGGAAAGACAACATCCTCATGTCACTTAAACACAAAGTTCCTCCTCCGAACAAGCATTACCTAGATTTTGACAGCTTTTCCTCAAGAGATCCTACCTGCTCCGCAACCTTTTCATGGGCCATCTTGCTAGCTTCCTGCATCTTAAGAACAGTGAAAACATAAGCCAAAAGCTTTAGGATCAATAACCTTTCCACCTACAAAACAATTCGTCTAAACATTTAATTTAATTGTTTTAACAGAACCTGAGCACCCTCAAGGAGAAACAGCAGATCCTTCCCTCCATTCTCTACATATACGGAATTGAAGCCGTGTTAGGATCCATGGCCGAGAGATGCATATATATAGCACATTATTTAGAACTGCAAGTTTCCTGTTATGTTCGCGAATGCAACATCTATGAAGTTAACTAAATAAAACACTCATTAGACATCTTGATTAAAAAAGGAAACAAAAAAGAAGCAATTAAGAAACAGAAAAGAGACCAGCAGCCACTTAGCATGTTTACCACTGAAAATTACGATTCCTAGTTAGACCACATAAAGAAAGAGGGATATGGTAGCATCAAGAAAAAGGACAATACATGCCAATGAAATGGGCATTATCAAAGAAAAACAAGATAAGAGTGCAATCTCAAAAGCCTCCTTAAGGAAGTTTCAACCAGCCAGAAAGTACCGTATATAGCTACTAGATCATGAGTCCATGTCACTGAAATAGGCTAATTATAATAAAAATTATGCAAACCACCTAGATGTAAAACATACGATCTTGAATACAAAATGACCTATATTGGGCCAACGAAGGGAGTTGGCAACACTTCAATGCCTATTATGTACACAGAAGTTCTGATGAACACACTGTCATAGTGTTACAATTGCAATCAAAGTGGAAATTCTGAGAACACAACTGTCAGTAACCATTAATCAGTAACTAAATTAAGAGTCCAGGGATGCAAACCAAAAAACAGCAATATATTGACAGTGAGAGTAACCTGGAGCTGCCTCTGAGGAATGTGAAAGTGAATATGGTGACTGGCGTTTCTGTTGCTCCTCATATAACCTTTTGTACATTGCAAACTACAAGGGTAAAGAATAAAGAGCAAAGCTGTAACTGTAAGAATTGCACATATCATTGCTCAGAAACGGAGGAAAATGCAGCTAAGTCAAACTCAAAGATTGTGAGACAAGGAACAATACAGATGCACGAAGATTCTCAATCATGTTGCCTTGTTCTTCTGCCCTTTGTAAGACATTTGCAACTCTAGCGGCTGCTTCATCAGTGTATTTCTTGTGTTCCATTTCCAATTTCTCCTGCAATGGTACGTCCAAAGTTCTCAAGCAGGCAAACCAGTGGAACAAAGCAGCAATAAATCATACTATAAGTGGAACAACAAAAGTAGGGCTCGTGTATCGTGGAATACCTTGAACTCCGTCTCCCTATTTTCAATCTGATCTGAAAGACTTCGCACAAGACCCCTGAGTTGAACATTCTGCTCAACTAACCCATTTATGTCGTTGAAAGTCAACTACAAAATGTTTGAATAGATGGCAAATATAACTAAGATGTACAAATAAATCTTGCAAGCAACAGAAAATTATAAATGGAACACCAACTTACAAGCCTTTCAGAAATGACATCTTCAGCAACAGCATCTGTTTCCATACCAACATCAGCATAAATGGAAGAGTCGTCACCAGCATTATCCCCCAATCCACATCGAAGTTGCACATCGCGACACTCCTTCAGAAGAACAGTAACCTACAACATCGCAAAATAAGCAGACAGTAAGACTAGGTCCGGAAACAATAACTCCACAACAATCTATTCAAGCTTTGAAAAAACCATAAGACAATAAGTTCGCCTTTGGTTCTAACTCAAAACTCTGTATTTCTGCATAATATGTCTAATAGCATTTGGTTCTAACGGATATGTTCATATGAAAACGCATCTGCTGCAGACGCTGATAGATAAGATGTACCTACTTGTACTTGATCCCAAGATTCCCAACAAAATAAAAATAACGAACCATTGTCGAAGAACAACAGGCAGGAAAGAAGAAAAAGGAAGCACTAAGAACAAAACAGAAGAAAACTACAATTGCCTATCAGATATGACTGCAAACGTCAAAAAATGTATTGAAGATGATCAGGCACAATGCTTGAGCAGATAAAACTGAAAACCTTGTACACAATACATAAGCACTAGAGATGTTACCACCTGCTTCTGAAGGTCAACAATCTCCCTCTGGGCGATATTATACTGCCGCTCGTGCCTCCTTAGTTCAGCCTGCAAATTTACAATCAGCAACAAGCCAAAGGAACAGATTTCAAAAAGTGACATTGATGGTCCAAACCTTCAATTCTTGAATCATTTTCTCCAGGTTCCCTCGCTCTGATACTGACTGCTGCAACTTTTGGCCCATGATGGAGCATGACTCCAACATACTCTCATATTCCGCTGCAAAGCATAGCAATTCACCAACAGATTGGCATAAGTCCACTGAAGAAATATGCTGAAGAGCACTAAACAGTTCAGCTGCTAGAGCAGGAATTTGATGGCTCTGGAATTTTGAAATTGATAGCTCAGGAAGGAAAATATATATTACGCCTCCAATCAGTAAATTTCCTTTTAAATATTATAAGATAAAATAGATAGAGTGACTTTATACTGGGACAGATTGGGCTGGATTGACCAACCTGTGTTTTTTCCATTAACTAGATTAATTAAAAACCAGAGGTACATGACATTATTGAACATAAAAAGACAGAAGTATAAAGAGATGTGAATCCCAGAAAACAGATTTTAACGAAATATGAACTTCCACATACTCCACTTGATCTGAATTTATACCTCTTTCTTCCAAAATTACTCCTGCTTTCTCCTCCAATTCAAACAGGACCTGCAGAAGGAAAGGACAAGTGAATCCAGAGTCTAACAAAATCAAAAGCACGTTGTTGTAAGAAAACAGAAAGGCATGGACTAATCAAAACTGCTCCTGAAACATCATTGTTGTGAGAAATATGAGCATACTGATACAAGCTCCTAGAATCAACATAAGAAGTCTGGAACTGCTGTACACAGAACTTCAGGAACACAACAAACTAAATAAGGGTTTACAAGTAATGAACATCATACCCGTTGCAATATAGCTTCGGAATCCTTCCTTCCTAGTTGTTCATGGCGAAGAGCATCAACAGCTTCTTGGTATTTTGCATACATCTTGGCCAGCTATCAAAAGTACAATATGAATTCAGCATCAATACAAGATGACTGGTGAATATAAAAAGAACAAGTCATATAACTCACACTCCATCCATCTCGAAGTAGAGAAGCTGCCAATGCAGTCCCTGAAACACCAGGAGGAATCTTTGGAACAAGCATGCCAGTATCCTCCATGGAGACATTACTATCAGACTGGGCCACCCACCTGCAGGATAAATATGAGCGAACATTTGGCATAATCACAATGGGAAACGGAGTCAAGATGCTCATTTTCGTCAGCTAAACAGTTTGCATGCTCAACCATGGACCATCAGGAAAAAAAAATGGACAACAGGACAGCATATTACCCAACTGCACGTCAAAGCAACGTTGGTTGCACATCATTCACATTGTGAAGCATCAACATACGAGAGGCAGAAGATAACACTACCAGGAAGGTCAAGACACATTTATCACTCCATTAAACACACATCAGTAGAAAGACCTCCATGGTCTGTCTTTATTACACATAAAAAGAGATCATGAAGAAATTCTTGGCTAGTGAGCAACAAACCTTTCTGTCGAGAAACTACTAAGAGGAAGTAGATTAAGCTCATTATTTCTCCTGTTACTTTCAATCTCAGCTTCACATTTTTCAAGTTTTCCTCTGAGATCAGCAGCTTCCTATAACAAAACAAAGAATATAAAACTTAAGAAACCTAAACACCAAGCATCATAGTAAAGCATCTACAAGACATAATAAGCTGTAAATCAAACAGCAAGTAAAACTCGACACGGAACTTCTAATTTGATAGTCACAGCAATTTTAACAGTAGATGTGAACACAGAAATAAAACAATTCTTACCGGGGAAAAAAAAAGAGAGATAAAACAAAGCAAAATACCAAAACAAACCAACTGTCAAAACAAGATATCACTTCCACAATTATAGTCACTTCCCATGACCAAATATACTGCATAGAGCCAGCTGATGAAATGTTCAATCCACCTCCCATTATAGTGGCCACAATTGTGAATAAGAACAGCATATAAAACGGATACCCAGATTCGACGACTTTAGGTCCATTCTCTTGCAAAGATAAATAAGGTTAGCACTTAAAAATATACACTGTAACTGAAATCAGCTGATATCATGTACAACAACCACCGCTGAGGACAGGAAAAAAGGAAGTGTATACTTCTACATGTAACAGATGAATTAGAACCCATAATAGCAAGCCACATAAAACAGCTTACCTTCTCTAATTGGCTTCTCGAAGAGACTTCATTTTCAAGTCTTGCTTTGTAATCATTTTCAAGCTCACCCAAATGAGCCTGCAAAGCAAGCAAAGAAGGTCAATGGTACAGAAGAGTACAATTTCGATTGAACGCAAAATATTTGTTGGACGAATTAGTACAAGAAAATTACCTCCAGAGCTCTAATGACACCCTCAAGCTCTCCAGCTTTCCTTGCCCATTCCTCAGAGCTTTGCTTATAAAGTCCGACTAGTTTATTTGCCTACATTAGCAAAAAATCAGGTAAATAAGTCACATCCCATGGCTCAAAAAAATTCTGATTTTCTGCGAACAAGGACTTGGTAGAGGGATTCTAACGCTGGTCCTCAACCTGGAGGTCGCGGGTTCTAATCCCTTTAGCAGAGCATGTAACAATAAAAATAAACTTATATCACCCTTATAAAAAAAAATCATTTTTGATTTTCCTGATGTGTCCAACAATTGAATCTATAATAGATTCTCAAAAAAGACCAGAAATCCTATAAAAAGACAGCAGAAGAAACAAAACAGGAACAAACAGCAGCAAGTTATGTTCTTCAGATGTTATGTCATGTAAGAAAATCCTTCACTTACAGTAGAGAGTTCAGCTGATAACTGCTCTTCATTTGCCACAGCAGCATCCTTAGTAGAGCTTAATTCCTTCAGCAAGTACAAAAAGGCCAGTCATGAGGAACCTAGAACCAATGGACTGACACACATACAAACGCAGATTACAAAACATACAGAAAAATTCACCTCTCGCAAGGAAGTTAACTTCACTTCAAGCTCATCTGCCCTCTCCTTGTTCCTCTGCGCAGAGCTTGAAGATTCACTCAGTTGTTTCTCAGCCTACAGGAGCAAGCAAATTACCAATAGATAACCAGATAAGAAATAACGTTATGTCATAGCACAAGACCCAAACCAGAGAAAATTCATCATCATACTTACAAGTGCAAGCTTAGCAGAAAGATCTTCCTCCAGATTAGAATGTCTAATGCGCAGCTCAATCAAACTGTCTACTTTGGCCGTCAGCTCATCATTTAGCCATGAGTTATGTCTGTCCACAATTTCTTTCTCCTAATCACATAAGATTTCACTTCATTAAGAGCCAATCTACCGTTACAGGAAAGAGTCTGCAGAGATGCATGGTGCCACTTGGCTAAACATCCGGCGCGTAGGAAGTCAATATGGCTGAACAGTGAGTTCTTATTGCGTTCCAAAAAGGGAGTACCGCACCAACCTGTGAAAGGCGAGAGCAGGCTGCCTGAGAATGCACCAACTCTGCTTCAACGTCAAACAATCGAGCCTCCTTCTTTGATGCACTCTCCGTCAAATTAACCTTCAGAAACGAGGGTGGAAAACCAAGACGATAAATGACCAAAGGAAATGAGGAATAAGGCCAGCAAGTAAGCTAAGCAGCAGAACTGAATTCACGAGTTAACATACAATCTTATCGAGATAGCTGTTAATAGTAGCTTTCTTATCGTTGATCTCCGAATCTTTTTGCTCCACCAACTCAATCAGCTGCCTCTTACTCTTACGCAGCTCTGACAGCTCTGTAGTCAACCTCTCTACTTCGCCATCCTTGCTCATCTACGTAACAAGAGGAAGAAGTGGCATTAAGCAGCTTCAAACTCAGTATTCCAGCATAGCCAATACTCAATTACCAGAGCTAGTACGTGAAACCTAAGTCATGAATACAACACGGTACAACGAGCATGGACCTAAAACACGAATGTACGAAGAAGTTGCTCAATCGATCGCAGTATACCAATTAATAGCTGACAGGAAATAACCAAACAAAGCAAAAACTCAGCATGACTACCGATTGCAAGTGAAGCTGATGCTTCTGAGCCTGGACTTCGGCGAGCTCGGAGAGACGCTCGTCGAGCGAGGACTGGAGCAGAGCGTTCTGCGATTGGAGCGTGGAGAACTCGGTGGAGAGGGACAAGAACTTGTGCTCGAGAAGCGAACAAGTCTGCTCGGCGGTGACGGCATTGGCATCTGCGGCAGCCTTGACGGTCTCTAGCTCCGTCTGCAAGCGCCTGATGTAATCGTCAGCCCTAGCTGCGACGTAGGGAGCGTCGTTGGTGTGACGAGCGAGCTCGTCGTCGGTGATGAAAAGGGGCATGGCTTTGCCCCAATTAAAACGAGGGAAACGCGAATACGGTCGGTCACGGAATCCCTCGCTACGCGAACTGCAGGGGAGAAATATGAAAAGAGACGGCGAAGACGAACGATGGACAAATTGGAAATGAAGACGAAGAGACGGAAACGAGAAGAAGTACACGGAGGGGTTTCTTCCTCGTCTCGAGTCTCAACTCTCAACGAATGGGAAGTAAGAGGGAGGGCGAAACACTGATCAGATTCGAATAGACAGAAACCCTTCCTGTTTTCTAGGTTCCTAGTTGCAGTGCTGCTGCCTGCTAGGAAGTTATTAACCGACTTGGTTAGCAGTGGTTATTTGCTTGTTAGATTTGAAAAATGAGGGTTTTGGTCCATAAAAATTTTGGAATTTATGTTGGGTTTATTGGATTATGGATTTGAAGAGTCTAATGTTTGCATGATAGATTTGATGATGGATTTGTGGTGGATTTGTTAAATAAATAACTAACCCTCAAGGATTTGCAAATCTCAAATCAATATGTGGGATTTAGGGGTCGTTTGTTTCATGGATTTAAAAATGAGGGTTTTGTAATTTAAAAATCCAATGATTTATCAAGGATTTGAGACATCATGGATTTGTAACAATCCTTTGTTTGTTGGAATATTTTTACCATGGATTTAAAGGTGTGGGATTTACTACTTGAAGTAAAAAAATTACATTACTGCCATTTTCTATATGTTTGACATGTTTATGACATGTACACAAAACAAGGACAAAACTTCAAAATTACCTTACTATCATTTTCTATATGTTTGACATGTTTATGATATGTACACAAAACAAGGACAATACATACTAATAAGCATAATGTTGCCACATGGACAATAATAATAAACGAGAAAATTCCGTTTTAACTTTTAACGTAACATAATCAATTACAAATTCTTTGTCCTCCTTTTCAAAAGTAACATATAACAACATATATTAGAATCGGGAGAACAAAGAATTACACGTTCCATGAAAAGGTCAAAGAAAACTAGAACACAAGAAATGATATAAAAAATCTAACTCATGTTTGCACATTAATTGAACGTTTATATTATTCATTTATTGTTAATTATAATGTATAATAGTTAAATTTGAGGGCAACCTTAGAATATTAAAAGTGCATGAGGATATATGGGTAAAATCTCATCAAGGATTTATGCCATATTCCAAATCTCACATCAACGTGTGGGATTTATAAGTCCGTGGGGTCCACGGATTTGGACCTTTAAAATCCGTGGGCCCCACGGATTTGGTCTCCAAAAAAGGTGCAAGCAAACAACGGATTGTACCTAAATCCCTGATAGTTGATTTTTTATTTTTTTTATACCAAATCCTTGAAGCAAACGACCCCTTACAAGTCCATGGGGTACAAGGATTTGGTTCCAAAATAAAGACCAAATCCGTGGACCGTACGGATTTAGCACTCTTCAACAAACAATAGACTTATGTTAAATCCATCAAGCTTAGGATTTGGATACCAAATCCATGACTCAAATCCAACAAGCAAACGGCCCCTATTTTAACCTATGTGCGCAATTTGATGATTGCTATAAAAAAAGTCTCAAGTATCTGTCTTATCATGTTTTTTTTTTTTTACGTAGACATTGTTAAATATATGTATTTAGTATGTATTGTTTTTTTAATAACACGTAAGGTGACAGAAACAATGTCACATTTTAAGTGAAAGTGTTGATATTGTTTCCTTTTTGTTTCTTGATTTTCTTTTAGTTTTACCATTTATCAAAACTAAAAGAAAAGTGGGTATGATCCGTGCTTAAGCCTATAGGTTTAAGTATTTTGTTTTAATCATTTTATTGGTTGATAGTGATTTTTTTTTTTTTTGTCAAGAACATAGTTAGAAAGAACCACTACCCACAATCCCTTCCCATCTCACTTACAAGCCAACCAACAAAGTCAAAAGAAACTAACTCTAGTCGGGACAGCAACAGGGCTTTACGTGCCACTCTACGGGCAACCCAATTGGCAGTCCGCGGAACCACCCTAAGACCTAAACTTTATACAATGAGACAAAGACCCAAGGAAAAGCATACAATCTCGAAGGAGAGGGCCACCAACTGAATCCTCCACTGCTCCAAGGCTAAGTTGACGGATGACCACTATTGCATCGCCCTCAATGATGTCATGAGGCAAACTCCAAGAAGCTGCAAACAAGATTGCATCCCTGTTGCAAGGAGCTCTGTAGGGTAAGGGTCCGAAACCCCTTGATGCTGATAACTCGAGGCAAGCAGCACATGACCGTCCGAGCCACGAACCACAAGGCCAGAAGAGCAACCAGAGGCTTGGACAACAACATCAAAATTGCTTCAGGATGCATTCCCAGGGCTGGCTTGAAGAGGCAGGCAAGCGAGGATGAACAAAAGGGGCAGGCGGTAAGGAGGAGAGTACTTCACGGACTTGAGAGAACTGCGGGCAAGCAAACGGACATGAGGTTGGGTATTTTCAAATACCACTTTATTTCTTGATTTCCATATTCTCCACAAGAGGTAAACGACTTGGAGAATATGGGTTTGGGACTGCTCTGATAGCATAACTTGACGCCACCACGTACTAAAATTCATTGTTGGGGCCGAAACGAGTATCTCACTTAATCCCACAAAGTACCATAACATATTGGCAAAGGGGGCAATGAAAGAACAAATGTTCTATACTCTCTCGACTCCTCTAGCAAATACGACATTGCCTTAGCCAATTAAACCCACCAGATTTGAGCGTAGTAGTCAGTAGTACCACTCTAAGGCACTTCTAGTGGCAAATGATAACACGTTTTGACTGAATACTTGCCATTTTTGATAAAAATGCCATTATGACTGCGATGTCCGTGGAAGGGCCATTTTTCAAATTATAACCACAAAGTAGGGATCAAAACAGTAATGTAACCTTACCTTCCTTAATGAAAAACGAGACCATTTTTTATAATGTAATATCAACAATAATAATCATGAACCGTTAAAGGTAATTAGGGTGATCTAGAGTGATTAAAAGACCAATAATTGCAAGTTGATCCATCCGCCCCGTTGAAGGAACGTTAACTCCATTAAATTGGGAATTTGGGATTTAATAGGAATTCAAATATGGGATCCCATAACCGATAACGGAAAAAGAATCACTTCAAAAACCGAAGCCTTTAATGCGAAATAAATTCGCTAGAGTTCCCAACGATGGAACTTTTCGGCGAAACAACCACCGTATACGGCCGCAGACCGTCACAATTGGAGAGCCTGCGAGGCGGCATGAAGAGTGAAAACGGGGAAAGACCTCCCGTATAACGACCCCATATCAACAGATTTAGATATGGAAGAGGAGCGACATCGATGCTTCTTTCCTTACAAAGTTTACTATCGCCGACCCGGCGTCTCTAGCTCCACTGGAGCTGACTAACTTTTTAGGCGTCGCTAGCTTCACGTAAGTTCCTCTCTGGAATTTAGCTAGGAGATTTATCTCTGGAATTTAGCTCTAGAATTTAGTTAGTTAATAGATAGTTGAGGATAAATAAGGTTATTATGTTAGTATAATTAATATTAATAATTGATTATTCTCTTTCTCTCTTCTCCCATAACTTTCTCCATAACCTTCTATCTCCACTACAATTAAAATGAAATTCAAAATTAATTTAATTAGATTTTAATATTTAATAAAATTCAAACTTAATATTTTTTCTCTTTTTAAAGTATAAATTAATAATTAAAATTTTTCTCTCTCATTTCGTGACAACTTGCAATGTAGTATTAACATTTTGCAATGACATTATCAACGTTTATGAAATAAATCATTATTATTATACCTTATCATTATTAACGATTTCAATATAAGTATCAATTCTTTACAATTATATTATTAACAATTTTGAATCAATCGTTACCGTTGTACATTTTCATCATCAACGTTTATGAATGAATCATTGATTACAACATCTTTACTAATGATTCACAACATTATCATTATTGATACTATTAGTAATGGGCTCTCAAAGACGTCCCACTCGTTTCGACAAACAAACAACGACTGATATCATGATACATCAAACGTCGACAGTGTTCACTATTAACAGTACATGACAAAATTGCAAATATTTTAGGTTAATTGTTAAACGTTTTGAAACTATTAGTAATGATATACTTTCACATTGTTAACGTTTTGATGAGAGTTGCTTAACGTTTTTAACGTAAACGTGACGTTCTCACTCCAAAAATTTCATTGAAACTGAAAATTATAAATGTTTTAGGTTGATTTTAATGATTTTGATACTATTAGTTATGATATACTTTAACAGCATTTTAGTGGGAGTTGCTTAAGGTTTTTAACGTGAAAGTGAAATTCTAAGTTGTAACAACTACGCGATATCAGGATACATTAACAAACAACATATGATATCATGATACATTAAACATAGATAATGTGACTATATTTTATTAATAATTCACTAAAAATGTGACAATACTCGGTTGTAATGATTATAACCATAAATATTTTTTATGTTAATAACAATTTACATTACATCAACAATGATAACATTAGATTGTTAAAAATGAGCCTAAACTCATTCAGAAACAACAAAAAATAATTTAGGAGACGATGATAATGTTTTTGTATATCATTGAAAATTCATTTCAAAAAAATTGATAACAATACCTTGTATTGATAACAATGAACCAATAAAAGTTGATGGTGTAATTGTTGGACATTGTTTCATAAACGTTGATAACAAAAATAAAAACAAATAGTACACTTTATCAATAAGTTTATAAACATGACGTCCAAATTGGAAAACATAAGCTCTTAGGTTGATAGAGATGCAACAAACCGTCAATAATGTAACAAAAATTTATTGATTAAAAAAACATCAAAAACCAAAATATTATGTTTTGATTGAATACAAAAATATTTATTTTCAACTAAATATACTCTTTATCAATGTTTTAGTGTGTTTTTATTAAAGGTTAGTAAAGTTTAAAACTAATAATGTCATAAAGTGTTTTATTAACAATTTATGTAAAATTTGATAATAACGATTATTAAACATTTGATAATGAAAACTATATGTGCACACATGACATGACGATACTAATTAATGAAAATTTGACAATGTTAAATATAATCACCAAACACGTCTAATAAATAATTAATAAAAATATTTTTGGAGCTAATAAACGTTGATGACAATTGATTCCAAATTCTTAATATAATAGTAAAGAATTGATACGTATATTGAAATCGTTAATAATAATAAGGTATAGTAATAATGATTTATTTCATAAACGTTGATAATGTCATTACGAAACGTTGTCACGAAGTGAGAGAGTAAATTTTTAATTTTTAATTTCCATTTTTAAATGAGAAAAAATTATTAAGTTTGAATTTAATTGAATATTAAAATATAATTAAATTAATTTCAGATTTTCTTTTAATTGTAGTGGAGAGAGGGGATTATGGAGAAAGTTATGTGAGGAGAGAGAAAGAGAATAATCAAATATTAATATCAATTATATTTGCACAATAACCTTATTTATCCTCAACTACCTATTAACTACTAACATATTATTAAATTACCTAATTCACTATCAACCAATAAAATGACTTAAACAATATGTTTAAACTTTTGGGTTTAAGCACAAGAACCCCGACCAAAGAAAAGGAAGTGGTTAAAGTAGTTTCATTAAAAATTGGTGTTGTTCTTTTAAAATGGCAAGATACAAATAAATGAAACGATGTAACCACGCTATGCAAAAAGGCTAGTCTCATGTTGAAGTATGGTATTGAACATCGAAAATCCAAAAGCATCATTGTATCATTCCAAAATGGATGGAAATCCATTATAATTCAATTGATCACGATGTATCGTGGCTTTGTGATATCTTAGTGCATGCCTTACTTTTGTATACCGACTTAATTTTTATATAGCATATACGATATCCGGTCTTGTACAAGTTATTGCATGCATAAAAACATCCAATAACATTGGAATACTCCAGTTGTGAAACCGGCTTATGAAAATCTTCAATAAGTTTCATATTTGGATCCATAAAGGTCGTAAGCTCATGTGAATTTCCATTATGGAAGTTAGCGAACACCTTCTCAATGTAGTGAGATTGAGATAAGACAACTTTTTATCGTATCATTTGATTTAACAACCAAAATCTCATCAGCCTTCCCCATGTCATATACGAGGAATTACAGCGAGGATTGTAAAGTTTACAAGGCGTTTGCCGGAGGAGAATCTGGGAGATGAGAGTCACTGATTACAACGGGCGCTCTCAGGGTACTTCCCCCGGTCTCTTGCATTCCCTTTCACTTGAGACCATGAGCTAGTTATATAGTATCTACCTGGGGGACAACGAGAGGACAGGTGTCGGCGTTAGAGATGAAAGAAGGACACGTCATTGAACATGTGTCGTCTAGGCCCATCAGCACCCGCCACGTGGTTGTACACATGTCAACCATGTTTTTGCCTAAGGGGAACACCCTTGCCACATGTAGACTAATTGAGAAGAGAGCATGACACATATGCAGGTAGGAGTGCATGCAATGGATCCAGGTGAGGAGAATAGATGTGGATCCAGGTGCCGAGAGCAGGGGGCGAGAGCGGGCCCGGGGGACGGGAACCAACCGAGAGGAGAAGATCTAGCGCCTGAACAATAGCGGGCCCGGGCGCAGGGGACATGGAGAAATAACGGGTCCGGGCACGAAAGGTGAAGACCCTCTGCAGGGACCCGGGCGAAAGGTGAAGGCCCGACGCCGGGAGCCGGGGCAATAGCAGGCCTGGGCGGAGGGGACTGAGAGCGATAACGGGCCCAGGTGTCGCGATCCGTACGAGAGGTGAAGGCCCGCCGTCGGGAGTCAGGGCATTTGTGGGCCCGGGTGCCATGAGACTGAGGATGGCGAAGCCCGGGAGCCGGGGTCCAGGAGCGATAACGGGCCCGGGCGCTAGGAACCGGACAAGAGGTGAAGGGACTATGCTGAGAGCCGAGGCAATGGTGGGCCCAGGCGCAGGGGATTTGGAGCGATAACGAACATGGGCGCCGGGATCCGGACGAGAGGTGAATGCCCGCCACCGGGAACGGGGGCAATTGTAAGCCCGAGTACTGGGAGGAGGGCGAGGCCCGTGAGCGGGGGTCTGGGAGCGATAACGGGCCTGGGCGACGGGAACCGGACAAGAGGTGAAGGCACGTCGCCGGGAGCCGGGGAAGTTGTGGGATCGAGTGTCGGGAGAAGGGCAACGCCCGGGAGCCGAGATCCGGGAGCGATAACGGACCCGGGTGTCGAGAACTAGACGAGTGGTGAGGGCCCTCCGCCAAGAGCTGGGGCAATTGTGGGATCGGGCGCCGAGATTATGCCGACGCCCGGAAGACGGGGTCCTGGAGCGGTAACGATCCGGGAACCGGGAGGAGGGCGACGCTCGGGAGCCGTGGTCCGGGAGCGATAACGGGCATGGGTGTCGGGAATTGGACGAGAGGTGAAGGCCCACCGCCTGGAGCGGGGAAAATTGTGGGCACGGGAGCCGAGGCAATAGCGGGCCTGGGAGCCGGCAACCTGACGGGAGGTGAGGCCCCGCCACGGGGAGCTGGGGAAGTAGTGGGGCGGGGCGTCGGGATGGATTCGAAGCCCGGGTGTTGGGCCCCGGGAGCGATAACGGGCTCGGTCACAATAATGCATCGGGGAGATTCGGGCTCGGAGGGAGAAACCCTCAACTGGAGGCAATCGTGAGCCACTGTATGATTTACTGTTGGCGGTCCATGACACAATTGTGTGCCGATTGTCGGCCCTGGCGCAATGATGCACTTTTTGAACAGATGGTGAGCTGGTGTAGTAAAAATATTTTTACATTGGGTATATCAGGCGTAAAACCCTTGAGTTTATGATTGAAGTATTATGATAGATTTTGTCATTTTGTGTGTTGGGTTCTAGAAATTACGGTATCTTTTGCTTGTGGGATTTGGATGATGTATTTGGCACCCAAATCCCAAGCTTTATGTATTTGCTAAAAAACATGTTTGCTTGATGGATTTCAAAATGATTTTACTATATTGAATTAATTGGTTAATGGTGAATTTACCTTCATATCCTTCAACAAATTTTAGCACCTCTCAAAATCCTAGCTAATGAGATGAAACTTTATAATCCGTGAGTTTTACAAATTTTGAGAAAAAAATCTTCCATCCACTAGCTCCACAAATTTAGACCAATCTCATTTTTGTCAACAAAAATAAATTTAAACAACAATCCAATTTTTCTTTTGTGAAATGAACAACAATCCAATTTTAGTAGGATTTAAGTAAAATCCCTCATCAAAAATTTTACAATTCTTAAAATCAGTTCCATTTTGTGAGTAAGTTCTGAACCGAATGAGCATGTGCTAACAAAAAAGCTATTAGCACCGGATTGCTTAATAAAAATAAGCAGTATTATGTTTGTTTTTTTAAGTATAATAATAATAACAATATTATGCTGACCGCCGTTACGATACCAAATTGGAGTCCATCTGTTTCCCAGCACGAAACTCTGTCCATTTCCTTGATCCATTTCTTTTCAATTTTGTTATTTATAAAGAAGCAAAAACCCCCCCGATCTCCTCTCTCTCCGTCGCCTCGCTCTTTCCCCGTCCTACCTTTTCTTCCTGGTCGTCGGAGGTCTGTGGTTGCTGCCACCGGAATCCGGCGAAGTTTAAGGCGCCTGCGTTTTTCCGTGTAATGGAGACTATTTAAGCCTTGCTCCGGAGTTAGTCGGGGCCATTTCGACCGGCGAAAGAGAAATGTCTCGTCAATCAACGACTCCGCATTTCCACAAATCCAAAACTCTCGACAACAAATATGTGAGCTCAATTCTCTTTCAATTCCCTTCCATGGCTTCTGTCTTCGAGCATATTCTACCTTCACCTTTCTTCTCGAGGCTTAATTCCTGCACTTCCCTGCTCTCCTCGTCGCGTGCAATTGGGGCATAGATTTCTCATTTCATTCTCTGTGCTCGTTTTGTTTTACTTCTTGTTGGTTCAAGTCTTCAGGACTGTAGGGGTTCTGTCCCCTTTGGTGGATTGCCACTCAATCGATTTGGTTGATTACCAGCGAAATCAGTTTTCGGATTTCTGGAATTGTCCTGTTCTGAACCCTTTAGATTCCGATTATCAATTAGAATGCCGATTATAGTTAACTGCCAATGGCTTTGCTTCATCGGACCATTATCTGGTCGTAATTTCAGTCGGTTAGCCTTTCCATATGTGCAGTTACTGTTGGTCAGTGAACAGAAACATTGCTTTTCTACAATCTGTCATACAATATTGTGGATTTGGATTATAGCAAGTATGGAAGTAAGCTTGCTACTTGGTTCCTAAGAAGTGTGATCAAGGAGCTACAGTTTGGATTCTGAGCACTAGCATTTGAGGCAATACTGTAGAAATTAAAATTTCGG